CGAGAAAAAAGAATAAAATAAAAACTGAAAAATAAATGGCACCCTCAACTAATTCAAATAAGGAAAATGATCTTAAATTTAAAAAAAATCGGTTTTTGCCGACACTTTTCCGGGTTCGTTTTTTAATAATTATTATTAAGGGAGTAAAATAAAATCTTATTGGCCATTCGCACCTATAATATATATATCTAAATTCTCCTATATATATATAGAAATATATATGCGCGCGATTATTATGATGATTCCTATAAGGTCAAAAGAAGTGAAGGGAATATATATGTAGTTTAAAATAAAATAAAATGTAAATAAATAAGAATTGCAAAAGAAGAAAAAAAGCAAGTCCGGGTTGTACATTATACACATATAGTTTCTTTGGTATATTATAAGAGAGCCGAAGGCTATTAATTGGCAGACATCTTCGTTGCTCGCTCAAGCGGCTTTAATGATCAGCGCTAATAAAAATGTTTTCTATTTTTATTTTTTTATGATATCATAAACACTTGGTTGTGGAATAAGGAATAAGGCACTAGCGTTACAGCTTAACACCACAAAACCTTCTACTCTTCTTCACTTCTCTTTCTCTCTTTCTCTCTTTCTCTCTTTCTCTCTTTCTCTCTTTCTCGAATATAATAATATATATCGTTATCTTTTTGAAGCATTGTTAACTTCACTTAAACCGCAATGTATATTATTATAATTTGTCTTCTATAATTAATATTCTCTCACACCTATTTCATATACATACAAAAACTGTCTTCAATTTTCCAATTAATTAAAAAGAATGTCAACCTCTTTCGCTTCGGGGCCTTTAAATATTAGTATAAAAATTTAAAAAAAAACTATTTTCGTAAATCGTTTCTTTAATAATGATACTCTAAAATTTGGGACTTCTTTTTCGATGGTTAATATAACTATAATATTTATATATAAGGGGCGGGGGGGTAATAGAAAAATTTGAAAATTCTTAAAATTTAGAAAATAAATGAAGATAAGTGAATTTAATAAAATATAATGGCGAATAGTTTTTTACCTTATCTTATATAAGAAAGTACTTGGGAGAAAGAGATTTGGACAATATATAGTTTTAGTTTCTCATCTCTCTATAGTTAAGTTGTAGGTACGTGTAGCCGAGAAGCACAGCATGGTCCGATTATGGTTCCTGAGGGATGAATGTAATGGCACGTTAGAGCAGCATTCGCAATGCTCTCATAACTTTACATAAAATTAGGACCTAAAAGCCCTTTGCCTTCATGGACTCCATGAACTTGGATATGAACCATCCTCTCACATATATATACTGTACTGATTAACAGTTGGTCTGAGCCGTTCCTATTATACATCCCATAAGAAATTTAAAATATATATATAAATACACCCAAGTTGGAAAACTTATTAGTATAATCATTTATACTATAAAAATTACAATCACAAGGTTGCCACAGTGATTCTTTCCCTTATATTAATAAAATCCACTAAAAACATAAATTTTCACTCCTTTCTTCCTTATTCTCTAAAACTTACAAGAAATGACAATTTTTATTTTGTTCTTAAGAACATTTTTCTAAAACTTACAAGAAATGGCAATTTTTATGTTGTCAGGCTTCACAGTGCCCCTAAAAAGTATTTTAGGGGAAATAGGGGACTGAGAATTAAAAAATAGGGGACTTTTAGGGGACCATAAAAATTGGTTAAATAAAGATAAAAATATAATTTATTTATACAGGGTTCCCAGAAAAATTTAACTTTATTTTTCCCTGACTTTTCCCTGATTTCCAAACACAACTTTGACTTTTTTCCTGACTCTAAAGAATATTCTGATTCACTCTAAAAATTATTAGATACTCAAAAACATATGTTTTGTGTTAAATTTATTTACAAATTTCTTCAAAAGTAAAATTATTCGAAAACATCAATAACTTCATTTTTAAATAAATATTTAATCATTTTTTTATTAGAATTAAGATGTTTAAAACATTCAAAATTAAACCTTTTTAAAATAAAAATAACTGCGATAAAAATATTATTGTAAAACATGAAGAAATGAATCACTCCGAGTCGAAACTCGGAGTGATTCATTTCTTTGTGTTTTATAATAATTAAAGATGACCGACTGACAAAATCATTATTTTATTATTACAAGAATATTGTTACTGTAATTTCTTCAAAATTATTTGTATCATTTCAATTCAATTAACTTTTTCTAGAATTTTTAACTTAAATTCTACTTTAAATCAATAATATCAATTATTATTCAATTAAACTTTTTCAAAAAAATCAATTCTACAGAATTGTTAGTTAAAATTACAAAAAATAAAAATTTAATTCTACGAGAAATCAATTATTTAAATAAAAAAATAAATAATATTGAATGCTTCTTAAAATTTAAAATTTACGAAGAATTGTATTAAAAACTTTTGGAAATATTTAATTTCTTTTATGGAATTTAATTAAAAGTTTAATAAAATTTATTATATTAAAGAATTTTATAACAATTTTTGAAAATAATTGAAAACCATTTGAAGAATTTTATTAAATTTTTTAAAAATTGATTTCATAATTGAATTCCTGAGAAGAATTTAAATAATAATTTTTGAAAAACAATTGAATTCATATGAGAAGAATTTTATTAAAATTTTTGAAAATAATTGACTTCTTGAGAAGAATTTTTCAAAAATTTTTGACAATAATTTAATTCTTGAGAAGAAATTTTCCTATCTATTTACAAAGATAATTTAATTCTTGACGAGAATTTTAAAAAAAAAATTTGAAAATAATTTAATTTCTGCAAAGTATTTTATTACTTTTCAAAAGAATTGAATATTGTTAAAGAATTTTATTATTTATGAAAATATTTGAATTTTAAAATGAATTTTATTCAAATTCCTGAAAATAATTGAATTTTGTCGACGAATTTTTCTATTGATTTTATAAAGATAATTGAAATGTTCACAATTTTTTGTAGATTCTTTAAAAATAATTGAATTTCTGCGAAGAATTTTATTAATTTTGAAAATAATTGAATTTTCTCAAAGAATTTTATTAATATTGAAAATAATTTAATTTTTGCAAAGTATTTTATAACTTTTCAAAAGAATTGAATTCTTGTGATGAATATATTGATATTTATCAAAATAATAATTGAATTTTGGAAAAGAATTTTATTATAAAATATTCCTTAGAATAATTGATTTTATGGGAAGAATTTATGCGATTTTGTTGTTTATCAAGCTAATTGAATTTTTTTGTAAAATTACTTAAAAAATTTTGAAAATAATTGATTTTCAGCGACGAATTAAATGTTATTTATGAAAATATTTGAATTATTTCAACGAATTTTATTGTTTTATTGAATAATTGCATTTTTCAAGGAATTTATTTAAAATTATTGTATTAAAAATATTTGAAATTCAGTGATGAAAATAATTGAATTCGTAAATGAAATTTTATTATTTATGAAAATAATTGAATCTTTTCGTAGAATTGTATTAAAAAAGTTTTTTTTTTCTATAATTAAATATTTTGATAAATTTTATGAAAATAGTAAATATTGAAAATTATTGAATTGCAAAAAATTTTGAAAGTAATTGAACTTTTACAAAGATTTTTATAAATTTTTGAAAATAATTGAATTTTTGGCGAAAAATTTTGCTATTTGTAAAGATAATTGAATTCTTGACGAGAAATTCGTGAAAATTTTTTTAAATAATTGAATTTCTTCGAAGAATTTTATTACTTTTGAAAATAATTGAATTCTTCGGATAAATATTGAAATTTTGAGTCTCTCTTGAGCATTCATACTGTCTGGACGTGTTTACGTTTCGCTCGTGCTTAAGTACAAATTTATCGAATCTATAGTTTTGTTTACTTATATTCGTTAACAAGTCGTTACTTTTATCATTTTGTTCTTTTAACTTCTGAATTTTAGCAACTGGTGTTGCTCATTAAGAGTAATATGTGCAGTATGTGTTCTGTGTAAATTCCCATAAAGTGCAATGTCAAACATGGATTCTGAAGATCTACCTTCATCTATAGAGCCCGAAGGGCTTTCAAAAATTCTACTCTCAATTCAGAAGCAAGTGAAAGAAACGAATGTTAAACTAGACTCTATGGATTCTAATATACAAGAAATAAAATGTGATAATAAAACTTTAAAGACAGATATGAAAATCTTTAAAAAAAAATATGATTCTCTTTCAGAGGAGAATAAAGTGTTAAGTGAAAGAGTTTTACAATGCGAAAGTAAACTGAACTTTATTTTGCAAAAAGAAAGAAGTAAAAATGTAGTGATTTACAAAGTGCCAGATACCGCTCTTGAAAATGAAAACCTTCATAATACTATAACAGATATTGTCCATAAGGTAAATAAAAATATACCAGCTGTCGCCATCACTGAGGTCAAAAGACTTGGAAAAATTGAAGGGTCACGACCGATTTTGATTACGTTTAGTAATGTAAGTTGGAAATCTCTACTCTTTCAAAATAGGAAAGAATTAATGGATTTGAACTATAGCATCGCTAATGACCTTTCAAGAGAGGAGAGGGATAGACGACGAAAAAACTTTGAAATATTACTAAAATATAAAGAGTTCTTAACTGAAAAGGGAAAGGTCGCATACATTAGAGGCTCAAAAATTTCAGTAGATGGGAAAATACTGGATGCCGAAGAAATTAAAAGAAAAATAGGATCAATAGAAACCACAGAGGAGAATGCATCAGCAGAAAATTCAGATAGTGATGAGTCCACCACATCTTTATCCTCCACAGCTAGCGGGACAAAAAGAGGAAGACCAAAGGGTTCTAAAAACACACTTCATAAAAAACAAAAAACTTCCAAGGTCAACACAATTGAAAACGCTTTTAAAACACCTCTAATTCCACAAAAGCTGAATCCTATGATGAACCACACCGCAAAACCGATCTCTACAAAAAAAACATAGCTCATCTCGGACGAACTTAACCCTAGAATAATCTTCTGGAACGCGAAAGGATGGGCTAACTGGATGGATATTACCACACTTCTTAATGTCAACGATATTGTGTGTGTCACAGAAACATGGTTGATTTCTCCCCCCCAATACTGCCCCCCCTACAACTTTAGTTTGATTACGAGCCAAGCAGTGAGAACGGCAGAGAGAGGAAGGGCGAGCGGAGGATTACTCATAGCGCTAAATTCTCGTAAATATAAATATAAAGTAATTAAAATTTCTGAACAAATTATATTCGCTGTTATTAACTCTACAAATTTCAAATTTTTACTCGGAGTCACTTATTTAAAACCAGATTTAAATCTTGATACTTTTTACTCAGAATTGAATGATATATTTACTTTGATCAATAATGATTATCCGAATCTACCTTTGTTTTTTGGAGGCGACTTTAATGCTAGAGTAGGTGACTTAAATCAATTACGCGAGGAAATGTTTCCGGAAAATGCACATATTACACCATTTAGATCTAATCTAGATAAATGTATTAATAAGAGAGGAGAAGAGTTGGTGTCGTGCATGGAGGATAATGGATGTATAATTTTGAATGGTAGATCACCGGGCGACTACCTTGGTCAATACACTTATATTTTAAATAAAGGAAAATCGACAATTGATCTTGGCTGGGTAAATTTGTTCGCGATCCCTGAAATAAAAAATTTTGAGGTAATCCAGATAGTAACGAGGTCGGATCATTTTCCAATTTTTATTACACTAGAAAGAAAAGAAAAATATAGACAACATGCAAATAAAATAAAATGGAGAAGTGATCTAGCCCCTGAATATTTTGAAGCAATGAATTCTCTTCCGTGCAGTACACCAACTAATCCCCTAAATATCGATCAAACCTCGGAGGAGTTGATATCCATAATAACAAAAAAAGCATGCTCTATTGGAATGTTATCTAAAAAAAATAAAAAAACAGGTCATTCAAAAACTTGGTATGATAAAGATTGTGTATTGCTAAAAAAAAATGTAAATTTAATGTTAAAAAATTGTAAAAAAGATAATTTTGTTTGTGAAAAAAACATTGAAGAATATTACAGGATAAAAAAATTATATTACAATACACAATTGGAAAAAAAGGAGACACACAAAAATCTAGTTCTCGACCAATTAATATCTTCTAGAGATTCCAAAAGTTTTTGGAAAATAATAAATTCTTTTAGAAATAAATATAACACAAAAAATGAAATTAACACAGATACATGGCATAAATATTTTAGTGAATTTTTCCAACTAAATGATATAGATAAAACAGAAAATAAAATAGTTGAAATCCCTTTTAAAAGTTACAACGAATTATTGGAAACAAATATTACGAAAGAAGAAATTATCTCCTCTTTAAAAAATAGTAAAAACAACAAATCTCCCGGCTCAGATGGAGTCACCTTTGAATTTTTAAAGAATCTCCCAGAGAACTGGATTAATTATGTGAGTCTCCTTTTTAATCAAATTTTACATGAAGAAAAATTTCCGAAAAACTGGGGAAAAATAAACTTAAAAATGATATATAAAAAAGGCGATATGAGTGATCCTAACAACTATCGCCCGATAGCTTTAGTTAACTGCATAACAAAGGTATTTACACATGTGATTACTGATAGGATTGTGTTGTGGGCCGAAAGGGAAAATCTAATTCCAGAATTTCAATCTGGATTTAGGAAGAATAGAAGTTGCATAGACAATATTTTCGTTCTTAATGCATTAATTCAGAATCGGCTCAATATGAACGGAGGAAAATTGTATACATTATTTGTCGACTTCAGTAATGCTTTTCCTTCCGTCTCGCATAGTTTGTTATGGAAAAAATTGTACAAAATGGGAATGGGCTATAAAATAACTAAAATTTTAATAGATTTTTATTCAAAAGCCACTGTTGCTGTCCAAAACGATGGGGAAACTTCTACACCTGTAAAAGTAACTAGAGGTTTACTCCAGGGAGAGAAGAGCAGTCCTATTCTATTTTCATTATTTATGGCTGATTTAGAGGACTTTTTAAGGGCGGAAGGAATAAGGGGGGTTTCCATGGGGCATAAAAATGAAATTATTTTACTGGCATACGCAGATGACATTGCATTGTTTGCGGATTCCCCCGCAGCATTAAATAAATTATTAAGAGCTCTTCTGAAATACTGTATCAAAAATTGCTTAGAGGTTAATGAAAAAAAAACAAAAATTATTATTTACAAAAAAGGAGGTCGATTATCAATTAAAAATACTAATTTTATGTATGGTAACAAAAAGATAGAACTGGTTAAAAAATATACTTATTTAGGAATTCCGCAATATTATACCTCGTCTTCTGAAGAGGCCTTAAGGAATGCTTCTTCATCTGCGTCTCTGGCTATAAATTCTACACTGTCACTTATAAATAGTATGAAGCTAAACACATGGAAACCAATCCCAAAACTATTTAACAGTCTAGTAACTAGCACGTTTTTATATGCTATACAGGTGTGGGGCCTTCGAAATCTTAATGAAATAGAAAAAATTCAAGTAACATTTTATAAAAAACTGCTCTTACTACCCCGGAGTACGCCTAACTATGCAGTTAGATTGGAGATTGGAGTGCTAAGACTATCATATAAAGTTTTCAAATTGACACTAAATTTAATTGAAAAAATTTTAAAAATGAATGATGATAGATACCCTAAAATTTGCCTGCTAAGATTAATTAGTTTAACAAAATCACAAAAGAATAATATGAAATACAATTGGTGCTCCCAAGTAGAAAAAATGTTTGAAACTATAGGAGAAACAATATCTTGGAACCTCGAATTTGTACAGAATAACAAAGAGCGACTTTTAAAACTCTACGAAACCTTTCTGCGCGCTGAAGATGTGCACTCTCTCTCAAACTCCGGCTCTCTACAACTACTCCCTCATCTCTCTATGAGAGAGGGACAGCAAAATTATTTAAGAAATAAAGTACCACTTCCATTTATCAAAATTTTTGCACAAATAAGATTAGTAAATAAATACAGTTTAAGATTAGTACATAATAAAAAAGTATTACAATTAGAAAAAATTTCCTGCTGTGGAGAACCGGTGTTGAAGGGGAGAGAACTTTATCATTTGTTAATAGAATGTGAAATGTACAGGAATGATAGATGTAAATATATATGCGATAATGAGGATATATCTATAATTAAAGACTGCTGTATTGATCTTCTGAATTCTCCAGACATTGAAAATATCAAATCAATATTTTATTTTATTAAAAGTGTGTTTAAAAACCAAATGTAAAACATAATATAAGAAAATTATAAGCAACGAAAATGGCTCAAGCGAGACTCTTTTGTATGAACCTGTGGTTCAAAACATAATAAACTACTACAATATTGAAATTTATGAAAATAATTGAATTTTGAAAAGAATTTTATTAAAATTCCTAAAAATTATTGAATTTCTGTGAAGAATTTTGTTATTTATTAAGATAGTTGCATTAAAACTTTTGTAATAATAAATAATATTACAAAGAACAACCAACTTTTAAAAATAATTGAGACTTGACTTCACCAAAATACTAATCTTACAAATTTTATAAATTTCATGAAAAATTTCATCGATTATAAAAATTTCAAAACAAAAGTTTCCAATTGAAAGTTTCAACGGCACTTTGCTAAATTTTGGTGTGAATTTATCATTAAAAGATAAAAGAAAAAAATAGGGGAAATTTAGGGTAAATTTTCAAAATAGGGTACGTTTAGGGGCCAAAATTAAAAAAAGGGGAATTTTAGGGAAATAGGGGACAGACTGTGAAGTCTGTGTTGTTCTCAGGAACATTTTTCTAAAACTTACAAGAAATGGCAATTTTTATGTTGTTCTTAAGAACATTTTTCTAAAACTTACAAGAAATGACAATTTTTATGTTGTTCTTAAGAACAACATAAAAATTGTCACTTCTTGTACATAAAGTTTAGAAAAATGTTTATTTATGCTTTTGAGAAAAATTGCAAAAAAGTAGTTAATAGTTCGACTTCTATAAATATACCATGAGTACAAAGTATGTGGCATAATTATTATTATTAAAAAATATTAATACACACAAAATTACGGAAAGAGGTAATTTATATTATAATGTAATTGCAAAAAAAAATTATTCTTTAAAGTGTATAATTATATAGTATGCAATCTAAAATGGTTTCTCGACTTGAAAGGTAAATAAAAATAAAAAGAATTCTGTTGCGGACAGTTAATGCGCGCGTTTTCAAATAAGCTTAAAGAATATGAGGCACATGATAATTTATTTCTTTGATAAGAGAATTCGCAAACCGTGTTCCGCGATATAATGTAAAGATTATACACATCGGTTTGTGCATGTGCGAAATGTCCTTTCCTTTTTTTTATCGACGCATTTACAGAAACTTTTTAATATACCTTAAATAAAAATTTTTTATTCGGAAACCATTATAAATGTTTCTTTTTCTATAAAGAAATCGGTCATTTTTGTTTGTTTTTTTATTGTTTTTCAAGCTTATAAACTTTATTAAAAAAAAGTGATTTATAGCTAGCAAATTCAAAAAATCTAACATTAAAACCAAATTAGCATATTGTATTTGTATTGTATCTCCAAAAATGTCGTTTTATTCCCTCGGGTTAAAAATGGATCGCACATACAATTTGTATATAACAATAAGAAAAAATAAATTCTGCTAATTTTATAATAATTAAATTCTTCGATGAGGGAAAAAATGTTTTAGAGAAATAAAAATAAAGACTAACTGTAAATAAAAATTTGAGAAAAAAAAGGAAATTACATTTTCCAAAGACAAAAACAGCGACTAAATAAACTCGAAAATTGGATGTTTAACAGTCGTTAATATGTTTTGAAACCACAACTTACAATGTCTATAACTAAGTGAGAAAACCCTATAACGAATCCTTTAGTGTATACTATAAAGTCTATGGAACAAACTATAAAGATAATGTTATAGAGGTAAATTCGCTTTTAAACCAATAAACTTGCAAAAGGATTTTACGGCGCAGGCGAGAAGACGTGCGCAACTAATACTTTTTTTTAAAAGGCTTGAAAAAAACCCAAATTGCAATAGTAATTATTACTTTTACACTTAATAATTATTACGCTTTTCATTTGTCAAAAAGTCAACCAATACTTTCTAAAAAAACCGAAATAGAAAATACAACGAAAAAGAAAATAAGCAGAAAAGACGAAAAAGAAAATAAGCAAAAAAAGCCGAAATAGAAAATAACCAAAAAAAAAAGAAAAATAATAAGAAAAAAAAGAAACATAATCTAAAGTTAAAACTCTCCGCCCCAGTTATAAAAGTTAATCCCTTTCTTCACCAGTAAATATGCACGTCCATAAAATTAACAACTTTCACGAAGAAATTTCGACTTCACTGAGTAGTTTATTGCCATTTTTATAATAATCTGATCAAAAACTGTGCATTTTCTACTAAACACTATATATAGCCTAGGATGAGGGCAAACTTAAAAAAAAAAACCTTTCTTCTTTCTTCATCTACCCTAGATATAATAGGATTGTACTCTATCCTGTTATTTACAAAATGGTCCCTCAATACACGGAGGATTATCGAAACATTCTGTCATTTCATTGTCTGGAAAATGAAGTGTACTTATTCTTATAATAATAACCTTAAGTGCAGGCCCTAAACCTATATAATTTTTGGAAAAAAATTTCAGGCAATTTTTTTTTTTTGCTTCTGCTGACACTATATTTGCCTGTTGAAACTTGTCCTTGAAAAATCATAAAATATTGAATTTTCATCATTTTTGAGAAGAAGGAAAAAAGAGAGAGAAAATAAAATTGCATATATACCTGAAAATATCTTGGGGGTTTGAAAATAAGGGAGAGTGAGAGAGATGGACGGAAAAGAAGAGCATGGCGTGCTTTGCTCCTTTCCTTCCCTTTTTTTTTTTTTTTGAAGCGGCGAGGCGGCGGCATGATTACCCCTGCAATAAAATTAATATTGTTTAAATGTGGTTTGAAACGACCTTCTTCTTCTTTTTTTTTTCTTCTTCTTCTCATGCTGCTGCTGCGAAGACCCAGTTAAAAGGCCGGTGCATATAACAAACACACACTAACAACCGCTTTTCGTCATATTCGTTTATATATGTGTTGTAAAAATCTTTTTTTGAAAAACGTGGTGAAATAAGCCTCATGAGGCTTATTCAGAAACTTTTTTTCAAAAAAAAGAAGAAAAAAAGAAATATCCAAAGAGCGAACTATATTTTTTCTCTTTTTCTTTCGGCGCGCATATAAATATATAGGAGAGAAAAAGATGATAAAAATGAGTGTTGATTTTTGGTGGAAAAATGTGTGTCAATAGTGAGATGCGTATATTTTTTTCTTTTTTGAAAAAACCGAAAGAAACTTGAAATCATTCATACATGTGTAAAAAAAAGCGATCAAATTGGACTTTTCATTTTTGAGTACACTCAAAAATGAAAAGTCCAAGTTTACCACTTTTTTCATAAAACAAAAAAATTTAATAACGCATTTTATATTTACTTTTTGTAACTTTTTATAATTCTGAAGCTGAAATAATTTAATTTTCGCCTAAGAATTTTATAAATTTTTCAAAAATTTATCAAAATTCAAATTTTTTATGATTTTAAATCGAAACCATTTCAGAATTCAATTATTTCTAAAAATTCAGACTAAAATGCTTTTAATAATCAATTATTATCTAAAATTTTAACTAAAATTCATTTTTAAATCAATTTTTATTACAAAATTCTACGAGAAAAAAATTATTTTTTTTTGTATTTAAATAATTATTTAAATAGAAAAATAAATAATTTTTGGAATAATTGAAATTATTTTAAAATTGAATTCTGATAAAGAATTTTTAAAGAATAATTTTTGGAATAATTGAAAGTTTTTTAAAATTGAATTCTGATAAAGAATTTTTAAAGAATAATTTTTGGAATAATTGAGTTTTTTAAAATTGAATTCTGATAAAGAATTTTTAAAGAATAATTGTTGGAATAATTGAAAGTTTTTTAAAATTGAATTCTGATAAAGAATTTTTAAAGAATAATTTTTGGAATAATTAAAAGTTTTTTAAAATTGAATTCTGATAAAGAATTTTTAAAGAATAATTTTTGGAATAATTGAAAGTTTTTTAAAATTGAATTCTGATAAAGAATTTTATCAACTAATTTTTTAAAAATTGAATTCTTTCGACGAATTTTAATAAAATTTTTAAGAATAATTACATTTTTCGAGGAATTTGATTAAAATTGTATAAAAAATAATTGAAATTCTGCGATGAGTTTTATTATTTATGAAAATAATTGAATTCCTAAAAAGAATTTTATTACATATTTATGATAACAAGTGAATCCCTGTAAAAAATTTAATTTTTTTTAAATAATTGAATTCTTTTGTAAAATTTGATTAAAATATAGATATTGAAAATCATTAAATTGGGAAAATTTTTTGAAAATAATTGAAATTTTGCCAAGGATTTTATTAAAATTTTTGAAAATAATTGAATTCCTTCGAAGAATTTTATTAGAATATTATAGATATTAAATATAATTAATTTCCACTAAAGAATTTTATTATTTAAGATGATAATTAAATTTCTGCGACGAATTTTATTTAAATTATATTCAAAATAATTGAATTCTTGTAAAAAAATTTATTTTTTATGAATTTAATTGAATTCTTGTAACGAATTATATAAACATTTTTGAAAATAATTGAATTCTGAAGCTGAAATAATTTAATTTTCGCTTTAGAATTTTACTAAAATTTTCGAAACTATAATTTAATTGTTCCGAAGAATTTTCTGGAAATTTTGTAGAAAATAATCCAATTCTTTTATTGTGGAATTCAATTGAAATTGTATATTGAAAATAATTGAATTCTTTCAAGAAATTTTATTAAAATTATACATTAAAAATAATTGAATACCTGTGAAGTATATTTGCGGGTAGAAAAATACCTTAAATTTTTTTTCAAGATTGTAACCGTCAATTTTTTTTCTATTTTTGACAATAATTTCTTTTTAAATAACTTAATTCTTGAAGAAGTATCATAAAATTATTATTTAAAAATTATGTAATGAATAATTTTATACTTAAATATTTTAAAATTAATTGAATTTTAAAAGAGTTGCGTCTACAAATTTCATAAATATAGATGAAAATTTCAAAAGATTTTAATTTGATATTTTATAAAATTTCACTTTTGAATGAAATTAATTAGAAATTTTAAAGAACTGAGATTTTTGAAAAATTTTAATAATTCAAATTCTTCTGAAATTAGTTAAATTTTTTAATATATATTTATTTAATTATTCAAAATAATGGATGTATAGAAGAATTTTAGTTAAAAACACTAAAGAAAAAATTGATTTTTGGAGAAGTTAGAAGAAATTCAATTATTTTCAAAAGTAATAAAATTATTCACAGAAATTCAATTATATTATGTTCAAAAATTTAAAAAAATTCTCATCGATATTTCAATTATTTTTATAAATAATAAAATTCTTTTCTGATATTTAATTATTTTCAAAAATTTTAATAAAATTCTTGGCAAAATTTCAATTATTTTCAAAAATTTTCCTCAATTCAATGATTTTTAATAAATCTACTACTTTAAAAAAATTTTACAAAAGAATTCAATTATTTAAAAAAAAATTTTGATAAAATTCTACGCAAAAATTTAATTATTTTCATAAAATTAAAATTTCACAGCAATTCAATTATTTCTAAATTTTCTATAAATTTTTTCACATTAATTCAATTATTTTCATAAATAATAAATTTTTTTACAGGGATTCAATTGTTTTCATAAATAATAAAATTGTTTTTATAGGAATTCAATTATTTTCATAAATAATAAAACTCATCGCCGCAGAATTTCAATTATTTTTTATACAATTTTAATCAAATTCCTCGTAAAATGTAATTATTCTTAAAAATTTTATTAAAATTCGTCGAAAGAATTAAATTATTTAAAAAAATTTTAATAATATTCATTTAAAGAATTGAATTATGGTTGAAAATTTTGATAAAATTCTTTGCAAGAATTCAATTATTTTCAAAACTGTTTATAGAATTCTTTACAAGAATTTCAATTAAATTCATAAAAAATAAATTTTTTTACAAGAATTCAATTATTTTGAATATAATTTAAATAAAATTCTTCAGTGGAATTCAATTATATTTAATATTTAATTCTATAATAAAATTCTTCGCAGGATTTAATTATTTTAAAAAATTTAGATAAAATCCTTGGCAAAATTTCAATTATTTTCAAAAATTTTCCCCAATTCAATGACTTTTAATGTTTATATTTTAATCGAATTTTCCAAAAGAATTCCATTATTTAAAAAAAATTACAGGGATTCAATTGTTATCATAAATAATAAAATTCTTTTTAGGAATTCAATTATTTTTTCATAAATAATAAAACTTATCACAGAATTTCAATTATTTTTTATATACAATTTTAATCGAATTCCTCGAAAAATGTAATTATTATAAAAAAATTTATTAAAATCCGTCGAAAGAATTCAATTATATAAAAATTAGTTGATAAAATTATTCTTTATCAGAATTCAATTTTAAAAAACTTTCAATTATTCCAAAAATTATTTATTCTTGTATTTAAATAATTATTTAAACACAAAAATAAATAATGTTTTTCTCGTAGAATTTTGTAATAAAAATTAATTTAAAGATGAATTTCAGGTAAAATTTTAGATAATAATTGATTATTAAAATAACATTTTAGTCTGAATTTTTAAAAATAATCGAATTCTGTAATATGGTTTCGAATCAAAATCTTTGAAAATTTGAATTTTTCATACTTTTAACTAACAATTCTGTATAGAATTAATTTTTATGAAAAAGTTTAATTGAATTTTTTTTTGAAATTATTTGAAGTTTTAAATTTCTTGAAAAATTTTCAAATAATCGAAATTTCGTAAAATTGAATTGTAAACAAATGGATTTTGAAAAATTCTAGAAAATAATAATATAATAATATTTAATAAAATATTTATTTTAAAAAAAGAAGTTATTGATGTTTACGAATAATTTTACAATTAAAAAAATTCGTAAATAAATGTTATTACATTTACATTTTTTTTGAACATTTTTTTTTTGAATATTTAATAATTTTTAAAGTAAATAAAAATTATTCTTTAGATCATCCAGGGTAGAAATTAAAATTTTGCCTTGAAATCAGGGAAAACAAGATTAAATTTTTGTATCAATTTTGTTTATTCTGCATATTTTGTTATATAAAAACAAAAATTTACCAGTTTTTTCCTTTTTTTTATTATAATTGACTCTAAAATTCCGATTTTTAGAAAATGGTCATACTTTTTCTGAAATTATTTCAAAATACACAGATTATGAACCCATTCGCGTATAGAATAATATTATAGTTTATAAGAATATTTTACAGTATATATTTAAATATAAGAATCGGGAAGTAATAAAAATAAATGTGACTGAATCGAGAAAAAATGTTTTTTACATAAAAAAATTTATGCTTTTAGTATATAATATATACTATAGGGTAAATATATTCTAGTATCTATATATTTTCCAGTATATATATACGCACATATATAATTCATACCTTCATTTATGTATAAATGTTGAAAATGTTTTAGCTCCGCCTATATGGATCCTGTGGTTTCTGCCTTCTTCGCGCCTATTTGAAAGGCAAAATGCATTTCGTGTTGTGAATGTATGGGAATATTTCTTGAGGCCTGCCTTTTCTCTTTTTTAAAAGAACGAAGGGGGCCGAGCCTGTGACCAATAATATAAACCGGTTGAACCAGTCGTTGAATCGATAGCGTGATTTCTTTTTCATTTTTTCCTCTTCTTTTCTTCACTATAAAGAATGAAAAAAAAAATGAAGAAAGAGCTTCAAATAAAAAAAGGGCCGCTAAGTCCTTTCAAAAATGGTGGACGAAAAAAAATTCGATGAAACTTTTTTCTACAATGGAGCCTTATTCGAAATCAACTTTGAAAATTATAGGTAAAAAAACAAATTTTCTTTATTCTTTTCTTCACTGATAGGAATTGAATTTTATTTACAAAAGAATGGAATCTAATTTATTCATTTATTTAATTAATTTCCTTTTTATTTAGAATTTAAAAAAAAAATGTCTTATTTTTAATTTAATTTTTAGAAAAATTAAAAAAGAAATATATTTAAAAAAATATTTTTTAAAAGAATATTTAATTTTAAGAATACGTAATAAATGTTAATAAATTAGATTTGTGAAGTATTATTAAATTTTTAAATCTTTGTTGCAGCTCAACTGAAAATTCGAAATTTCAACGTGAAAGGAGAAAATTAAACAAAAACAGATTAAGAAAAATGTATTGAATAAATAATCCATTGTTATGCTGATTTTAATTGTCGCAATGACTATATCGATATATAATAAGGACAAGGATGAAAAACAATAATATTATGGAAGACGGAAAAAGACAAAAAAAATTAATTTTTCTATTTAGAAGAATAGAAATCATGGTAAATAATAATTTTATTTTTTGTGAATTTAATTGTAAAGAATATTTTACAAAAATTTTTGAAAATAATTTAAAGAATTTTATCAAAATTTTTAAAAATAATTGAATTGATCCGAAGAATTTTATTAGAATTACATTAAAAATAATTGAATTCCACTGAAGATATTGATTAAATTCTATTTAAAATAATTGAATTTCTGTAAAAAAAAATTTTTTTTACGAATTTATAATTAAATTCTTGTGAAGAATTTTATGAAACATTTTGAGAATAATTGAATTTTACTGAAGAATTTTATTATTTAGGATAATAATTGAATTCCACTGAAGATTTTTATTATTTTAGGAGAATAATTAAATTTCTATGACGAATTTTATTCGAAAAGTGAATCATTATTATAAAAATAATTCAATTCTTTACAAAAATATTATTAAAATTTTTTAAACCTAATTGAATTCCACTGAAGAATTTTATTATTTTAGGAGAATAATTAAATTCCTACGAAGAATTTTATTAAAATTATATTAAAAATAATTGAATTCTTGTGAAAAATTTTTTTATTTACGAATTTAATTGAATTTTTGTGAAGAATTTTATCAAAATTTTTGAAAATAATTGAATTTTTCTGAAGAATTTTATTATTTAAGAAAATAATTGAATTCAAACAAAGAATTATATTAAAATTATTTTCAAAATAATTGAATTTCTACGAAGAATTTAAACGAATTTTAAAAAAAAACATTCAATTCTTTAGATGAATATTATTAAATTTTTTTTAAATAATTAAATTCCTCTGAAGAATATTATCATTTAGGCAAATAATTGAATTTTTATAAAGAATTTTGCATTAAAATTATTTTCTAAATAATTCTATTTCTACGAAGTGTTTAACAAAAAATTTTTTTAAAATAATTAAATTCTATTGAAAAATTTTATTATAATTTTTAAAAATAATTTAATATTCATCCGAAGAATTTCTATTATTTATAAAAATAATTGAATTTTTGCCAAGAAGTTTATTACTATATTTTTAAAAAAAAGTTTAATTCTTATAAAAAGCATATTAATTCAAAATTCTATTTAAAAAAATAATTGAATTCTTGCAAAAAACTTTATCAAAATTAAGAATTTAATAATAAATTATTTAGGATTATAATTAAATTCCTACGACGAATTTTATTCAAATTATATTCAAAATAAAATGAATTCTTGGAAAAATTTTTTTTCAAAAAATTTAATTCTTCTGAAAAATTTTACTATTTAAGAAAATAATTAAATTCAAACAAAGAATTATATTAAAATTATTTTCAAAATTATTTAATTTTTACGAAGAATGTAAACAAAATTTTTAAAAATAATTAAATTATGTCGAAAAATTTTTTTTAAATTATTAAAAATAATTCAATTCTTTAGATAAATATTAAGATTAAATTTTTTTAAATAATTGAATTCTTTAAAAAAGTTTTATTAGAATTGTATTAAAAATAATTGAATTTCTCCGAAGAATTTTATTAGAATCACAATTAAAATAATTGAATTCCACTGAAAAATTTTATTAAATTATATTTAAAATAATTGAATTCTTGTGAAAAATTTTTCTATTTACGATTTGAATTCAATTTTTGTGAAGAATTTTATCAAAATTTTGGAAAATAATTGAATTTAAGCAAAGAATTGCATTAAAATTATATTTTCCAAATAATTGAACTTCTACGAAGAATTTAACAAAAATTTTTGAAAATAATTAAATTCTATCGAAAAATTTTTAAAAATAATTGAATTCTTTAGATGAATATTATTAAAATTTTAAAAAAATAATTGAATTCCTCCGAAGAAGTTTTTTAGAATTATATATTTAAAAAATAATTGAATTATTACACTGAAGGATTTTTTTCAAAATTTTTGAAAATATTTGTATTCCTCTGAAGAATTTTATTATTTATAGGAAAATAATTGAATTCAAACAAAGAATTTTATTAAAATTATTTTAAAAATAATTTTTATTTCTTGCAAAGAATTTTATTACAATTATTTTAAGAACAATTGAATTTATCCGAATAATAATAATAATGAAGATAATTTTTTTAAATTTAAAAATAATTACTGTAATTATATTATAAATTTTATAAATCCGAATTTTTCCACATTCTTTTTTTCCAATTATAAAATAAACAAAAAAATTCAATCTCCGTTACAAATTATAAAATTTTTGTGAAAGTTTTTCGACAAATGTTATATATATATAAATAAGAAGCACCCAATTAAGATTTTTTTCTTCTTTTTTTATTCAAATGAGATTCGTGTATAATTTTCTTTTTAATTTGACATCAACGGAAAAAAAACCGTTTTCTAATGTTTTGAAATCGATTATTATTTATGACTTTCTTTCTTTTGCTAAAAGAATATGTTTCTATTTATATATAAAAATTTCAACAATTTCCTGATCGATTTTGAAAGTGTCTTCAAATTTTATTATATACATAAAAATTTTTTTATTTTTCAAGTATTTTTCATTTTTTTTTAAAAATATTTGAATAATTCTTTATACGCTTTAAAAATTTTAATATATAATTATTATAATTTTTATAACTATGGAATTGTAAACTAATAATTTTAAATTTAGTGCATTAAATTGTAATATAGTTTTTAAATTAATTTTGAAAATAATTTCAGAAAAATTTGTTATCGTCTTTTTTTGGATAAACATTTTTTTTTAATTTACGAATCATTAGGATAAACAATTTTTATGATAAACTAACACAATTTCTTATCGACTTTTATTGTAAAGAACTTTTTTTTATTAAGTTCGGTAATAACAAATTTTTTCATTTCAAAAGGAAAATTAAGTTATAAGTTTAAAAATTTATAAAATAGAAAAATAAAAGTTCCTACTTTTAGTTTTCTATTTTTAACTTTCTATATGTAGTTAAAACATAAAAAATTAAGTAATTGAAAAATAGTATATTATTGAATAGAAAATTAAAAAAAATAATTGAAAAATAGAAAATGGAAAAATAGAAAATTAATAAACAGAATAGTAATAGGAAATTAAAAAAAAAGAAAATTAAAACAAAAAATTACAAAATTAAAAAATAGACAATTAAAATTATAAAATTAAAACATAAAATATTGAAAAATAGAAAATTAATAAAATGGAAAATTATAAAAGTAATAGAAAATTAAGAAATTGAAAAATTGGTAAAATAGAAAATTTTCTAGAAACTGTTATTTATGTACGCAAAAATATTTTTTTTTCTCTTTTTTTCCTTTGCTTTGCGCACATATTTATAAATATAATGCAAATGGCATATTCGAGCGATAATAAATCATTAATTACAAAAGTTATTTTACAAGAAATATTGATCTTACTACTTATTAACTTAACAACTGTCCAATTTGAAGGATTAGGACGAGTCCTAAATTTTATTAGGGACGGATTAGCATTTGAAAATTGGGCCCTAAAGCCCGGCAGCAATAAAATCAATCAGAACGGAAATGGGATAATGACTAAAAACGACTTCGGCATTTGGAAAGTCATTTGTGCGTCAAAAAGTCATAGTTATAATTTCTCAGAAAGGAAAAAACAGAAAAAGTTTATTAAAAAAAAAGAAAAATTATTTTCATTTTTCTCTATATACAATATATTTTATATATATATATATTTGTAGAAAGAAAATTCTGAAACGTTGTGGAATAAAAAGAAAATCATTTTCAAAAAAAAAAATAATTTTTGAAAAATATTTCTATTTTATGTATTTTTTGATTTTTTCTCGAAACTATTTTTTATATTTTTGGTTTTTAGATTATTTTTGTGTATTTTATTTTTTAAACTATTTTTTATATTTTCGCTTTTCAATTATTTTTTGTATTTTATTTATTAAACTATTTTTGTATATTTTCGCTTTTCTACTATTTTTTATATTTTATTTATTAAACTATTTTGTATATTTTCGTTTTTAAACTATTTTTTGTATTTTATGTATTAAACTATTTTTTATATTTTCGCTTCTAAACAATTTTGTATATTTTATTTTTTAAAATACTATTTATTTATTTTTTTTGTTTATGTATTTATTTTTCTTGTTTATGTTTTTTTTGTTTATATATTTTTATTTTTTATTATCATTATTTTTTTTATGTTGTACATATTATTTTTTTATTTGTTTATTTATAGACGGAATTAATTAATTTATTACTTTTATTATTTTTATTAACTTAATTTTATTCTGGGTTTATTGATTTATAAATAAATTAATTAATTAATTAATAACTTAATTATTTAAATTTATATTTTTTTAAATTTACAAATAAATATATTACAACTGTAAAATAATAATTTTTTTTTTTATTTTTATTATTTAATTTTCTGAAATTCTTGAAGAAAAAAAATTTAAACCTCATCGTGACATCTGTCGGTTTTGCTTGAGAAGTTACGAGTCATAAGAGAATTTTGACAGCAAGGAATAAAGTAGAAAACAATAAAAATTGAAAAAAAAAATAAATTTACATAAAAATGAATAATTTAAAAAATTAATTTATTTGATATATTTTTATATTTACAGTTAATTAATTTTAATTTTCGATTTTAATTTTTAACAAATAATATTTTTAATTTAAATTTTCCATTTTTATATTTATACCTAAGTAAAAAAATATTTTGTTTTATAATTTTTTATTAATTATATAAAATATTAAATTAATTTTTATGGCTATTTTATTTGAAAAATTTATTTTATTTATTTACAAACGGGATTTATTTATCTATAAACAAAATTATTTAGTCCATTTTGTGTAAGATTTATTTTATTCTATTATTATTGTTATTATTATTTTAATTTTTATCGTTTTTACTATTTTATTTTTGTTATAAATAAATTATTTTTTTTTCTATTTTTAGCATTTTTATATTATTATAATTACTATATTATCAATATTGTTTTTATTATTATTTCTATAATTATTATTATCATTATTATTATTATTATTTTATTGTTGTTATTATTATTATTATTATTACTATTTATTTTTGTTGTCATAAAATAAACAAATCTTCTTCCTTGAAAATAATGATTAAAGGAAAAATTTTCTACCCCCGGAAGTTGAAAATAATTATTCGAACAATTTATTAATAAATCAATATAAAAATAATAAATAATTTACAAAGAAATGAATAATAATAAATAATAAATAAAATTTTTTCTTATAAAATAATTTAATAATTTAAATATTTCCCAGACTTAGTCGCGCAGTGTTTTGATTCGTCGTTGTCATGGTAAAATTGATCAACAAAATTTTCAGTTCCGGAATCAAAACAATTGAATTGAGTGAGTGTGTGTGTCGTAAAAAACGGACAATTAACCAGTGTTATTAATACGAATAAAATTCATGTGCAAAAAAATAAAAAGGACAATAATTCAAAAAAAAAAATTCGTCAACAAAATTTGTTCATACAAGAAAAAAAATGAAGATAAATATTTTTTTTCTAATATACAATAAAGGAATATAAATTGAATATAAATTGAATATAAATAGAATATTAATAGAATAACAGAGAATAATTATACAATTCGAATTTTTTTTATATAAAACGTGGGAATTTTATAGATTGAAAGTTTTGAAGAATTTCCCTCTCGCAAATATGAAACTTTTTGTTTATTTTGAAATAATTTTTTTTTCTTCTTCTTGTTAAATTGTTTATATAATTATTGACAATTATTCTTAATATGATAGTAATGAAAAAGAGAAGGACTGCAAAAGTAAAGAGAAAATTCGAAAAATAAAAATTTTTCTTTTTGATATAAATTTTTACTGCGGGAAAAGAAATTTTTCCTTTGTCAGAAATTTTTTTTCTATTATTTATTATTTGTTAATATTATTAATATTATTATTTATTTTTCTTTTTTAAAATAATTCTTTAATAATATTTTTTTCTAATTTTAACTCTTTCGAATTGAATCGAATTATTAAATTAAAATTCTTTGAAACAAAATTTTTTTTTTGTCTTCGAGTATTTGATAAATTTCCATCTAGATTAAAATTTTCCCGAGTGATAAATTCAATTTTTACTAATTAATATTATTATTTCTTATAAAAAATATAAAATTTAAAAAAAAAATCTTCTAAAAATCGAGTATTATTATAATTAAATCCAAACAAAATAACAGCACAATATTATTATTATTGTTTGGCAAAAAAAATATTATAAAAATTAGTTATTGATTTATTATTTAAAAGAGAATAGAAAAAAAATGACACTTATTTTAACGAGGGTCGATTATTTATCAGTGGGAGTAACAGCTCGAGGGACAACAAAACTTTTGCCCACTGATTCTAAACAAACACAAAAATTTGTCGTTGGTGATTACGATGGAATCGTTCACATTTATGGTAAAAAAAAACTCTTTTTTATTACTTTTAAAAAAATTATATTAATTCTCTAAAATATTATAATTTTATTACTTTTTCAAATTTTCTTTATTTTTATTATTTAAATTCAATTTTTCAAATCTCTTTTTAATTTTTTAAAATAATTTTTTCATAATTTTTTAAAAATTATATTTTAAAATCGTTTTATTATTAATAATACTTTTCTTAATTATTTCTTAGAATTATTTCTCTATTCTATTAATTTTTTATTTTTCTTTCTCATGAAATAATTAATTTTCTTCTAAATCTGTTTGCTTCTGAATAAATAAACAATTTTTGGTAATGTTAATAATTTTCTATTTTTTTTATATAGAAAACAAAATGACTCGTTATTTATTGCTCAAAGTTTTTCTTTAACCTGCGAGAGGAAAAGAGGAAAAAAAGTGTTTTTTTAATATAATAATTTTTCTTTTCTATTTATAGGAATGAAGAAAAACGAATTGCAGCTAATTTTCAAATCATTACCGGGACCAAAAATAAATGGATTAATATTGGGTGGTGCTGTCGACATGATACGTGATAAAATTTTTATATGTCACAGCAATACAGTGAAAGGATTTTCGAAAAAGGGAAAACTTTTTCTCGATTTTGATACGAGCCTTCTTGACGATATTACCGCAATGTAAGTTCATTAAAAGAAAACAAATACCAGTCATCATTATTTTAATTTTAAAATCGAAAAAATAATTTTTAATCTCATATTGTATTAATTATTATCAATTTAATTAATTATGTTATTTTGTAAAAAATTTCAGTTACGTTTTGGGACCAGATTTGGCAGCTTGCTCTCGAGATGTTTATCATCGTTATCGGGATTGCAAGGATGCAGATTCTTATTTAGTTGGCGAACGACTTCTCGATGTTGTTCTACTTCCGGCGGAGGGACTTGCTGTTTATACAGTTTTAGCCTGCAGTGATTGCGCTGTTAGTAAAATTTTCAAAATTAAAAATTAATAATTAATTTTTATTGTTTATTATTTTCAAAAATTTTTAATAAATTTCAATTCTTTTCATAAATGATAAAATTCTTCACAAGAATTTAATTATTTTTATAAATATATTAGTAAAAATCTCAGCAGGAATTCAATTATTTTCAATACAATTTTAATTAAAATTTCACGAAAGGATTCAATTATTTATTTTTTTAAACTAAAATTTTGCTCTAAAACGGAAATATGTCTAAAATCTATTTGTTTAGGAGAAAATTTCTTGAAATTTCGAATAATTTAAAAATTTTTCAATTAAATTTAACTTTTTCAATCTGAAATATATAATCAAATTTTGACTTAGAATTTTATTTTAATTTTTGAAAATAATTTAATTGTTTTGAAGAATTTTATGGAAATTTTGTGAAAATTATTAAATTCTTTTGAGCAGGAATTCAAATTAAAATTGTATTGAAAATAATTAAATTCTTACAATTGAATTCTTTCGAGAAATTTTATTCAAATTATATTGAAAATAATTGAATTCCTGTAAAGAATTTTATTATATCTATGAAAAATTTTATTGAAGAAGAATTTTATTAAGTAAAAAATCTTAATAAAATTTTTTGCAAGAATTAATTTAATTTTTTAGAATTCAATTATTACTTATATATTGAAAACTTTTGATTACATTTTTTGTAAGAATTCAATTATTTAAAAAAAATTTTTTAATTATTAATAGAATTCTTACGAAAAATGAAATCAAAACTTTTCAATATAATTGAATTCTTTCGAAGAATTTTATTAAAATTGTATTGAAAATAATTGAATACCTGCGAAGAATTTTATTATTTATAAAAAATGATTGAATTCTTTCGGAAAATTTTATTAAAATTCTAGAAAAAATTAATAATTAATTAATTAAGAAGTGATTTTTTGGAAATTTTCGAATCTGAATTTATTCTAAGATTATAGTTGATATTTGAAACAAAAAAAATTGTGTAGTTTGCATAATAATAAATTCGATAATAATATAATATTATTTTATAGAATTTTATTAAAAGTTGAATTGTTTAAAATTTTTTATCTGAAATTATTCAAAATTATTATAAAATTCAGTTATTTTTTCAATTTTTAAATAAAATTATTCTCAAAATTCTTTTAAATAAATTCAATTTCAAATTTGTTATTATTATTATTATTTTTTTATTATTACAATTATTATTATTGTCATTATTCTAATCATCGAAATTGTTTCAGGTAAGAGTCCTGTACGGAACGAAAAGTCCAACAATAATTAGATTACCAAGTGTGCCATCAATTTTGAAATTATTCAGGTAAAAAACGTGGCGAATCTTTTTTCAATCGACTATAAAAATTAAGAAGAAAAAAATTACATGTAAATTTTAGAAAATTATTACATTCTCATTTTTTAGCTATTTTTTTTATAAATTATAAAAAGAAGAAAATTATTTCTTTTAAGAAAATTAATTTTACATTAAAAATATTTGATTTAAAAATAAAAAATCTGAATTGAACAGATTTAAAAAAAAAAATTAAAATAGAAACGAGAATAGAAATTGAGTTTAAAAAAAATTAAATTAAATAAATAGTTGAATAAAAATTTATTGAATTAAATATTTCCTTTTTATTTAAATTTAAAATTAAGAAAAAATTGCAATTTTCGTAAAATTAGTAAATTTAATTAATTGAGAATTTAGAAATTTGAAAAAAAGAGTAGACATTTTTGAAACATTGGTTTTTTTCTATAATTACAGGGAAGATAATGTATTATCAAGGAATCACGTTTTAATGGGAACTTTAGATGGAAAAGTAGGTCTTTTAATTCTAGAAACCAATAAAACCGTACGTGTCACGTGGCTATTAAATGATTCGAGTTCAGAAATTACCGCTTTAGATACTTACGTTTTACAAGATACTCTGGATTTTATCGTGGGAAGGCAAAATGGAATTGTCGAGGTTTTCGCCTTTCCCACCGACGAGGAAGCAACTCCAACTTTACGATTCCGTTATGTTGGTATTTCAACAACAACAAAGAAAAAGAAAAATTTATAATTTTCATTTTATTTCACTAAAAAAAAGGGACAAAAAAACAAATTTGTTTTGTTAAAAAGCAATTAACTTTCTCGACAAACTAAAATTCTGTTTAAAAATTTCTTTTGCACTATAATTAAAAATTTTGTTTCCTTTTTTTAAAACAACTACAAATTTAGAACATTTTCACTAGAAATTTTTCCTCTGAAAACCTTTCACTTTCATAAATAATTTTAATTTAATTAATATTTTACGAGAAAAACTCAAATAGAAATTTTTCTTTGTTTTATTATTGTTTCTATTTGTAAGAAAAGTTAGTTTATTAAAACTAAATATTTTTCATATAAAATATTCCAAAGTTAACTAAATAAATAATAATAATATTCGTTCAAAGCCGAAAGGCATGAACTATGTATAATAAATAAATAAATAATAATAATAACAATAGGAAAATATATAAATAAATAATTAACTAGAAAAAAATTAACTTGGAGACAAATTTGTTTTTAAAATACTTGTTGGATTTTATTTCTTTTTTTTATTTAATATAAAATATTTTAAACTTAACTAAATAAATATATAATAATAATAATAATAAATTGTTTTTAAAATACTTGTTGGATTTTATTTTTTTCTTTTTGTTTTTATTTATAATAAAATGAATAAAATGAAATGAAATAAATCGTTTTGTTTTCTTTTTTCAACAGAATTGTGGCGAAAGTGTGAGCAGTTTAAATGGCGGTGTCGTGGGAGCAATTGGCTTTTCAGAAATTCTGGTAACAACTTATTCGGGAAGAATTTTCGGTCTCTCGACAAAACCACCGGGATTAATGGAGGCAATGCAAAATCAGGCGAGCATTTCAAAATTAGAACAAGAAATCGAACAATTGCAATTGAAATTAACTGAGGAAAGGGATACATCTAATTATGTCGCTGAAAATCTTGTTCCTTTGGTTCTATCCGTAAATTACAGGTGAATTACATTAGAATGAAAAAATTCGAAAAATTATTACTTCTTTCAAAAATATTTTAATATAATTTTTCTTTCAGCAATTTAATTAAAATATTGAAAATAATTAAATTCTTTCGAGAAATTTTTTTAAAAATCATATTGAAAATCTAATTGAATTCCTGTGAATAATTGCAATTTTTGCAAATATTTTTGACGAATTTAATTAAAATTCTATTGAAAATAATTGAATCGTATGCGAAGTATTTTATTGAATTTTTTTTTTTTGAAAATAATTGAATTGTTTTAAAGAATTTTATTAGAGTTAAATTTTTTTAAATTTTCCTAGTTATTCATATATTATTTAGAAAAATTGAAAGCGTAACTTTGATACAATTCAATTATTTGTTCAATTTTTAATTAAAATTATTCGCAAAATTATTTTAAATAAATTCAATTTCAAATCTGTAAAGTTCAATTTGTGTTAGAAAGAGAAAGAATTTTAAATTAAATATTTTCTTTTTTTTTTGCTGTTGCGTTGGACAACAAAATTCAGAATTGATATATTTTATACTAATTTATTATAAAATAATAATTACGTTATGATATAATATCCACTATTCTAATTATTATTGAATTAATTATCATTAAAATACTTTATAAAATTAAATGAAATAAATAAAAGTTAATAGATAATTGATTAAACTTTTTTTTTTGCAGAATGGCCCTTAATAAAGCTGACACTTCATATTCGTTATCGGTCGAGCTGGATACGGCAATAGACAATGTTTTAATTCAATCTGACGCTCCTATTGAACTTTTGGATGTTGAAAGTAATAATGCAGTGGCTAGTTTATCAATTTGTGATCCCAATGAGGGAAATTATGTTTTAGCAACTTATCGATGCCAAGTTAGTTCTTTCAAGAAATTTTCTCATTTTTTCCTGAGAATGTAAACAAAATAATTTTCAAATAATAATTTTTTTTTAGATAAATACAAAAATGCTGGAAATGAGAATAAGGACCATAGAAGGACAATCTGGAACTTTACAAGTTTACGTAACGTCTGACGTAAGATTTCATAATTTTCTTTTGTTAATATTATGTCTTAATTTCTGATTTTAATATGGAAAATTTGAATTTCTGTGTTTAAATTTGAAATTTTTTAATATGAGTTTCTTATTCTATTTTCAAAAATTTTAATTCGAATTTCTGATTATAAGCACGTTTCGATTCGAATTTCCATCTTTATTTTTGAAAAATAATTTTAAATCATTTATTCGAATTTTTAACTTTAATTTTTCAAAGGACACAAAATGTCCTTTGTAATTTTAATTGATTTTCATTTCTTCTAAATTGCAATTGAAGGGCTGGATGCTATAATGTGATACGCGCCATTCACTTAACATGGCGCGTAACACATTATAGCATCCAGCCCCTCAATTGATTTTAATTTTAAATTAAAGGAAATAAAAAAATTAACTTTTGTATATTTCAGGTTCAGCCGAAATGTTGTCGAAAAATAATAATTCCAATTTATGCCCTTTCACTGCACACGAGATTGCATGAAGAAGAAACACCAATTGGCGGACCATTCAATGAATTAAAATTAAATGGAAATTATTCCGTTGCCGAGGTATTTTCTCTCTCTCTCTCTCTCTAATTAAGTAATTAAATCTTTAACTTTTAGTTTTGTTTATAATTAATTATTATTATAATTAATGAAATTAAATTGAAATTAATTCAATATAAATGCTGAATAAATAAAAAAATAATTGTTTTAAATATCTTCCAAGTTTTAATTGATTTTAATTTCCATTTTACAATTTCAATTGACTTTAATCTCTATTTTCAATTTCAGTTCATTATAATTTATATTTTTTATTGCAATTAATTTTAATTTCTAAATGAAGTAAAAATGAAGAAATAATAAATAAATTTATATTATGCCTGTAAAAATAAAAATTAATTTTTTAGATGCACGCGTGGCTTTCTCTTGTTTTACCAGAAGCTCCAGAAAGACCATTTCTACAAGAAGGCGAGGCAACATTAACCTACACGTCATGTTTTATTGGAACAAATCTCAAATGCATTTATAAGTACGTCCGTCAATTAATTTTCTATACAATCATTGACAAAGAAGACAAAAAAAGGAATCTCTTTACCTTATTATAATAATTAATCATTTTTCCAGAAAAGGAAGTGCAACTTTTCTCAGTGAAAATATTTCAACAATTATCATTCTTCGCGATGTTCTTACTAAAGAGGCCACCAAACGGAAAATGAAACTCGACGTTTTTTGCGGTAATTTGAAAGGAAATGAAAATATTTGAATTGCTCAAAAAAATTTACTTATTTTCACAAAACTTCCATAAAATTATTCATTAAAATTTTTGAAAATCAACTTTTGAAGAATTTTAATTGCACATTTTTAAAAGTTTTCTTTATATGATTTTGATTAAAAATTTAATAATTGCAGAAGTATCGGAGGCGAGTTTAACGAGAGTATTGGAAATAATTCTGCCACGAATAAAAACTGCTCACGATTTAACGGAGAAAACAATGATTCTCGATGCCCTTGAATATTGGGAGTTGAAGGAGAATCCAAAGAAAAATCTTGGCACAGAATATCAGGAAATTGTGAAAAATGAATTAAATATCAGGGCTCAGATGATTAATAATAAGGACATATTGCAAAGACTCAATGCTGTTGTCATAGATCTTTATGTCGATTGGCAGCGAGCAAAAGGCTCTCACAGGTTTCAAAATTTACTATTTTTCTTTTTTTTTTAAATATTTTCGATTAAAATATTTATAAAATATCAAATCATTTAAATTAAATTAAAATAATTTTAGAAAGAATAAATTCCTTCACTTCATTATCAATTTCGCTTTTGACAAAATCATCAATTATTCGATAAAAATAATTTTCTAACCGATAGAATTTGTTTCTTTTTAATAAAACACATTTTACGATTCTTTTTGACAAAATATTTTTTTTTCATTAAAATTATTTTAATTGTAAAAATAGTTAATTTGGAAATTTAATAATTCTTCTGCTTTGTTCTTAAAAAAAACATAGGATCACTAATCGTGTTGCATCGGGAAAATTGGACTCAGCTCTCAAATCGATGGACTTGAGAGAAATTCTTCAAATATTTCTCGATCGAGACATTCCCTGTGATATAGAAAATCTTCCAAGTGCCTCAAGGGATCAAAGCTAAATGTTAAAGTAAATATAAAAAAAAATATTACTAATTCAATTTAAATTTGCGAGTCAAATTTAAGGATTATTACTTAATATTTCTCTCTCCAAAATTTTAAAGTAAAAAAAGTTGCAATTTTTTTCAACGACAAATTCATAAATAATAATAACAACAATAATAATAATAAAAATAATAGATAATAATAAATAATAATAATAATAATAATAATAATAATAATAATAATAATAATTATTATTATTATTATTATTATTATTATTACCCAATTATAATTTTCTATAACAATTTTTAATTAAAAATTGCAATTTTTTTAAAAACAATTTTTAAAAATACAATTTTACATTTTAATTATAAAAAATTTTCAGTTCAATTAACTGCTTAAAAAAATTTATCTAATTATTTGAAAGATAATAATTAAGATTTTTAAAAAAGACACTTTTTACAGAATTTTAAAGAAAATTCTATAAAAATTTCAATTATCTTCAACATTTTCAAAATTTAATTTATTTTTGCTATTTTAATTAATATTTTTCGAAAGTTTAAATATTTTTTAATTTATCAAATAAAATTTCTGAAAATTTCAATTATTCTCAATTTTTTATTGAAATTTCAATTATTTCCAAAGTTGTTAAATAATATTATCGAAACTTAATTTTTTTTTCAAATTTATAATTAAAATTTTTCGATATTTCAATTATTTTTCATATTGTATATAATTGATTTTCGATATTTCAATTATTTTTCATATTGTAAATAATTGATCTTCGAAATTTCAATTATTTTCAAAATTATAAAAAATAAACTAATTGGAAATTTCTATTAATATTAATATTATTCTTCGGAACTTTATTTATTTTTTAGTATTTTCAAATAAAAGTCTTTGGAAATTTCTGATATTTTCATAATTTTCAATTAAAATTCTAATGAATTTCGATTATTTAAAAAGATTTTATCAAAATCTTTCAAAAAAAACTCAATTATTTTTTAATACAATTTTACGAAATTGTAAAATCCATTTGTTTAAAATTTAATAGTTTTGAAATTTTACTTTTAACATTTTTAAATAAAATTCTTCAAAATTTCAATTATTTTCAAATTTTTAACTAAAATTCCACAGAAATTCTTTTATTTTAAAGAAAAATTTTAATAGAAATCTTTTAAAAAAAACTCCATTTTATTACACAATTTTACGAAATTTAAAATATTTAAAAAACTTTCAAAAATTTAATTAGAAATAGAAATAAAAGTTTTAAAAAAACTTAATTTTTACATAATTTTGATTAAAATTATTTGAAATTGTTTCAGAATAATAAGAATTTTTACTAAATTATAGACATTTTTCTATAATGTCGATTTTTTAATAAAAAATTTCATTTATTTTAATGACAATTTTTTAAATAAAAAAAAATTCAATTCAATTCCTAAATAATAATAATAATTTTTAGCAAATTATAATTTTCTTTAAATGTATTTTTGAATCTTAATAAAATTATCAAATAATTTTTCAAGAATAAAATTATAACTTTTGATGTAGATAAATTGTTTAAATAAGAAAATTGTCATTTTTTTTCTATGACAATTTCTTGTTGAAGGAATTAATATATTTTTCCTATTTTCTTCAATTGAAAAAAAAATGTATTTCAATTGAATTTTCTTTCGACGTAAATCAAATATTGGAAATAATCCCTAAATTTGAAAAAAAACGCAGGCGTAAAAATTAAAAAAACAAAACAAGACTGTAACAATTGTTTTTTTTCTGTAAACGTTTCGACGTAAAAAATATATTTTTCAATATTGATCACGATTATAATGGGCTAAATTGTTCGACTTAAATAAAAAAAATGTGTAACGAACAATGTGTGTGTTTTTTTTAAAGATAATGGCATTGTTGTACAACGTCATTTTTACATGGTTCTTTTTCTTTTTAATACGTAAATTCTTAAATTATAAAAACATATTATAATTTTTACAATACTATAATTATAATTTATTTAATTATTATAAATTTATTATTTATAACTTATAAATCATTTATATTATAATTATAGTAGAATGTATAATTATAATACAACCAGAAATTATAAAATAAAATTCATTATAATAATATATAAACATATATGTATATATGTATAACATATATGTATATATATTTATATATAATATAGTAAACTTATATTTACATTTGCGAAAGCGTTTAAATAACATGTAATATGGCTAAATACATATTTCACTAAACAGCCAGCTTTCATTTGAAAAAGTACCAATTTTTTCTTGTTTACGGTAATATTGTAAATAAAAAAAATGGAAAATAAAGACTAAGAAAAAAATTGCACAGAGAATTATTTCCTCACTGGGACAGTAACATATTTTACTAGATATAAATTTAATTACTATTTTAATAAGTCTAATTTTGTAGGTGTGATTCTCCAGAATTTTTCAAATAGAAATAAAAATAATAATGATAATAATAATAATAATAATAATAATAATATAATAATAATAATAATAATAATAATAATTGTAATATTAATAATATTAATTTTAATCATAATGATAATTATGCTCTTAAATTGTAATAATAATTATAACTGTAATTATAACTATAATCGACTATAATCAAAATTATAATCACAGGCATAATCATAATTATAATCATAATCGCAATCATAATCATAATCGTAATCATAATTATAATCATATTCTTAATCACAATCATAGTCGCAATCATAATAATAATAATAATAATCTACTAATATTATAATTTTAATATTTTTTATAAATAATAGAAAAAATGAAAAAAAATAATAATAATAAAGAAATAGGTACAAAACTTTTTTGTAAATTTGATAATATATCATTTTTTTTTGTCTAAAATAATTATTTTAATTTATTTTTAAATCGGTACTTTTTTTTAATTATCATTGTTTTGGAAAAAAACAGACTGGTAAAAAAAAGGAAAAAAAAACCTTGATAATCGATGTTAACATCATGAATTTTAATTATTTTTTGTTTTGACTTAATTTAATTCCTATATTTAGTATTATGAAAAAAAAATTGCTTATTTAGGCGGATGTGAATTATAAATGTTTCTTCAGTCGTTTTGGAGTTTTTTTTGTTAATATTTACAAAATTCTCTTAAAAATGAAAATTGTTCTCCATGTATTTGCTTGTTTTTTTTGTTTTTTTGTTTTATAATAATTATTATTATTGCTATACTTGTATTTTATTTTCTTGCTAGTTGAGTCTCGTATTTCTTCCTTCTTTTTCAATTTCTTCACATGAAGAGAAAGTGACTGAAACAAAAATATATTTTTTGTTGATTATATTTCATTTTTGTTAAGATTATTTCAAATAATTTAATTTGTTTACTATTTTTATAAAGAAATTTTATCATAATTGTGTTTGCAAAAAAAATTGCAATTATTTGAAATAGTAGTAGATTATTTTCCAACAACATTCTTTGAAGTTTCAATTATTTTCAAAATTTTCAATTATATTTTCGAGAAATAAAATTTAATTTCAAATAAAACTCTTCGAAATTTCAATTATTTTCAATATTCTTCGAAGTTTTAAATATTTTCAACATTATCTAATACAAGTTTGTAAAATTTCAATTATTTTAAATATTTTCAAGTAAAATTCTTCGAAATTCAAATTATTTTCAAATAAAATTCTAACAAATTTCAATAAAATATTTTCAAAACTATGTAATAAAATAAAATTGACAACAATATTTTTGAATTTTCATTTATTTGCAAAATTCTCAAAATAATAATCTTAGAAATTTCGATTATTTTCAAAATTTTCAATAATATTCTGCGAAATTTTAATTATTTTCAAAAATTTTAATTAAAATTCTTCAAAATTTGAATTAATTTCAAAATTTTCAATTAAAATTCTTTCAAATTTCAATTTTTTTAATAATATTCTTAAAAGTTTCGATTATTTTCAACATTTCCAATAATATCCTTTTTAATTGTATTTTCTATGAATATTTTGAAATAAAAGTCTTGGAAATTTCAAGTATTTCAAAATTTTTTTCATATAAATCTTTAAAAAAAAACTCAAATATTTTAATACAATTTTATAAAAGTTAAATTATTTGAAAAATTTAATTAAAAATTGGAACCTTTTGAATTCAAGTTTTTTAATAATTGTTGTTTAATAATTGTTCTTTGAGAATTCAATTAATTCAAAGAAAAAAAAGAAAGTTCACCTAAAATAATTCTAAAATCCATTTGTTATCAAATCGATTCGACGAAATTTCTATTATTCGGAAATTCTTCAATTAAATGTATATTAGAAGGTAAAAACTTGATAATAGTTTCAAAAAAATTCAACTAAACTTTTTCAAAAAAAAGAAATTAATTAAAATTTAGCAAAGAATTTTATTTAAAATTTTTCTAATAATTTAATTTTGAAGAAGAATTTAATTATCTATAAAGATAATTAAAATTTGACGAAAATTTTTGTTTTAATTTTTGAAAAATATTGAAGTTCTGCGAAGAATTATATTTCTTTTGAAAATAATTGTATTTCTGCAATCATTTGTAATTTTTCCAAAATTCAATTTTTTAAGTTTTTTTTAACTAAAAATCTTCTATAAATCCATTATTTTCTAGAATTTTTAACTGAAATTCTTCTTTTAATCAATTATTTTTAATAATTTTTGAAAAAGTTCTTCAATTCTTTTTCTTCAAAAATAAATTTAAATAATTTTAAAAAAAAATCCAATTAAACTTTTTCCAAAAAAATCAATTCTACAGAATTATTAGTTAAAAGTATGAAAAATTCAGATATCTAAGGATTTTAATTTGAAAAACCTTTTCAAAATTCAATTATTTCTAAAAATTCATGCTATAATACTTTTAGTATTCAATTAATATCTAAAATTCAATTTTAACTAAATTTTTATTAGAAAATTCTACGAGAATTCAATTATTTAAATGAATTTTTATTAGAAAATTTTACGAGAATTCAATTATTTAAATACAAAAATATTTAATTCATTGAATTTTTATTAGAAAAATTCTACGAGAATTCAATTATTAAAATAGAAAAATAATTAATTTATTGAATAATTCATTGTTTCTTAATTAAAAGTTAATTCTCATAAGTTTTACTATTTCTGAAAATAATAATTGAATTCCTAATAAGAATTTTATTATTTATGAAAATAATTGAATCCCTGTAAAAAATTTTATTTTTTCTGAAAATAATTAAATGTTTGTGAAGAATTTTATTAAAATTTTTGAAGATAATTGATTTTTTAATAATAATTTTATTATTGATAAAAATAATTGAAATTTTGACGAGAATTTAAAAAAATTTTTGAATATAATTAAATTTTTGCGAAGAATTTTATTACTTTTGAAAATAATTGAATCTCTGCAATCGCATTTGTAACTGTTCCGAAGTTCATTTTTTTTAGTGTCTTTAACGAAAATTCTTCTATAAATCCATTGTTCTTAATAATTAATTAATTGTTTATTTCAAAAAATTTAACGAATTTCAGAAGAATTTGAATTAAAATTTTTCAAAAATCTAAGTTCTTTAAAATTTCTAATTAAATTCATTGAAAATTGAAATTTTGAAATATTTAAGTAAAATTATTCATTTAATAATTGTATGCTACTTCCTCAAGAATTAAGTCATTTAAAAAGAAATTATTGTCGGAAATAAAAAAAATGAAGGTTTTGTATTAGAATTCATGATAACTTTGAAAGAAATCAACTCACAAATTATCCGAGTTTCGAATTGTCGGCTCGAGTTCCCTGCCAACAGTTTCCTGATTATTCGCCGGTCCATACTCCAAATTCGCCGTCGCCGCATGCGGCAAAATACTTTCGTGATTATCCTCAGGCGCAACCAACGCAACCTGCTCATAACGTCCAATACTCGCCGGTTCAACTTCCAATTTCAATTCATCAACAAGATCTTGAATTGTTTTCGGCCTCGCTATCGTACTGCCCTTAATACTCTGTTGCTGCTGCTGTTGCTGTACAATTTTTGATTTTGTCATCGTCGCCACTGTCGTTGAACTTGTGGTCGAACTTGTCGTGGAACTTGTCGTCGTTGTCGTCGACGTTGTTGTCGTTGTCGATGTCGATGACGAAGCTGATGTTTTATTATTTCCCGCTTTGTCGCCTTTGCCACGTGTATGTGTTTGCATATGCCTCTTCATATCGCTACGCACACGAAATGGTTTACCGCAAATTGTACACGGATGTGGCTTCTCTCCCGTGTGTATTTTCCGATGATTCTGCAAATAACTACTGGCACGAAATGTTTTATTACAATATTCACAGCGATAATTCTTTTCGCCCGTGTGTATCCGCCGATGGACAATCAATGAATATTTACGGGCAAAATCCTTGCCGCAATATTCACATTGAAATTGTCGTAATTCGGAATGAATGCTCGTTGAATGATATTTTAAATCGCCCCATTGACGGAATTTTCGGCCACAATCCTCGCATTTATATGGCTTGTCGCCGCTGTGTAGACGTTTGTGCACCTGAAATTTTTAAAGAAACAAAAAATTATTATCACTCACATTACTGAAATAAATTTATAATGAAACAAAAAAGTAGAACAGAATTTTGAATTTAAATGAAATTAGTGAAAATTTACCTTCAATGCGCTTGCTGCGAAAAAACTTTTGCCGCATTCATCGCATTGATGTGGTCTTTCACCACTGTGCGATCTCATGTGATAAATTAAACTATTCTTATAATTAAAGTAACGCTTGCAATGTTTGCACGTATGATCCTCGCCTGCAAAAAAACAATAGTCATTTTAAAATTAAAAGTAAGCAAAAAGGAAATTAATACTAAATTTAAAAAAATTAAGAAACAAGAAAATTAATTCTAGATTAATAAAAATTAAGCAAAAAAAATTAATACTAAATTAACGAAAATTAAACAAAAATATTAAATAATTAAATAAAATAATATTAAACAAAATATAATAAATTATATTATTATAAACAAAATAAAGTGAAATTAGAAAAAGAAGAAACTTACGATTTTTTTGACTTCTTTTTCGTTCCTTTTTCGCCGGTGCTTTTGGAATGTTCACATTTTTCTCCGAATTGACATTATTCTTATCATTATTGACTACATTTTTTCTTGTGATATCATCTAAATTTTTCATTTGCTGATGGCTCGGCCAATTTAAGTCATTACCGCACGGTAATGGATCCTCATCTGTCTCAAAATCAATTCGTGCTCCTGTTTCTTCAACTAAAAATAACAAACAATTAGAAATTATAGCTATATTCATATTTCTTTAAATTTAATTATTGAAATAATTGAAAATTCAAAAAAAAGTCAACATTTAAGAATAAAATTCTCACCAACGCCTCGAATGCCTTCCATTAAATCTTCAGATTCACTAAATTCTTCTACAACATTTTCCTCCACAATTGGTTGAATCGTTTTAACATTACTTTTCACCTCAATTTGCTTAATACTCGTTTCTTTCTTTAACGGTTCATAATGAGTCTGAAAATTACAAAATTTTTCAAATTTTGATCATAAAAAATTGTTATTTCTAAATTGTATTATAAAATATTATCACATATTTTTTAATTATATTACAGGATCACCGCTTTTTTATTAAAACAAAACTCTCAAAAATTATTTTCAAAATTTCAATTCAATTATTTTTTAGGAATTTTAACTAAAATTCTGCTTTAATTCAATTATTTTTAATATTTCTTGAGAAAGTTCCTTAAAAATGCAATTATTTTTAAACTTTTGTTCTATAATTAGTTCAAATATTTATTAATTCAAATTTAGAGAATAAGTTTTGTGACAACATTATTGCAAAAATATTTATTAATTAATTTATTTTTCTCTATTTTATACGTGGAATTTTGTCTATTTTAAAATATAAGATTTTCCATAAAATTTAATATTAATTTTTTATTACTTTTTGTAATTTTTGTAACTTTTTCTAATTTTGTATCTGAAATAATCAAATTTTTGCTTAGAATTTTATTTTAATTTTTGAAAATAATTGAATTATTTTCAAGAATTTTATGGAAATTTTGTGAAAATTATTAAATTCTTTTAAGCAGGATTTCCAATATAAATTGTATTAAATGATTAAATTCTTATAATTGAATTCTTTCGAAAAATGTTAGTACAATTCTATTGAAAATAATTGAATTCCTGTAAAGAATTTTATTATATAATATCTATGAAAATAATTGATTTCTTGCAATTATTTTCGAAAGAATTTAATTAAAATTGTATTGAAAATAATTGAATCTCGTGCAAAGAATTTTAATAAATTTTTTGAAAATAATTGAATTGCTATAAAGAATCCTGTTTGATAATAATTTTAATTAAAAATTTAATTATAAAATTCTATTAAAACGTTTTGAAAGTATTTAAATTATTCCCTGAATTTTATTACAATTTTTTTGAAAATATTTTTATTTTTTCGAGAAATTTTATAAAAATTTTACTAAAAATAATTGAATTCAAACGAAGATATTTATTATTAATTATAAAAATAATTAAATTACGAAGAAATTTTTTATTTATGAAAATAATTAAATTCTTGTGAAGAATTTTATTATTAAAAAAAAAATTGAATTCTTGCGAAGAATTTTATTTTATGTATGAAAATAATTGAATTCTTGCACATTTTTTCGACTAATTTAATTAAAACAAAATTCTTTGCAGGAATTACATAAATTAATTTTTTAGAATTCAATTATATTGAAAAGTTTTTATTACATTTTTTGTATGAATTCTATTATTAAAAAAAACTTTTCAATATAATGAAATTCTGAAAAATTAATGTTATTAAAATTATATTGAAAATAATTGAATTCATGTTCGAAGAATTTTATTGAATCTCGTGCGAAGATTTTTGGTAAATTTTTTATAAAATTGATATAAAGAAATTTATTAAAGTAGAATAACCAGTGTTTATTTAAAAAATAACACTTTTTAATAAAAAAAAATAAAAAATTCCGTCATTTCTCAGTTTTTCAAGTTTCCTGGTTCAGCGGTCACCCTGATAATATTTGTAAGAAAAGTCGAAAATGCCGCAATTTTTGAAAATAATTCGAAAAAAGGCGTTGTTTTTTAAAATAGTTGGAAAAAAAATGAAAAAATCATAATAACCGAGGTTTGTATTAACGAAAATAGACTAAAAAAAAGAAGATAAAAATAGATGATGATAATAGAGATAAAGATAGATAGAGAAGTTAAATAAACTGAAAATACAAATACAAACCTTGAGATGTTCGAAAAACTTCAATTGATTCGAAAAGCGACATGTACACAATTGACACTTAAAATTTGGAATTTGCATTGTCTCATTAACAATTTCCGGCACTGTCAATTCGGGACTTTTGTTTATTTCCTTTTTAGTGAGACTCTTTTTACTTGGTTGCTTCAATTTTCTCGTTATTCGCTTTTTATGTGGCAACGATCGTTTTGTGTTCGACAACAATGAATTATTACTATTACTTTGCTCCTCATTATTTCCATGTGAATCATTCTCGTGCTTAAAATTATTATCCTCCTCATGCTTATATGGCGTGAGCGATGAATAAACATTATTTGTATTTGTCTCAGCAATTGGATCAACAGCATAAATATCAACTGGCTCCAATGTTTGCAACTCCACAACATCAGCGAGGCCTGAATTTGCATTTGATTGCATTTGCTTTTGATGCTGTTGTTGTTGCTGCTGTTGATGTTGTTGATGTTGCTGCTGTTGATGTTGTTGCTGCTGATGTTGAATTTGAACAGCCACTAAAGCGGCGGTGAGTCTTTGATCCTCCTGAAAATTTGGAAAATAAAAAAAAACAGGAATAAAAAATAAGCCAAGAATTTTATTAAAATTTTCGACTTGTTATAATTTTTAAAGAAAATTAAAATTTCTTCTTTTTTTCACTCACTTCGGTCATAACTGGGGGTAAAAGATCTTCAGTCTCATAATACTGGGCGGTAGTGTTATATTCTCCTGTGACATCGGCATTAATCATATCGACGACCATTCCCTCGGAAATTAATTCTCCATTTAATGTAAAAAGTGGAATTCCCTTGCCTAAGGATTCACCGTCAGTCCTGTGAATTGTTATGTACTGCGTACCCTCCACTCCCTCCAAGAGCACAGCTTGCGCCTCTTCCTCAGGAGTAACTTCCATGATTTTTTTTCTTTCTCAGTTTTTTCCCCTAATTTCTCCTCTTTTTTTTTTGTTTAATTTAAATTACACATCTGCAAGCAAAAAAAAAGGATAATTTTTAAATAATAATTTTAATTTCAATATTTTATTCATATTTTTTATATTTAAAAACGTGGAAGTATTTAATTTAATCAATTTATTCATTTGAAAATTGAAAATAACAGTTAAGTGAGACTGAATATTTTATTTAATTAACAATAAGAATCAATTTGAAAACTTCACAAGAATTTAATTATTTTCATAATTAACAAATTTCTTCTCGTGAATTCAATTATTTTTAGTAAACTTTTCCAAAAAATTTCTGGAAAGAATTAAAATATTTTCAAAAAATAGTAATAAAATTCAAAGAATAATCTTCGCAGGAATTCAATTATTTTCATAATTAACAAATTTCTTTGTATGAATTCAATTATTTTTAGTAAACTTTTCTAAAAAATTTCTCGAAAGAATTAAAATATTCTCAAAAATTGTAATAAAATTCAAGGAATAATTTAAATACTTCAAAAAATTTCTAATAGAATTTTATAATCAAATTTTTAATTAAAATTATTATCAAACCGGATTATTTTTTTAAATCTTAAAAGAAATTCCTCGTAAAAATCAATTAATTAAAAAGAATTCAATTATGTTTATAAATAATAAAATTCGTTGCAGGAATTCAATTATTTTCAATACAATTTTAATAAAATCTCTCGAAATAATTCAAATATTTTTAAAAATTTTGCTAAAATTCAGGAAAAAATTTAAATACTTCCAAAAAATTTTAATAAAAAATAAGAAAATTTCAAATAATTGAAATTAAGCAATGAGTTTTATTATTTATGAAAATAATTGAATTCCTAAAAAGGATTTTATTATTTTTATGAAAATAATTGAATCCCTGAAACAGAATTTATTATTTATGAAAATAATTGAATTATTTAGAAGATTTTTATAAAAAATTTGCAAATAATTGAATTCTTGTGAATTTTTTATTATTTTAGAAAATAATTGAATACTTGTGTAGAATTTTTTTGAAATTGTTTTTAAATGACTTTATTTGTATTTATGAAAATAATTAAATACCTATCTGTAAAAAAATTTTTAATTTATGAAAATAATTGAATTACTGCGAAGAATTTAATGCCAAATTTTAAAACATTTGATTTTATCGAAAAAATTTATGCAAATTCTATTTTACATAATGGAATTCCTATGAATTTTTTTTTTTTTTTTAAATAATTGAATGTTCGTTTAGAATATTATCAAGATTTTTTTTAATAATTGAATTCTTTTGGGAAATGTTATTAAAATAGTAGAATATTGAAAATCATTGAATTAAGAAATAATTTGAAAATAATTGAATTCTTATATAATGAATACTGTTATTTGTGAAAATTGAATTTTTTATTTATAAGAATTGAATTTTGCAATGAATTTTATTAAAATTCCTGAAAATACTTTAATGTAGTCAAAGAATTTGGCTATTTATTTATAAAAAATAATTGAAATATTGACCATTTTTTTTTAGATTTTTTGAAAATAATTGAATTTCTGCGAAGAATTTTATTAATTTTGAAAATAATTGAATTTTGCAAATGAAATTCATAAAAATTCCTGAATACAATTGAATTTCGGCGAAGAATTTTGCTATTTATAAAGATAATTGAAATAATTGAAATGTTGACGAGAATTTTTTTTTACTTTTAAAAATAATATTGAATTTCTGGAGAATTTAATAAAAATCTCTGACTTTTCCCTGATTTCCCTGCGGCTTGTGGCAACCTGTGCAATCCTGTCAAGTTTTTGAGGTTATGTTGTCAACGAATTCCGGGAAATTAAAAAAAAAAGAGAGGAGATAAAACCGGTCCCGGTAGTTAAAATTAATGTATTCGCAAATACAGAGTAATAATAAACATTCATAAATAAACAAACGTTTATAAAAAACAAATTGTTTCCGGTCGTATGAAATCTCCCAAAAATCAAATCGATCGAATATCCATTACATCGAATTTCAAAACATCGAATGCTCAATACATCGAATTTTCAAAACATCGAATGCTCAATATATCGAATTTTCAAAACGTCGATTGCTCAACACATCGAATTTTCAAAACTTCGAATGTTCATTAGATCGAATTTTTAAAACATCGAATGTTAAATTGATCGAATTTTTAAAACATCGAATGTTAAATTGATCGAATTTTCAAAACTTCGAATGCACATTACATCGAATTTTTAAAACGTCGAATGCTCATTTCATCGAATTTTCAAATCTTCGAATGTTCATTTGATCGAATTTTCAAATCTTCGAATGTTCATTTGATCGAATTTTCAAAACGTCGAATGCTCATTTCATCGAATTTTCAAAACGTCGAATGCTCATTTCATCGAATTTTTAAAACTTCGAATGTTAAATTGATCGAATTTTCAAAACTTCGAATGCTCATTTCATCGAATTTTCAAAACATCGAATGCTCATTTTATCGAATTTTCAAAACTCTGAATGCTTATTACATCGAATTTTCAAAACGTCGAATGTTAATTTTATCGAATTTTCAAAACTTCGAATGCTCATTTCATCGAATTTTCAAAACTTCGAATGCTCATTACATCGAATTTTTAAATCATCGAATGTTAATTTGATCGAATTTTCAAAACGTCGAATGCTCAGTTCATCGAATTTTTAAAACATCGAATGCTCATTTCGTCGAATTTTCAAAACTTCGAATGTTGATTTGATCGAATTTTCAAAACTTCGAATGCTTATTACATCGAATTTTCAAAACTCCGAATGCTTATTACATCGAATTTTCAAAACGTCGAATGCTCATTAGATCGAATTTTCAAAACTTCGAATGCTTATTTCATCGAATTTTCAAAACGTCGAATGCTCATTTCATCGAATTTTTAAATCATCGATTGTTAATTTGATCGAATTTTTAAAACGTCGAATGTTAATTTGATCGAATTTTCAAAACGTCGAATGCTCAGTTCATCGAATTTTTAAAACATCGAATGCTCATTAGATCGAATTTTCAAAACTTCGAATGCTTATTTTATCGAATTTTCAAAACGTCGAATGCTCATTTCGTCGAATTTCCAAAACTTCGAATGCTCATTTCATCGAATTTCCAAAACTTCGAATGCTCATTTCATCGAATTTTTAAAACATCGAATGCTTATTACATCGAATTTTAAAAACTTCGAATGCTCAATACATCGAATTTTTAAAACATCGAATGATAATTTGATCGAAATTTCAAAACGTCGAATGCTCATTACATCGAATTTTTAAAACATCGAATGCTCATTTCATCGAATTTTCAAAACGTCGAATGCTCATTAGATCGAATTTTCAAAACTTCGAATGTTCATTTGATCGAATTTTCAAATCTTCGAATGTTCATTTCATCGAATTTTCAAAACGTCGAATGCTCATTTCATCGAATTTTCAAAACTTCGAATGTTCATTAGATCGAATTTTTAAAACTTCGAATGTTAAATTGATCGAATTTTCAAAACTTCGAATGCTTATTTCATCGAATTTTCAAAACGTCGAATGCTCATTTCATCGAATTTCCAGAACTTCGAATGCTCATTTCATCGAATTTCCAAAACTTCGAATGCTTATTTCATCGAATTTTTAAAACATCGAATGTTAATTAGATCGAATTTTTAAAAAGTCGAATGTTCATGTCATCGAATTTTCAAAACTTCGAATGCTCATTTAATCGAATTTCCAAAACTTCGAATGCTCATTTCATCGAATTTTTAAATCATCGATTGTTAATTTGATCGAATTTTTAAAACGTCGAATGTTAATTTGATCGAATTTTCAAAACGTCGAATGCTCAGTTCATCGAATTTTTAAAACATCGAATGCTCATTAGATCGAATTTTCAAATCTTCGAATGTTCATTTGATCGAATTTTTAAAACGTCGAATGTTAATTTGATCGAATTTTTAAAACTTCGAATGTTCATTTTATCGAAGAGAATTTAACATCTGAGTTTACTATCTATGTAATATGTTCTTCCTAGGGAATTTTGAAAGTGCGCGAGATTTGAAATCGTTTTGGTAAGTGACAATTTTTTTTATTGAGTAAAATTTTTTTGTTTGTTTACTAATTACTTGTCAGTAAATGTTTATTTTTTTGTTATATAAGTATCACTATTATTATGATTATTTTAATTTATATTATAGTTTTTATTATAAGGTAATTAAATTAAATTGTGGTTATCTATTACAATCATAGATGGCTCTAGTAATATGAATATGTGTTTTACAAATTTTTATAAATATTAATCTGTTTATAGTATAATTATTAATATTGTTATTCTTATTATTGTGTAATTGTGAATTTATTATGTATATTTAATGTAATATTGATTTATTTAGAAGTCAGTAAGATGATCGTTAAAAAAAAGTAGTGAATATTTCTTATTTGTCTAAATATTTCGCTTCTAAATGAAGAGTTCAAGTTTCTTTTATCTATTTATAATGAATGATTGAATGAATGAATTAATTAATTAATTAATTAATTAATTAATGTGCATAAATTAAAATTATTTTCAAATTAAATAAAATATTGTGTATTGTTATTATTTTGTTATTTCTTTATATAGTGAATATTAAATTGCATTACTCTCTACTTTAAATAAGAAATAGATTCTATATGTAAGTAATACTTAAATTTTTATTGTAAATAAATAACAAGATTCCTACAGAAATCCGAAATTAAAATTCCATACCTTTTCCATGATTTATAGGTCAAACTTTTACGACATTCCAGTGCAATTTTAAATATAATTTCATTACTTTTGGGCTCTTCGAAAATAGTTTACTTATTGAATAGCCTCGACTCTTTGATAAAAAATTTAAAATTATCTAATATTATCAAAAATTCAAATATCCGAATTGCTTAAAATGCAACATTTTTTCCTCTTTTTTTATGGGATTTAGCTTCATTATTTTTGGGCTCTTCGAAAACAGTTTACTTATTAAATAGTCTTGACTTATTATTATTATTATTATTATTATTATTATTATTATTATTATTATTATTATTGTTATTGTTATTATAAATTCGAAATAAAATCACATTTTATATTAAACAAAATTATATTTTTATTTATAATTGTAGAACTACATACATTTTATTTTATAATCGTGAATAAATCTTTGAAACATTAAAAGTTGTTATACTTTTTTTATAAAATTTACATTACTATAAAAGTTTAGTGTGAGTGACTGAAGAAAACGGTGATTTTTAGGAATTTTTTTCAGGGAAATTATTGCATCTAATTTTTAATACAGTTTTGTACATGTATACATATTTGTATAAATAGTCAACATTTTGTAATTTTTTTCAAAGAAAAATATTCTTTTTTAATTAAGAGTTATTCGCTATATAAAAAAAAATCCAGTTTTCCCACTGCGCTGCAGTGATTGCGGCCTTCTGAGGGACTGAAATAAAAAAAACAAAAAGTTTATTTAAGTCTGTATTAAAAATTAGATGCAATAATTTCCCTGAAAAAAATTCCTAAAAATCACCGTTTTCTTCAGTCACTCACACTAAACTTTTATAGTAATGTAAATTTTATAAAAAAAGTATAACAACTTTTAATGTTTCAAAGATTTATTCACGATTATAAAATAAAATGTATGTAGTTCTACAATTATAAATAAAAATATAATTTTGTTTAATATAAAATGTGATTTTATTTCGAATTTATAATAACAATAACAATAATAATAATAATAATAATAATAATAATAATAATAATAATAATAATAATAAGTCAAGACTATTTAATAAGTAAACTGTTTTCGAAGAGCCCAAAAATAATGAAGCTAAATCCCATAAAAAAAGAGGAAAAAATGTTGCATTTTAAGCAATTCGGATATTTGAATTTTTGATAATATTAGATAATTTTAAATTTTTTATCAAAGAGTCGAGGCTATTCAATAAGTAAACTATTTTCGAAGAGCCCAAAAGTAATGAAATTATATTTAAAATTGCACTGGAATGTCGTAAAAGTTTGACCTATAAATCATGGAAAAGGTATGGAATTTTAATTTCGGATTTCTGTAGGAATCTTGTTATTTATTTACAATAAAAATTTAAGTATTACTTACATATAGAATCTATTTCTTATTTAAAGTAGAGAGTAATGCAATTTAATATTCACTATATAAAGAAATAACAAAATAATAACAATACACAATATTTTATTTAATTTGAAAATAATTTTAATTTATGCACATTAATTAATTAATTAATTAATTAATTAATTCATTCATTCAATCATTCATTATAAATAGATAAAAGAAACTTGAACTCTTCATTTAGAAGCGAAATATTTAGACAAATAAGAAATATTCACTACTTTTTTTTAACGATCATCTTACTGACTTCTAAATAAATCAATATTACATTAAATATACATAATAAATTCACAATTACACAATAATAAGAATAACAATATTAATAATTATACTATAAACAGATTAATATTTATAAAAATTTGTAAAACACATATTCATATTACTAGAGCCATCTATGATTGTAATAGATAACCACAATTTAATTTAATTACCTTATAATAAAAACTATAATATAAATTAAAATAATCATAATAATAGTGATACTTATATAACAAAAAAATAAACATTTACTGACAAGTAATTAGTAAACAAACAAAAAAATTTTACTCAATAAAAAAAATTGTCACTTACCAAAACGATTTCAAATCTCGCGCACTTTCAAAATTCCCTAGGAAGAACATATTACATAGATAGTAAACTCAGATGTTAAATTCTCTTCGATAAAATGAACATTCGAAGTTTTAAAAATTCGATCAAATTAACATTCGACGTTTTAAAAATTCGATCAAATGAACATTCGAAGATTTGAAAATTCGATCTAATGAGCATTCGATGTTTTAAAAATTCGATGAACTGAGCATTCGACGTTTTGAAAATTCGATCAAATTAACATTCGACGTTTTAAAAATTCGATCAAATTAACAATCGATGATTTAAAAATTCGATGAAATGAGCATTCGAAGTTTTGGAAATTCGATTAAATGAGCATTCGAAGTTTTGAAAATTCGATGACATGAACATTCGACTTTTTAAAAATTCGATCTAATTAACATTCGATGTTTTAAAAATTCGATGAAATAAGCATTCGAAGTTTTGGAAATTCGATGAAATGAGCATTCGAAGTTCTGGAAATTCGATGAAATGAGCATTCGACGTTTTGAAAATTCGATGAAATAAGCATTCGAAGTTTTGAAAATTCGATCAATTTAACATTCGAAGTTTTAAAAATTCGATCTAATGAACATTCGAAGTTTTGAAAATTCGATGAAATGAGCATTCGACGTTTTGAAAATTCGATGAAATGAACATTCGAAGATTTGAAAATTCGATCAAATGAACATTCGAAGTTTTGAAAATTCGATCTAATGAGCATTCGACGTTTTGAAAATTCGATGAAATGAGCATTCGATGTTTTGAAAATTCGATGTAATGAGCATTCGACGTTTTGAAATTTCGATCAAATTATCATTCGATGTTTTAAAAATTCGATGTATTGACCATTCGAAGTTTTTAAAATTCGATGTAATAAGCATTCGATGTTTTAAAAATTCGATGAAATGAGCATTCGAAGTTTTGGAAATTCGATGAAATGAGCATTCGAAGTTTTGGAAATTCGACGAAATGAGCATTCGACGTTTTGAAAATTCGATAAAATAAGCATTCGAAGTTTTGAAAATTCGATCTAATGAGCATTCGATGTTTTAAAAATTCGATGAACTGAGCATTCGACGTTTTGAAAATTCGATCAAATTAACATTCGACGTTTTAAAAATTCGATCAAATTAACAATCGATGATTTAAAAATTCGATGAAATGAGCATTCGACGTTTTGAAAATTCGATGAAATAAGCATTCGAAGTTTTGAAAATTCGATCTAATGAGCATTCGACGTTTTGAAAATTCGATGTAATAAGCATTCGGAGTTTTGAAAATTCGATGTAATAAGCATTCGAAGTTTTGAAAATTCGATCAAATCAACATTCGAAGTTTTGAAAATTCGATGAAATGAGCATTCGATGTTTTAAAAATTCGATGAACTGAGCATTCGACGTTTTGAAAATTCGATCAAATTAACATTCGATGATTTAAAAATTCGATGTAATGAGCATTCGAAGTTTTGAAAATTCGATGAAATGAGCATTCGAAGTTTTTAAAATTCGATAAAATTAACATTCGACGTTTTGAAAATTCGATGTAATAAGCATTCAGAGTTTTGAAAATTCGATAAAATGAGCATTCGATGTTTTGAAAATTCGATGAAAAGAGCATTCGAAGTTTTGAAAATTCGATCAATTTAACATTCGAAGTTTTAAAAATTCGATCTAATGAACATTCGAAGTTTCGAAAATTCGATGAAATGAGCATTCGACGTTTTGAAAATTCGATCAAATGAACATTCGAAGATTTGAAAATTCGATCAAATGAACATTCGAAGATTTGAAAATTCGATGAAATGAGCATTCGACGTTTTAAAAATTCGATGTAATGTGCATTCGAAGTTTTGAAAATTCGATCAATTTAACATTCGATGTTTTAAAAATTCGATCAATTTAACATTCGATGTTTTAAAAATTCGATCTAATGAACATTCGAAGTTTTGAAAATTCGATGTGTTGAGCAATCGACGTTTTGAAAATTCGATATATTGAGCATTCGATGTTTTGAAAATTCGATGTATTGAGCATTCGATGTTTTGAAATTCGATGTAATGGATATTCGATCGATTTGATTTTTGGGAGATTTCATACGACCGATTGTTTCGCAATAAAGAATATTTTCTTTGTTAGTTTATGTCGTGTGGGAGAAAGAGACAAAGAGAGAGAGAGAGAAAGAGAGGAAAAGATCTTATTTTGATAGAATTCAAAAAATTGAAACAGAAAAAATATTAATTAATAATTTTGAAATTTACTTACCAATTTCGGTGGTATTTAAAATTGGCGGGTTGTCACACAAAATTGACGTATACGCACACAATCACACAAACACAACAGGGAATCCAAGGTCACTCTCTTTATAAAGTGTATGTATATAACTATATACAATGAAGAGAATTTTTTTCCGATTAAAAAAGAAAAAAATTCGAGTATAAGGACCGACCTCTAGGTCGGTCCAATCTCACCTTCTGGAGAAATTTTTCAATTCTGCCGGCGAATCTGTCACGTTATCACGCGAAAACACGTAAATGTAAACAAAGCAACATAATGAAACACTGTACGACAAAATGTGACAACAGTGCTCGAACTCTGACGCCATTAGAACGGATGTACCCCTCCCTCCCACTGTCCATCCTCACGATTTTCACACTGTTCTTTTTTCCCCCGCACAATTGAACCAGTAGTACCAACACACTATTTTTATTTTCTATTTTTTGAACATAAAGTATACTTTCACTCGATTATTGAAAAAAGTATTCAAAATAGTATTTAAAATAATATTCAAAGTAGTTCCAAAGGTTCAAAGTACAAATAAAATAGTAAAGGATAAAAATAAAATCATGATTCGGCAAAAGGTTGCAATTAGCGTCTGCTTTCTGATTGGTTGAAAAAAGAGCGCGGAAATTTAAATACTATTAAAATTGAAAATTCTCTCTCTCGAAGAAATTTAAAAAAAAGTATTCTAAACTGAAATCATTTAGATAAATAAATAAAATATTTCGAATATTAATTAGCAAAATTAAATGATAATAATTTATTTTCCTTTGAATAAAAATGAGATTTCGAAAAGTAAGGAAATTTAAAAGTACGCGCGCTTTTGTTGAAAGTGCATGCGAGCCAGAAGTGACAACATTAGAAAATGAAATATCACCAGAAAATTCTCCCACTAGTTTTTTTTTCTCTAGACTCAGCAGTTTTTGACACTTTGACACACCAACCTAACCTCAAATAGCCGTCCTTCCTCAAATGTCAAAATATTCATTTCATAGTTTGATTTTTCAATAAAAAAATTTTAAAAGGAAAATAATGAATTTCAATTATTTAAACAATTCAGAAGCAGTGATAAATATTTTCAATTTTCCCCTACGTTGTTGATGTTATAATATAATGAAATTTTGACGGAAAAGCATTTTAGGAATTGAGAAAAAGACTTTTCTTTTTTTTTTTTGGTGTGTACAATAAAAGGAGAAGGAGCGATAATTTCTTTAATTAATCGGCTTACGCAAGATAGAGGTAATAAAAATCTATTTCTGCAATAATTGTTTTTTTTCACTCTTATCAAACGAATATTGTGTAATTTTCCTATTTTTTCTCTGGCTTAAAAATTTTCTTTCTCACATTTGTAATTTTCGAGAATTTGATAACTTCTCATTCTCTACTTTCTCTTTATATATTCATGAATTGAAATAATTATATTATTTAATAATTAAAACTGAATTTTAAATTGTTTCTCTTAGAGATAATTTACCTTTTTTGTACCTTGATTTTTAGTAATTATATTTCTTCCCATTGATGCGCAATAAAAAGAAGATTTAAACAGAAAATTTTTATTCATGATTTTTGAATAATTATTAAATTGTCAATAAAAATCTAATAGTGATGAGATAAATTAACTAATCAGCTAAATGGGTTAATGATGATTAATTCATTAAAATTAGCTTTATGAATATAGTAATAAGAAGATAATTAATAATGCGAATAATAATAATTTATCCACTTCCCTCGTTAAACAAACAAATAAAATAACAGTAATTAAAATTTTTCCACTTCACTCGTTAACAAATAAAATAATAATAATAATTAAAATTTTTCCACTTTCCTCGTTAAACAAAAAAAAATAATAGTAATTTTAATAATAATAATAATAATACTAATAAAAATGGTAATAATAATAATTGTAGTAATAATAACTAAAGTAATAAAGCTTAACATTTTTTTTTATTTGTAATTAAATAAAAATATTAAAAAATGAAAAATAATATTTTTAAAATTCAATAAAAATGAAAAATATTAATTTTGAAATTGTAAATATTTAAATTGAAAGAGATTTAAAAATAAAAATAGTAAAACGTCTGTTTAGTTGAAAAAAATGAAAAATTAAAAAAAATATATAAAAAATATTTTTAAAATTCAAAAAAAGTGAAAAATATTAATTTTAAATTGGAAAGAAATTGAAAAATAGAAAACAACTGTTTAGTTTTCTTTGAGACTTTTTTTTACTATAAATAAAAAAAATAATCATATCTTTAGTTCGGAAACCTTTTAATGTATAATATCTGTGACGAAAAATGAAATAATTATTTTTTTTTCATTCGTTATCAATTACTGGGAATTTATCTGAAACACAAAGGCGTAGATCGCAAATAATAATTTATTTTTGACATTAAAATTAACTATAATTTTATCAATTTATCAGTAAGCTTAAATATTTCGAAATTCAAATTTCTCGACTTATTCAATTATTTACATCATTAAAAAAAATGTGCGAAACGAAAAAATTTGATATTATTTTAGTTTCGCTTTTTTTTAATTATTATTATTTTTAATTAGTTTATTATTAAATAAGTTGAATATTGAATGAAAATTATTTAATTTCTTATCAAATAAAATGTATTAAATAGAAAGGATTAAATTTATTATCAAATGAAATATAATTATTAAATAAAGAAAATAACAAAATTTAAATTTAATCGTTCAATTAGTTAATAGTTAAATTATTTATTTCATTTATTAAATAATAATTAAATAATTTTAAGTTAATGTTAAAATTATTATAAAGCGAAAAAGGTGAAGAAAAAAATAATAATTAAAGTTTTTTCCTGAATTTAATAATTTTGAGTTTGGATTTTTTTAAATTGCAGGTTTTTCTCGAAGGGAAGAAGAAAAAGTGAATTATTCGAAGAAAGTATGTTACATCGTTAATGTAAATTTTAAAAGTAATGGCTTCGATTTGTCGTCGTTGGCGAGTATGGATTTTACCAGTGTTGACGTGTCTCTATGCCCTTATTATTGTCATTCTTGTGCCTATTTTAATTGCTAATTCCATAAAAAATGGATTCAGAAAGCAGGATCAAGGCGCATTGGTCGGTGGGGCTTTTGTTCTACTCGCATTGCCTATTGCATTTTATGAAATTATTCAACACATGATTTATTTCACACAGCCAAAATTACAGAAATATATTATTAGGTAAGAATTTTTTTTCTCGGTAATTAATTATTAATTAACATAAATAATAATAAGTAAATATTAATAAAATCAGATTCAAAAATTTCAACAACAAAAAAATCTTCCAAAAAGAGAACTCAATTATTTAAAAAAAACTCAATAAAATTCTTTGCGAGAATTCAATTATTTTCCTAACTTTAAAGAAGATAAAAAATTTCCATAAATTCTATTTGTTCCTAATCACAATTTTTAACGAAATTATAATTTTTATTTAGAAAAATTAAATGCATAGTTTCTATTTCGTAATATTTCTTCTTTTTTTGTAGAATTCTTTGGATGGTGCCAATTTATGCAGTGAATGCGGTAAGACAGAATATTTCTTTTTAAATTAATAAAGAAACTCTTTTTTTATAATAGATTTAATTTTTAATATTTTAATTTTTCTCAAATTAAAATTAAATAAATTTTCTTCTTTCCTTTTTTTTCTTTATTGAATGAAATGAAATGAAGAAATTATTTAAAAAGGGAAAATATTCTTTTTTTTAAATAATTTCTTCATTTCATTTCGGTTTTATTTTTTCACAGTGGTTGGGATTAATGTTTCCGGAAGGATGTATGTACGTCGACAGTCTCAGGGAATGCTACGAAGCCTATGTGATTTATAATTTTATGATGTACCTATTGGCCTATTTAGATTCCGATCAACAATTAGAACACCGATTAGAAATATCGCCTCAAGTGCATCATATGTTTCCCCTTTGTTGTTTACCCAATTGGCAAATGGGACATGAATTCGTTCACATGTGTAAACATGGAATTCTTCAATATACAGCCGTTCGGCCCATATCGACATTAATTTCCGTGTATGTTATTGACAATGTTTCTTCTATTTTTGGCAATTAGTAAAATTTAATTCATTTTTTTATCGAGTATTATTGAAAATTTATTTATTTATTTTCAGTATTTGCGCATTGAATGGAGTTTATGGCGAGGGAGAATTTAGAGGCGATGTTGCCTTTCCATATATGGTAGCTTTTAACAATTTTTCGCAATTCGTGGCGATGTATTGTTTAGTATTATTTTATCGTGCGAACGCAGAAGCATTGCAGCCAATGAAGCCAATTGGAAAGTTTTTATGTATAAAGGCAGTTGTATTCTTTTCCTTCTTGTGAGTATTCTTTTTAATTTTCCACTTACAATATTCTAAAAATTAACAATTTTTACTGAAACCAATTTTTTTATTCTTCAAAGAATTATTAAATTATATATGTAGTAGAATTTATCACTCGGTCGAAAATTATATATGTGAGAAAAAATCATTCTTTCCGAGTCAAATAAAATTTATTTAAATAAATAGTCAAATAAATTTATTTGACTCAGAAAGAATGATTTTTTCTCACATATATAATTATTAAATTATTTATAAAAATATTAATAGAAAGTTTTGGAGATTTTTTTTATTTTGTGATTTTAACGATAATGTTAAATTATCCGAGAAAAAAATTAATGTTTATTTAAATTTTTTCTCTTTTCAGCCAAGGAGTATTGATTGCCATACTCGTTTACTGCAATGTTATATCAAGTATATTTGACACAGACAATACTAAAGATATTAGACAAATTTCGTCCAAGTTGCAAGATTTTTTAATTTGTATAGAAATGTTTATAGCGGCAGTGGCGCATCATTATAGTTTTAGTTATAAACCTTACGTTAATTTGGCCCAGACTCAGCCCTGGTGGGACGCTTTTAGGTAAGAAACAAATTTTCAATAATATTTTCATAAAAAAAAATTCTCAAGAACTTATTTTTTTGACATATTTTAATATGAATTTTTTGCAAATTAAAATAATGAAAAATCAATCAAAATCCTTCAAAATAATTTAATTTAAAATTTTATACAATTTAAATTTTTAATGAATTTAATTATAAATTTTATACAATTTTAATTTTGAATGAATTTAATTATAAATTTTAAAGAACTTAGATTTTAGAAAAATTTAAATAATTCAAATTCTTCTCAAATTAGTTCAATTTTTTAATACGCATATATTAACTACTTATTAAAATATTGAACTTATATAAGAATTTAAATTAAAAACACTAAAAAAATTAAATTTTGGTGAAATTACAAACAATTGGAAAAATTTAATTATATTCAGAAATTTTTTAAATTCTCGTCAAAATTTCAATTATCTTTACAAATAATAAAATTCTTTGCCGAAATTCAATTATATTCAGGAATTTTTTAAAGAATACATTGCAAAATTCAATTATTTTCATAAATAATAATATTTATCATAAGAATTCAATTATTTTCGAAATTAATGAAATTCTTCGCAGAAAATCAATTATTTAAAAAAAAAAAAAAAAATTGGCAACATTTCAATTATTTTTATGAATAAATAGACAAATTCTTCGACTACATTCAACTATTTTCAGAAATTTTAATAAAATTCATTGCAAAATTCAATTCTTATAAATAAAAAATTCAATTTTCATAAATAATAGTATTCATCACAAGAATTCAATTATTTTCAAAACTAATAAAATTCACTTATTTTCAAAAATTTTATTAAAATTCATGGCAAAATTTCAATTCTTTTCAAAAATTTTTCTTAATTCAATTTAATTTAATTTCAATTCAATTTCAATCAATTTAATTTTTTTCGAAAAAATAAAATGTTTTAAAATTCAATTATTTTCATTAATTTTAAAATTCCTTTCAGGGATTTAATTATTTTCATAAATAACAATATTCATCACAAAAATTCAATTATTTTCAAACCTTTTAATAAAAGTTCTCTAAAGAATTCAATTATTTCTAAAAATCATCATAAAATTCTTCGCAGAAATTCAATTATTTTCAAAAGTTTCAAATAAATTTCATGTCAAAAATTCAATTATCATAATAAATAAAAAAAATTCCTCTTAGAAATTTAAGTACTTTAAAAAATACAAAAATTTTAGAATTAATTTAATTGTTTTTGAATTTTTTAAATAAAATTCATCGCAGAAATTCAATTATTTTCATAATTTTCTTCGCATATATTCAATTATTATTGAAAAATGTAATACAATTCTTGTCAAGAATTCAATTATCGTGATGAATATCAAAAATATTTCCAGAAATTCAATTATTTTCAAGAATAACAAAATTTTCAGCAGGAATTCAATTATTTTCTTAAATATCAATATTCATTGCAAAATTGCAATTATTTTCAAAAATTTTTTTAATTCAACAATTTGTATATCTATTATTTTCATAAAATTTCCCCAAAAGAATTAAATTATTTAAAAATGATTTTGTCAAAGTTGTACACGAATATTCAATTATTTTCTACAATATTGAAAACTTGACAGGAATTCAATTATTAAAAATAGAATTTGCATAAATTTCATCGAAAAAAAACAATTGTTTGAACCTTTTTTTTTATAAAATTCTTCGCAATAATTCAATTAATTTCATAAATAATATTACTTCTTGCAGAATTTCAATGATTTTTAATACAATTTCAATCGAATTCCTTAAAAAATGAAATTATTTAAAAAAATGTTATTAAAAATCGTCGAAAGAATTTAAATATTCAAAAATTTGTTGATAAAATTATGTATAAGAATTCAATTTAAAGAAACATTTAATTATTCAATAAATTATTTATTTTTGTATTTAAATAATGGAACTCTCGTAGAAGTTTCTAACAAAAATTGATTTACAAATGAATTTTTATTTAAAATTTTAGATAATAATTAAATATGAAAAGCCTTAACATAAATATTTAGAAATAATTGAATTTTGAAAAGGTTTTCTAATTAAAATCTTTGAAAATCTATATTTTTCATACTTTTAACAATCAATTCTGTAGAATTAATTTTTTTGATAAAGTATTTCAATTTATTTTGGAAATTATTTGAAGTTTTTATTTTCTAATATTATGTATTTAATTGAAGAATTTCCGAATAATCGAAATTTCACGTAAAATTGAATTGTAAACATTTGTTTACAATTCATTTAAAAATGAATTTTAAATTTAAATTTTAAATTAAAAGATTCTCAAAGAAGAACTTTTTCAAAAATTATTAAAAATAATTTATTTAAAGAAGAAAAAAACTAGTTAAAAATTCTAGAAAATAATAATTGAATTCAAATGATGAAAATAATTTTTAAGTTTCATAAACAATATTCTGAAAATATTAAAAAATAATTTTATCACTCGGTCATCTTTAATTTGTTGTAAAACTTGAAGAAATCGATCACACCGAGTCGAAGACTCGGAGTAATCGATATCTTCATGTTTTGTAATAATATATATTCTTGTATGTTATCAAATTTCAAAAGGTTTGAATTTAAAATTTTTAATTCCTAATGGAAAAATAATAATACGATTAAATATTTATTTAAAAATAAAGTTATTGATGTTTTCGAATAATTTTCCAATTAAATAAATTCGCAAATAAATGTATCTGAACATTTTTTTTTTGAGTATCTAATAATTTTGAGAGTAAATCAGAATATTCTTTTGGGGTCAGGAAAAAAGTTGAAATTTTCTCTGGAAATCAGGGAAAAACAAAATTAAATTTTTGTGGCAATCCTCAATTATAAAAAGTAAAAAAAATAAATAATAATAATTTTTTATTTTAAAAATTTGTATTGTAAAAGAAAATAAAACAATTTTTTCGTTCTAGGGCAATATGTGACGTATCGGACGTTCATAACGACATTAAGGAACATTTGGGAGTTGTGGGATCATCATTGAGCCGTCGAATACGAGGACGTAATGTCTATCAACAACCATGGGGAAGTGTCACCGAAAGAACGTCATTATTACCAGAGACCCAGACTTCAAAAAGTGCACCCGGTTCATCAATATCCGGTTATCATTCCGGTGAATCCGGACAAAGTTCTGGTTCAAGTGAGTGTCTCCTCGCAGGCGACGAGCCCACCACCGAACCCCAGAACAATTCAAATTCAAATTCAATTAATGCCTAGGAAAAAAAAATCCAAATTTTATTTTTATCCTCTTCTTTCTTTCTTTCTATCTTTCTTTCTTTTTTTTTCTTTTTTACTAATTCTTCCCTTTCGTCAATCAATATTTTTTTATGTATTTCTACATTTTTTTTGTAAGCAAAAAAAGAAGAAGGTTCGATGAAAAATACGAAACAATCGTATTTTGGTAAAATTGAGCTTTAAAAAAGAATTCTTTTTTTAAAAATAAATATAGGTAAACAATTACCTCTTTGAATTAGGTGCGATATTAAGAATAATGGTTGTATGTGAAAAGCAAATATTTGTATAATTTATATATTATATATAGACACATAATATAATATATATTGTAAAAAATTATTATATAACGGTAGAAAAAAGCAGAGATTATTATCAAGCCTGTGTGATAAAAAAAAAGAATAAGAAAAAAAGATGAAAATTTACCTTTAAACAATTTCAATAATAATTTGAAATGTCGAGGGCGATGTTTGAAAATTACAATATATGAAAAATGAAATGTATGTATACGCAAAATGGAAAAAAAAATTTTCTTGCGTATTTACCAAAATAATCTACAAAAAACAAAAAAAAACCAAATATTGTAAATAATAATGTTTATACTTTTAGTCAATAATAAATGAATCATATTATTTATAAAACTCCGATTTATGTATTTTTTAATTCTATTTTTAAATCGTTTATTTTGTCTCTTTCAATTTTTTTTTATTCCTCTTTTTTTATTTTATTCTTAAAAAAAATTATTAAAAATCCATTAAATTAGGGATTCAAAATAAGGAATCAAATTTAACCAAATTTTTATACAATTCTTCACAATAATTCAAATACTTTCACTAATAATAACATTTTTCATGGAAAATCAATTTTTAAAAAAAATTTTTTTAATTCTAAACAAAAAGTCAATTATTTTCATATAAATAATAAAAATCATCAAAGAATTTCAATTATTTTTAAGGTACTATTTAAATTAATTAATAAAAAAATTCAATTATTTTCACAAATAAAGTTTTCCACGACAATTCAATTACTTAAAAAAAAATTTTCATAATATTTATTACATTTCGAAAATATTAATTATTTAAAACAATGTTTATAAAATTCTTTAGAAGAATTCAATTATTTAAAAAAATATTAGAATTCTTCCCAAGAATTCAATTATTTACATAAATAATTCTACGAAAGAATTCAATTATGTCGATAAATAAAAAAATTCTTCCCGAAAATTCAATTATTTTGAGGAATTTTAATAAAATTCTTTGAAAAATTCAATTATTTTCATAAATGACAATATTTATCACAATAATTCAATTATTTTTAAAAGTAATAAATTTTTTCTTGGAAATTCAATTATTTAAAAAAAATTCTAATAAAATCAAGAATTCAATTATTGTGAACTGTTGTGAACATAGGCGAACAACAATGTGCAACAATGCCAACCCTGTAAAAACAAAAATCACTAATAAAACCTCTGTTGACCGACTCTAAAGGTCAGTTCACACTGAGACAAAACGTGCAATGTTTGCTTTTGTTTACAAAACAAATCGAAGGAGAATTATTTCCCGGCGTCATATATAATTAGTTCCCGCGCAAAACTCAATAAATACTATAACCCCACTCAAGAAAATATTCATTTGGAAAATACGGTATTCAAGTAGTTCTCTTATTAACTAAAAAAAACTTGTACTTTATACATTAACAACTAAAGGTAAAAAATGGAAGTAGAAAACATCGGAACGAATAATTCGGAAAATGACAAATGCAACGAGAATGGTAAGAATAATTTGAATGAAAATGGAAAAATTTGTCAAGACACAACGAAGGAGCACGAGGAACATCAGTATTTGGAATTAATAAAAAAAATCATAAATCACGGTGTTAAAAAATCCGATCGCACTGGTACTGGAACATTTATGATTGCCGGACCACAAATGCGTTTTGACCTTCGAAATGGTGAGTATTAAGAATTTTATCACATAAGAATATAATTGGTAATTTGAAACTTTTCATAATTGTATGTGTGAGTAATATAATATCGCAATTATCGTATGGATTAAGAAAAAATAATGCCAATTGAAATCATTCTAACTTCAATTAAAAAAAAATTAAAAAACTAATTAAATTATAATTATAAAATAATAGTAATAATAATAATATAAAATAGTAGTTTAATAAAATATTAATAACTATAAATATTATATTTATTTATTATTATAAGTTAATAAATTTTTTTAACATGTTTTTTTAAAAAACAAATTTTTTTTAGAGTTTAACATGTTTTTAAAATCGATACGAAAAATAAGAATAAAAATTTTCTTTTCAAGGTAATTTTCCACTTTTAACGACAAAACGTGTCTTTTGGCGAGGAGTCGTTGAGGAATTACTTTGGTTTATACGCGGATCGACAAACGCCAAAGAATTAACGGAAAAAGGAGTTCATATCTGGGATCCGAATAGTTCACGAGAATTTCTCGATTCCTGCGGATTCACTGATCGAGAAGAGGGAGATTTAGGTCCTGTCTATGGATTTCAATGGAGGCATTTTGGTGCTGAATATACAAACATGCACGCTGATTATACTGGTCAAGGTTGAATTACATTTATTATTAATAATTAATTAATATTTAAAGTATTTCTTCTGACTTGATTTCTATTATTAAACAGGGGTGGATCAACTGAAAAATATAATAGAGACTTTGAAAAATAATCCAAATGACAGGAGGATGGTAATGTCAGCTTGGAATCCAGTGGATATTCCAAAAATGGCACTTCCACCGTGTCATCTTCTCGTGGAATTTTTAGTGATGAATGGAGAAATTACAACGATTTTGTTCCAAAGAAGCGCCGACGTTGGTTTGGGTGTTCCATTCAATATTGCCTCGTATTCATTGCTCACTTACATGTTGGCACATGTCACCAATTTAAAGGTAAATTGTATAAAGTAGAAAAAATCGAAAAAGACGTTTAATTTGTGACGTCTGAAGAAATAGAATAATAATAATTTTTTTTCCAGCCGGGAGAATTTGTGATAAACATGGGCGATTGTCACGTCTACTCAAATCACGTGACGGCACTCGAGGAACAAATAAAACGTGAACCAAGACCATTTCCAAAATTCACAATAACACGTGACGTTCCTGATATCGATAGTTTTACTGCTGATGATTTTAAAATTGAAGGATACAATCCACACGGTAAAATTGCTATGAAAATGGCTGTTTAATTATTTTTTTTCCAAAAAACAAAAACTTCTTCTTTCCCATGTACATAAAAAAACTTTAAATTGACGACAAAAGATAGAAAAATATTTTAATCGTTACTAAGAGAATAAATCGTCATTTTTAATAAAAAGAAAACATAAAGTTCTAATAAAATAAAGCTTCGTTTTTGCTTTTCTCTTTTTAAAACAAATTTAATTTCTTAACATTTATTTACTTACACGAATAAACTCAATAAAAATGAACTTTTTTCTTTTTTATTCTTTTTAAATATTTCGTATTTTTCCAAAAAAAAAAGATTTTTATTTTAGGAAAAATTAAATCCAATGTAAAAATGACCTTTTATCTATTCTTTTCCAAATAAATATTTCGTTTTTCCAATACAAAAATATTTTCAATTTAGAAAAAAACTGAACTCAAGAGAAAAATTAATTTTTTTCTATTCTTTTAAAATAAAAAATTTTCACTTTAGGAGAAAATTTTGAATTTAAGAGAAAAATGACCCATTTCGTATCCTTTTAAAATCAATATTTTGTTTTTCCAATAAAAAAAAATTTTCCATTTAGAAAAATAATGAATTCAAGAGAAAAATTAATTTTTCTCCTATTCTTTTAAAATAAATATTTCGTTTTTCCAATAAAAAATATTTTTAATTTAGAAAAAAACTGAATTCAAGAGAAAAATTAATAAAAACAAAATCAAAAACAAATTTTCATTTTAGTAAAAATTTTGAATTTAAGAGAAAAATGACCTTTTTCCTATTCTTTTAAAATAAATATTTCGTTCTTGCAAACAAGAGATTTTCAATATTGATAAAAACCGAATTTAAAAAATAAATATCTCTCCTATTTATGTAAAATAAAAATTTGGTCTTTTCAAAAAAAATATATTCATTTATATAGGTAAAAATCGAATTGAGAAAAATATTTTTTTTTATCAATAATTATATTTTATTTCCTATTAAAAATGATAATCCTTAAATGATAAATTTGCATTTTTTATCAAATTAAATTTTTTTTTCTTTTAAAACAATCATAAAATCTGACTAAACAAATTACATATTTGTTTTTTTTCAATCCTTTTATACTTTCTATCATCTAATTAATTTCTATTCGATAAATTTCCTTTTTTTTACCTTCAAAAAAAAAAATTTTTTTTCATTGAAGGAATTTTCCTTTTTTTTGTGAAAAATAATAATAATTATCATAATTCGAAATAATACATTCTTGTATAAGAAACTCTGTGTATATACACTCGATGTTTCAAGGCCGTTTGTTTCTTTTATGCTTTATTATTATTATTTTAGTTTATTTTATTTTACTTTTACTTTATTCATTTATTTTTGTTCCTTATATGAAAACCGCTTATTAAGAAATATCCCCTTTTCAATATCGTTGTGATTACAATAATTAAGGGGTTTTGTTTGGGGGGCAAATTGGGGGGGGGGGTAAAGAAAAACTACGTTTAACATAATTTGAGCGGAATTCGTGACGTTATATCTAGATTACAGGAATTTTTTTTGTTTTTTGCTTTTCTGTTAAAATTTAAACAACTGGAAGAAGCGTAGCTTCGACAACGTACTTATGCTGTAGATTAATTTTTTAATTAATTTTTTCGATTAAAAAAAAGATCTAATTCTTTTTCGATTTAAATAATTTAATTATTTATTTTTTCGTTCTAATTTGTTTTTAGACTTTAATATATACGATTAAGACTCGAATAATTTTTTTTTTTCGTTTTTCTCTCCTTCAATAATTTAAAAATTTATAATTTTCTGATGATTTTTTTTTCTTCGCGATTAAAAAAACAAAAAAGAGAGAAGAGAGAAATGAGAGAATTGAATTCTCTGCTATTGAAAAAGAAAAAAGAGAACAGAGAGCAAATGGCATGTTGTCGATAAAAACGAAGGCTAGCACATCTGGGCATCATTGGCTGAAGTACTTAATTGATGCAGCAGCTGAGTTACAGCCAAAGTTCCGCTTTCACTGACTGTTATTATCACCCATATTACATCTGAAAGTTTTATTTTTTATCATAAAATAATAGCATTTTTTCGATTAACGAAGCAATAAGTAGTTAAGACCTGAAGCATTATGTTTAAGACTCAAAGTCCAAGACTAAAGATCTACTGTATAAGAATTAAACCCCAAGTAGAGTTTCTACAAATTTTCTTCCCTTTTTCCCTTATTTTTAAGAAAAATTTGTAAAAAATTGTCATTTTTTGTAAGTTGGAGAAATTTTCAGTTATAAAAAAAAATCCAAAGTTTATTTTATTGTTTGGAATTTTTGACAAATTGTATTAATTAAAGAATAAATTTTACTAAGTTCAAAAAAGTATATTTTACTAATTTCAAAAAATTTTAATTATGGATATTATAAAATTTACTCTGGAAATAACGATTTTTAATAACAAAATTTACTATGTTTAATGTAAATTATTTTATAAAGATTATTCAAATTTTTCTCGAACATTACAATTAGCTATTAAATACATATTCTTATTTTTAGAGGTAAATTTTACTATTTTTGAAATAAATGTTTTTAAATTTTTACCAAAAAGAAATTGTTTTTGAAAATATTAAAAGTTACTTTAAAAAACTTAGATTTTTGAAAAATTTTAATAATTCAAATGCTTCTGAAATTAGTTACATTTTTAAATACATATTCAACTAATTATTAAAAATAATGGATTTATATAAAAGAATTTTAGTTAGGAAAACTAGAAACAATTGAATTTTTTTTTTTATTCCTGTAAAATTTCTATCATTTACGAAAATAATTCAATGTTTGCATCAAATTTTTTTTTAATAATTGAATTCATTTGGAAAATTTTATTAAAATAGTAGATATTAAAAATCATTGAATTGAGGGAAATTTTTGAAAATAGTTAAAATTTTGCCAAGAATTTTATTATTTATAAAAATAATTAAAATTTTGACGAGAATTTTTAAAAAATTTCGTACAAAATTGTATTTCTGCGAAGAATTTTATTACATTTGAAAATAATTGAATTTCTGTAATGATTTGTAACTCCTCAAAAATTCACATTTTTTAGTGTTTTCAATTAAAACTTTTCTATAAATCCGTTATTTTTAATAATTAATTAAATATATATAAGAAAATTTAACTAATTTCAGAAGAATTTGAGTTATTAAAATTTTTCAAAAATGTCAGTTCTTTAAAATTTCTTATTAAATTCATTCAAAATTGAAATTGTCTCAAAATTTCAAATTAAAACATTTTAAAGTTCATCTGTTTATGAAAATTGTAAAGGGAACTCTTTTAAAATTCAATTAATTCTGAAATATTTAAGTGAAATTATTCATTAAATAATTTATATGCAAGTAATTTAAATTAAAAAATTTTAATTAATATAAATTAACTTCTCAATTGATTTTTTTTCGAGCGAAATTCTTTTAACAGAAAATAGAAATTCCACTAACTAAAAAATCAATTTTAATTCTTTTTTATAAAACTAAAATTTTTTTTACTCAAAACTATTAAATTTAAAATTTTAATTTTTCGTAAAATATTTGAATATTTTAAAAAAATAATCAACATTTTATTCAAATGATTAAATAATTTGTTGAAACATTAAAAGGATTGAAAATTTTTTGCAATATAATTAAAAATTCAACTGAATAAAAAGTTCTATCAATGTGGAAATTTTGTTAAAAATAATTAAAAATTTATTCAGCTAATTGAATATTTTTTTGAAAAATAATTGAATTTGGTAAAATAATTGTAAATTTCTCGTAACATAATTGTAAATTCAATTCTACAAAACCAAAATTTAGAATTTTCTTATGAATTATAAAAAGTGAATTTTTTACAGAACTTTCAATAAAAAAAATTCATGACTTTTCCCTGACCAATTCTACTTTTCTTGAATTTTCCTTAAATTTGTTTACTTGCAGCAACCCTGATATTAACTAAAAATTTCAAAAATAATTGAATTTTATAAAAGTTACATTTACAAATTTTATAATTACATATGGAATTTTCATTTGCTCCAAAATTTGCATTAATCGGATTAGAATTTCAGTGACATTTTCATAAATCCATGAATTAAAATAATGTAAAATTCCATGACGTGTAGAAACCCTAACGAAGTTCCCTAATTTTTCTTGTGATAAAAGAAACAAGAAAAATAGAAGAAAATAGATTTCCCTAAATATGCTTTTGAGAATATTTACCCCCAAAATAACAACCGTTAGTTGTCATCATTCTCCATTTACTCTGAAACAGGCCAACTTCATTGGGACTCGTTAATGTTACGCTAAGTTCCATATCATCTTTCGATGCTAATGCAGGAACAGGTACACTGGTGCAGCCCATAACAGCGCCGCCCGTATGATGTAAACAAATTCCCTCGGGCCACGTTTCGGTACCGCTATTTTGTATGCGCCATGACTTTCGGAATTTTGTGTTCGGCGGCACTGATTCGCCCTCGCCAATTGTTGAATCACACAACAATGACATACACGGTAATTTATTGGGCACTTCATAATCCAAATAACTGCAAATCGCTGCTTGCAAATTCCTGAATCAAAAAACAATACCAATCAGTGCTTTTTAACTGATTTACAGGACAAAAAATCCAATCCAAAAAATCCAGACCAAAAAATCCAAGAAAAAAAGTCCACAGTACAAAAAATCCAAAATAAAAATTTCCAAAATCAAAAACGTCCAAAATAAATAATGAAACATGTATGAAAAAGCCACTTTTTTACTTTTTGCGCTATAAAATCGGAATTTAAAATGTTAATTTTTTAAAATCGCAGGATTTTAATTATTTACGTAAATAATAAAATTCTTCAGAAAAATTCAATTATTTTCATAATTAAAAAGTTCTTCACTAAAATTCTGTTATTTTCATAAAGAATAAAAATTTCTAGAAAAATCTCAATTATTCTATAAAATTTTTCAAACAATTATTCCAAGAAATACAATTATTTTCAACAATTTTGATAAAATATTTGTTTCTTTCTTATTTTGCAAAATTTTAAACTCAAATTCGTTGAAATACAAAAAACAAAAACAAAATCTTATTAAAAAAATTTTAATTTAAAACAAATAAATTTCAATCGGAAAGAATTTATTTCAATATCGAAAAAAATTAAACATTTTTTCTTATTTTTCGAAATTTTCAATTTCAAACAAAATCATTTCAATTTAAAGAAATGTAATTTTAATTGAAAAAAAATAATTTCAAGTCAAAACAAATTTTAAATCGTTAAAAGTTCATTTTTATTAAAAAAAATTCATTTCAATTTAAAAAAATTATTTTTGATTGAAAAAACAAAATTATTCATTTTGTATATTTTTAATTAAAACCAAATAATTTAAATTCAAGACAAATTATTTTAATTTAAAACAAATTATTTGTAATTGAAAGCAATTAATTTAAATTAAAAAAATTGAATTATTTAATTATTGTTTAACAACAATTAAAATTTTTCAATGATTTTAATTTGAAAACTTTTCAAAATTCAATTATTTTTAAAAATTCTCAGGCTCTGATGCTTTTAATATTCAATTATTATCTGAAATTTTAACCGAAATTCCATTTTAAATCAATTCTTATTAGACAGTTCTACGAGAATTAAATTATTTAAATACAAAAAAATAAATAATTTAGTGAATAATTGAACATTTCTTAAAATTCTTATAAAGAACTGTATCAAAATTTTTTTTAAATAATTGAATTCTTTCGAAGAATTTTAATAAAATTTTCAAGAATAATTAAATTTATCAAAGACTTGATTTAAAAATATATATTAAAAATAATTGAATTTCAAAAAATTTTTTTAAATTAATTAAATTCTACGAAGAATTTTATTAAACATTTTTTGAAAATAATTGAATTGTTACGAAGAATATTATTAAATTTTTTGAAAATAATTGCATTTGTTAAGGAATTTATTTAAAATTATATTAAAAATAATTGAAATCCATCGATGAGTTTAATTATTTATAAAAAATAATTGAATCCCTGAGAAGAATTTTATTCTTTTTTTTAAATAATTTAATTCCTGCGATTATAATTTAAAACAAATTGAATTTAATTTTAAGAAATTAATTTCAATTGAAAAAAAATAATTTTAATTTTAAACAAATTTTTTTTGTACTTTTTAAATTAAAACTAATTAATTTAAATTTACAATGAATTTAATTTTACTTGAAAAAAGTCAATTTCAATTTTAAAGAAATATTATTCTAATTGAAGAAAATTAATTTTTCTTTTTGCAAAATTTTAATTAAAAACAAATTTATTTTAATTAAGTATAAAAATTTAATTTTACTTGAAAAGAAAATTTCAATTTAGGACAAATGAATTTTAATTGATAAAAATTACTTTAAATTGCAAACAAACTAGTCTTTCTTTTCATTTTTTCAGAATTTTTAATAGAAAACAATTAAATTTCAATTATATTGAAACAAATTAATTTTAAATGAAAACATTTAATTTCAATTTAAAACAAATTTATTTAAGTTTAAAACAAATTAATTGTTATTTATAGAAAATTAATTTCAGTTTTTAAAACAAATTAATTGTTATTATTTAGAGAAAAGTATTTTCAGTTTAAAGCAAATTAATTGTTATTTGTAGATAATTAATTTCACTTTAAACCAAATTGTTATTTATACAAAAATTAATTTCAGTTTAAAAATGCAATAACTTTACAAAAAGGAGATAAAAACGAAAAAGTCGAGAAAAATTTTTTAGCCGAATTTCTCGAAATTTCTCTCTACCAAAAGAAAAGAATCTTTAAATAAGGAAAATCAATTCAAGAAAATTGCCTTATAATTATTTTTAAATGACTCCGAGGGGGACAAAGGAACAAAAATATTTGTCATCATCATAATATTTGAAGAAAGAAAAGCAAACGTTTTGCGAAATACAATCAAACTCGATTTATAGGTTATGTTTATCAATTTCGTCAATTTTGCTCATTTCGCTGTTTTTATTTTTTTCATTCCTCGTATATATAAAAATATAATATATACCATATATATAGTATATACTAAATATATATACATATACAGATATAATATACACACATATATAGATATAATATACTATACACTATATATAGATATATTATAACATATAAAAATATTTAGTCTGTTTATTAGTGGAAATTTTTTTTTCAAGAAACCCACCAGTTATTCATGTCCAAGAAAAATGTTGCAGTCGCTTCATTGAGATGACTACCAGCAAGTAATCTCTGTAGTTGCTTCACCAGGTCGTCTTTGTCTGTTGTGCCAAGACAACTAAATTGGTGAAGCAGATTTTGATCCAATTCATTATCGACGTCCATAACTTTGCCTTTTATCTTTTATATAAAAATTCACACAAAATCCATATAAAATAATAATAATAAATTTCCTTCGAGAACACTAAATTTCAATTAAATTCACCGTTATTTTTCTTTACTTTATAATATACGAATTATTCGCGTGCAAATATTTCCCTTATTTTAGATTTTTGTAATAAACTACAAATTTTTAAATGTCATTCTTCGAAAATCACAATGATGTGTTTTTTTTTATATAGGTGTGTTATAAAGGGAGTATGACGTCGTTTTCTATATGTGTGTGTACGCGATTTATGCGCGATCTACTGTATATTTTTCCTACTTCTTATTACCGACAATCGGTAAGACTGCGAGGGCCGAGGCGCGCGGGAAATTCAAAATTCGACAATGTAAATCGAAAATTGAGAAAAGAAAGAATAGGAGAAACTAATTTTCGAAAGAAAATGGATTTAAATTTTAATTTATAACCAAAAAGGACTTTTGTAAGTATTTCAGCTAAATTTAATTTTAGTCCACTTCGAATTCTTTAATTTTCTTTTTTACCGACAATCGAAAAATGAATCATGTTCGGTCGGAAAGAGGAGTTGTGTCTGCTTGCTGTAATTGCGGAAATTATTTTTATTTACCAAAAAAAGAAACATTAACGAGTTAGTACTACATAAATTATTATTATAAATTAATAGAAAACTTAAGTAATAATAGAATTTAAAGAATAGACTCTCGGATATATTCCTCTTGTCTTATTTATTCATCTAAAATTTTTTAAAGAAATCCTTTTGTTTACCATAGTTTTTTTTCTGCAAGACAAAAAAAAAGTATTCTCCGAAAAACAGACAGAAATTTTAGTATTTACGTTTATATTACATAAACTTTGACCACTTGTGTATATAAAACTGCGTGTTTGAACATGATTTTTTTAGGTTATGAATGCGAATCTTGTGAATTTTTTTCATATTTTATTTAAAAAAATAGAAAAACAAAAGAAAAATGAATATTATTATTTTGAATAATGTTAATTTAGATAACCAAGTTATTAACGGTGTTGTGGTAAATTTTCATTTCTTTCGTTATAATATTTCTTTTGCTCGCTATAATTATTTGAAAATCATTTTGTTTTTCAGTTTCATTATCAACGTGGTGAGCAGGCAAATAATATGAATGACAATAATGAATTGGCGGATAAATGTCCAAAATATAATTTAAAAGGAATACAGGCTCATCGATCTTGTGGTAATTAAAGAGAAAATTAATTGTTTTCTATTTTTGTTTATTGCAAGTAAATTTATTTGATAATTATTTCGTCATTTGATATAGTGAGAAACTATCAAATTCTCGAATTTTCTCCTTAATTTTTCTTTTACATTTTTAATTAATTTTCCTTTATTTCGTAACTAGAAAATATTTCGTATTTTTTAATTTAATTAATTATCATATTTTATTCTTTAGTAGAAATAAAAAATTAATTAAATATTTCTATCTTTTTTTTCCTTTTTTTTATAATTTTCTATTTTTTTAATTTCCTTGTTTTATCGCCGATTTCATTCTTTAGTAGAAATAAAAAATTATTAAATATTTCTATTTTTTCTTTTTTTCTTTAATTTTCTAATTAAATTTTATATTTTTTTAATTTATTTTTTTTGTATTTATCACTGATTTCATTCTTCAATGGAGAGAATGAATCAATTAAAATATTTCAATTTTTTTTGCTAAATAAAAATGTAGAAGTTTCTTTTGAAAAATTTTTTATAAACTGTCGAATTTTATCTTCTTTTCTAATTTAATATATTTTTATTTCAAAGATTTTTTAAAATTTCTTTGTATTTAAAAAATTAAAATTCTTTTTTTTAACGAAGCAGTTAATTTTTAAAACGAATTCGGTTTTTTTTAAATAAATTAATAAAAAGAAAGTTTCAAAATTATTTGATTCGTCAATTTTCGTATTTTAAAATAAATAAACAGAAGAAAATTTTTCTTCTTAATTTACTTTAAAATAAATTTAACGAATTGGGTCTTTCAAATGAATTCGAAAGAAAATGTTAAAAAAAACTTAAAATTATTGAAGCAAATAATTTTTTTAATTTCAAATTTCAAATTTTTTTCAAAATCTAAAGAAAAGAATTAAAATTCTTTACTTATCGAATCAGTGGTTCTTTTAAATTTAATATTTTGTTTTCTTTTACAGATCAAATTTTGCTTGATTCGTCGTTGAGTTTCAATAGTAAAAAAAATAAAAACGATTCGCCTTTATTGACAGTGAAAAAATTATTCGTCACCAATCTTGCGGATAAGGTAAATTTTTTTTTGTCTTCTACTTTTGTTAGTAATTTCTTTTATATTTTTAAATTTAATTTATTTTCGAAAATAATAAAATTCAAGAATGAATAAAATAAATAAAGTCCAAGAATAATAAAATAAAAACTAATTAATAAATTAATAAAAATTACAAAATTACAAAATTTACAAGACAGAATTTTTAATTCTAATTCCTAGTCTTGTAATTTTTCTAATTTGTCTAAAAAGTAATTTATTTATTTTTGAAAATAGGCAACTCTAGAGGATTTATTGAAAATATTCAAAATATACGGCGAGGTGAGTGAGTGCGTTATTAAAAAAAACAGAAAAAGTAACTACGCTTTTGTTACGTTCACAAATGTTGATTCTGCAAAAAAGTAAGTAAAAGGAAAATTCTTTTTTTCTATTCGAAATTTTGTCACTATAATTATAATTTATAATTTTTTATTAATTTTTTTCTTCCAATTTTTCTGAATTTCGTTCCTTGTTTTTTTTTCAAAGATTAAATTTATTAATTTAAAAAAAATTTACTTCATAGATTTAGAAATTTCTATTATATCAAATTTAACCAAATATTTATTAGATAAAAATACCGAATTATAGAAATTGATTTTTGTCTTATTTGCAGCGCATTAAAGAAAGAAAATGGCAGAAGTTTGCATGGAAAAAATTTAACGGTAATACCAGCAGATCCTCGACATCAACCAAATCCAAAAAAGCCGCCAAATGAAAAAGATGAGCCAAAGAAAGGTCAAACGGAAAATTCATGTTCGAGTGGTGAAATTTATCCATTGATTCACAAAATAAGTGACACATGTTTAATGCACATTTTTCAATATCTTTCAATTGCCGAGCGGATAAAAGTCGAAGGAGGTAAAGTAGAAACAAGAAAAATTATATTTTTTAAAAATTAATGAAAATGAAAAAATAAAAAATGTATTTGTTTTGTTTCAGTTTGTCGACGTTGGCGCGACGTGAGTCTCGATTCATGGCGCACATTAAAAAGACTGGATGTAAATTCAATTTCATGGGGTTGTAAAAGTGGTAAAATTGAGACATCAGATCTTTATCAAATTCTAAAACGTTGCGGACGTTATATAACGACAATAACATTTTTTGAAAAACATCGAATGATGCCACTGCGAACATTATTTATCATTGGAAAATGTTGTCCAAATTTAAAAATTGCCTATTTAGGAACATTAGAAGTGACACCACGTGAAATTGATTATATTTTATCGCAATGTCCAAATCTCGAATTTCTTGAATTTGATTCATCACATTTTCGTGATCGTGATTTTCGTCGTCTCTTTGCAATGAGCAATCAATTAAAATATGCGAGTGTTGAAAAAAGTAAAATTGACGGCAGCTGTTTTACTTGCTTACCGGAAAATGTTGAGACATTCGTTTTTCATGAAGCTAAACGAAGAACTGAATTCTACGCCTTTGAATTCGTAAGTTTTAAATTATGATTCTAATAATTAAAGACTAAATTAAAATAAGAAATTAAAAAAAATTTTTTTTTGGTAATTTAATTTTTTACTGCAAAAAAATTTTTTATTCTTCCTTTTTATCAAAACAAATATTATTTATATTTAAAATATTTTTGTATTCTTCTACTTATTCAATTTACTTTCTAGTTTTTAATTTAAAAATAAATATTATTAAATATTTTTTTATATTTTCAAAATTTGCTAAACTTTCATTTTTATTTTAATTAATTAGGTATTTAAATAAATAATTTACTTACAAAGTAATTTTCTATTTGATGGATTTATTTAATTAAAAAGTTCTTTTCTAGTTAATTAGAATTGTCATTGGTCAGGGAAATCAAGAATAAGTCTGGAAATTTTATCAAAAGTACTAAAAAAAATATCAGATTTCTACAATTATTACGAATTTTCATTAATACTTTAAATAAATAAAAAAATATATTTTTTGAATCTAAAAAGATTTTTAAACATTTTAATTCAATCTTTTTAAGATAATTAATTTTTAGAAGAAAATTTATTGAAATCTTTTTTTTTAAATAATTGCAATGTCGTTAAATATTATGTTCAAAGAATTTTATTAACATTTTTAAAGATTTTTAAATTTTTAAAAATTTGATTTCAATTTCTCATTAAATTATTGAAAATAAAAATTAAACATTCTTTAGATAATTGTGATTTCGTAAAATTTTATTGAAATAAATTATTAACGAATTTTACTTGAATATTTTTGAAAACAATTAAAATGTCGAATAATTTTATTCGAAAATTCAAATAAAATTTAATTTAAATTTCGAATAATTTTATTTGAAATTTTTCAGACATTTAATATAAGAATTTTGAAGGATTTTTTTTTAAATATTCAAAAAAATATTTTAAACCCAGTGTTTGAAACATTTTAATTGAAATTTTTGAAAATAATTCAAATTTCGAAGAATTTTCTTTTAATATTCTAAAAATAAATTGAAAAGCAAGTTTTTTTTAAAGAACTTTGAAAATAATTTAAATTGTGAATTATTATTTTTATTCTTTTATTATTATTCCAAAAATACTTTGAAAATCCAATTTTTGAAGAATGTAAATTGAAAATTATGAAAATAATTGAAATTTCGAAGAATGTTTTATAAATTTTCTAAATAAATTTTTAAAATCGAGTTTTTGAAGAATTCTAATTGAAAATTTTGAAAATATTTGAAATGCCGAAGAATTTTTTATAAATATTCATAAAAAATTTTAAAATCGAGTTTTTGAAGAATTTTAATTGAAAATAATTGAATTTTCGAAAAAGTTTATATTCCTATTCTGCCAAAAATTTAAAAAAAACGAGTTTTTAAAGAATTCTTATTTTAAAATTTTGAAAATAATTGAAATTTATTAATAGTTTAAATTATTTTGTTCGAAGAATTTTTTTACAAATATTCTGAAAAATTTTAAAATTATGTTTTTCACGAATTTTGATCGACAATTATGAAAATAATTGAAATTTTGAAGAATTGTTTTATTATTATTCTGAGAATGAAACGTGAAAATCGAGTTTTTGAAGAATTTCAATTGAAAATTTGGAAAGTAATTAAATTTTCCTAAATCGGAAAATTTAATTGTAAAAACCAAACAATTCCTTACAATTTTTTCTATTTTTACTTTTATTCTTTTTTCAAATTTAAGTTTAAAATCTAAAATTGTATTTTTAATTCAATGTAAATTATTCTGAAATTTGATCAGAATCAGTGAAAAAATCGAAATTAGGAAAAAGTCCAGAAAAATAAAATTTTCTTTGTGATCTCTGATTTTATTAATTTAAAAATTTGATAAAAATGTCTTTTTCTTTTTTTTGTATTTTTTTTAATTTTCTTTATTTAATTTAATTTAATTTTTTATTTTTTATTATTAATTTTTAATGAATTATTTTAAAATTATTTTGAAAATAACGAAAAATATAATTAATTAATAATAAATATTAATAAATAATTAAATAAATTCCTTTTCTATAATTATTAATTAAATTTAAATTTTGTTTTTCTTTTTCTTTTCAGGTCGTTAAAAGATTGAAGAATCTTGAGAATTTGTATTTGAATTTCTCGAATGATTCCGATGAAGGTTTACCGACATTCGAGGAAGATGATGACGATGACGATGAGGAGGATGACGACGACAATGATGATTATGGAAACAATGATTCCGATATTGATGACGATATTTACGAAAATTACGATTATTTCGACGAGAATGATGAATTTCTCGATGAAAATGACGTTTTTCTAGACGAGGAGGACAATTTTGACGAAGAGGTTGATGATTTTCATGACGAGGAAGATGATTTTCATGACGAGGAGGACAATTTTGATGAAGAGGTTGATGATTTTCATGACGAGGAAGATGATTTTCATGACGAGGAGGACGATTTTCATGACGAGGTGGACGATTTTCAAGATGATGAGGACGATTTTCATGATTTTGATGATGGATTCGATAGTAATGACGAGGATAAGGGGGGAAATTTAGAAAATTCGGCTTCACAAACATCGTCAACGTTCAAAACTGCCAGTGGTAAAATGATAAATTCCACAACGTCCAAGGAGCAAAATTCAAAAGTCTCTCCGCAAAAGAAGGAAAACGAAAAAGTTGAGGAAGACTTCAGCGATATTAACTCAACAATTACTGATGAACTCGAACCAATGGATGATAATTCCGAGAAAAGTTCATCTAAACCTGATTCCAATCTCAAAACTCCAAAGGCTGAACACTCCGATGCAATTTTCAAAGATGAAAAACAAATTCCAAGCGATGAGAGTTTCAAATCTCCGGAAAATCGAAATTCTCCTTCGACTTCGTCTGTAAATCAAAGTAACGCCTCAAAAATTGAAAATTCACCTTCAAAATCATCGGAAAATCAGACTTCACCTTTAAAATCATCAGAAAATCAAAATTCGTCTTCAAAATCATCGGAAAATCGAAATTCGACTTCGAAACAATCGGAAAAGCAAAGTTCAACTTTGAAAATAACGGAAAATGAAAATTCGAGTTCAAAATCATTGGATAATCAACCGTCAACATCGAAGAACGGAGAAAATTGTGAGGAGAAGAAGAATGAAGAAGATAAGAAGGAAGAATTAATTTCGACTAATTCGAATAGTGGAGTAACGAATAATTTGGCTAATGAAAGTATTGATTCACTCGATTATTATGTAGGCCATGATGATGATGATGATAATGATAATGATTATTATAATGGTTTTGATGATTATGATGATGACGATATCGACGATGAGTATGATAATTTCGACGATTATTTAAACGACCATTACGATCAATATGATTATGGCTTTAATGATTTTGATGTTGAGGATGATTTTATTTTTGAATCGCATTTAGCTGAAACAATACGTCAAACGTTGATGCATTGCAATACAAAATTGAAAATTCTCCAATTGAAAAGGTAATTTTCAGAGTTTTACTATTTAATTTGAAATTTTTCAAGTATTTTTATATAATAATTTTGAAGAATTTTTTTTTTAATATTCCAAAAAATAATTTGAAAATCTAGTGTTTGAAGAATTTTAATAATTGAAAATGTTGAAAATAAATGAAATTTCGAAGAATTTTTTTTATTATTATAAAAATACTTTAAATTTAGAGATTTTGATGAATTTCTATTTTTCTATTATTCTGAAAGAATTTAAAAACGACTTTTTGAAAAATTTCTATTTTTTCTATTAATTTGAAAAAATTCAAAAACGACTTTTTAAAGAATTTTGATTAACAATTTTGAAAATAATTGAAATTTTGAAGTATTTTTTATAAATATTCTACAAAAAAATTAAAAAACAAGTTTTGGGTATATTTGATTGCTAATTTTGAAAATAACTGAAATTTTGAAGAATTGTTTTCTTATTATTCTAAAAATACTTTGAAAATCGTGTTTGTGTGGAATTTTAATAGAAAATTTTGAAAATAATTGAAATTTCAAAGTATTTTTTATAAATATTCTGCCAGAAATTTAAAAAACGAGTTTTTGGTAAATTTTGATTGACAATTTTGAAAATAATTGAAATTTTAAAGAATTGTTTTCTTATTATTCTAAAAATACTTTGAAAATCGTGTTTGTGTGGTATTTCAATAGAAAATTTTAAAAATAATTGAAATTTCGAAGTATTTTTTAAAAATATTCTGAAAAAAATTTTTAAATCAAGTTTTTAAAGAATATAAATTACCAATTAAGAAAATAACTAAAATTTCGAAGTTGTTTTTATTATTATTCTGCCAAAAATTTAAAAAACGAGTTTTTGGTAAATTTTGATTGACAATTTTGAAAATAATTGAAATTTTGAAGAATTGAGTTTTATTATTATTCTAAAAATACTTTGAAAATCGTGTTTGTGTAGAATTTTAATAGAAAATTTTTAAAATAATTGAAATTTCGAAGTATTTTTTAAATATTCTGAAAAAAAATTTTTAAATCAAGTTTTTCTAGAAAAAAATTACTTTTTATTTACTATTATAAACTTCTACGAAAATTCGATTATTTAAATACAAAAATAAATAATTTAATGAATTTATTATTTATAAAAATAATTGAATTCTTGTGAAGAATTTTATTGAAATTTTCGAAGATAATAAATAATAATTAATTAACTGTACTTAAAAAATGAGTTTTTTATATTGTAAATCTGAAATTATTAAAATATTGAAGTTTATATTTAAACATACAAAATTTTGTAATCATATATTTTTTTTATATTTTTTATTTTTATTCACGATTTTAAATATCTATTTACAAAATTTGTAATTAATTTGTGGAAAGTAAAGAAAAAAATATTTCTGTTTACAGTTGTTCGTTTGCCGGATTAACATCACACGATTTATTAACGAAAATAACAAATTTCACGCACTTAGAGAGACTCGATTTCAGTGACAATGCAATTGTCACCGATGAAATACTCAGTGCGATTGGAGCGAATTGTCCAAAACTCAACGTTCTTCTGATAAATCGTTAGTAATTTTTTACAATATCATAATCATAATTAATTAAAAAATAAATTAAATTAAAGTAATTAAAATCAGTAAATTTTAATTTAAAAATTCTAAAATTAAGTTTTATTTCAATATTTTGAAAATAATTGAAATTTCAATAAAATTTTATTTAAAAATTTTCAAAACAAATTAAATTTCATAAAATTTTATATATAATATGTAGAAAAAATTATGATTAATTATGATTAAAAATTATGATTACTTGAATTTCTTTAAAGATAATTAAATTTCTGTAATAATCAATTGAAATTTTTTAATTAATTCTAATTTTATAAAATTATATTGAAAATAATTTAGTTTTTTAAAGAGATTTTATTGAAATGTTTTAAAAATAATCAGAATAAGAAATTTTATTTAAAAATTTTGAAAATAACTGACATTTCGAAGAATTTTTATTAAAATTCTGAAAAAGTTAGATTTTAAAAAATGTTTAATTCAATTTCTTTGACAAAATTAAATTGTATTTAAAAAAATTTGGAAAACAAATAAAATTTTATAGAATTATATTGAAAATAATTTTGTCTTTTAAAAAGATTTTATTAAAATTTCTTGAAAGAATCGAATTTTTGAAGAATTCGAATTTATAGAAAAAATAATAAATAATAAAAAAATTTTAGGTTGCTTTCAAGTGTCAGACGTTGGAATCGGTGGAATCGCACTTTTACCAGAATTAAAACACCTTTCAATGAACGATCTTTCAAAAGTCACTGGCAAACAATTATCAACATTGTGCACACTAAAAACACTTTATTGTGCCCGTTGTCCATCAATTGTTGCCGATGGTTTAGTGAAATTAATTGCCAATTGCCATGAATTGGAACAATTGGACATTCAATGTTGTAAATTAATTACAAATTCATTTATCATTGATAATGTTGCTTCCACATTGAATAATCGGAAAAATAACATAAAATTAAAAATATTCGCACGTGCCACTGGAATTGATGTGAAAATTTTATCAGCAATTATAAAAAATAATGTTGAATTAATGGAACTATCAATGGAATTTCGACAGGAGAAATTTGATTCATTTATTGATGGTAATCGTGGTACGGAGAAAACTGATAATAAAAATGGACTTGAATTGAGGGATTTTCGTGGAATGATATTCGAAAGTAGTACATTCAAGGAAGATAAAGAAGACTGAAATCTAGTGAAGCTGTTGAGATACACTTCAATCTCGCCAAATATTTAGAAGAAAAAAAAAGTGTTATTTATTCAAGAGAGAAAGGGAAAATTTTTCTTTTTTTTTTTTTGGTTATTAACTTCATGAATGAAAGAAGTTACAATTAGTAAACAAAAATTTACCACAAATTTTTATCAATATTGAGGTAAACTTTTATAAAAAGACTCATTAACTTTTTTTTTTGAATCCAAATATAAATTTTTTTTTCATTCTCAATTTCCTTTTTGCTCCCGTTTTTTTTTCTTTTCTCTTTTTGTTTCGTTTGCAAACAAGTTTTCTTTAATTTATTTTTTTCTTTTATTTAAATTTTATTTTATTTAAATTACCTCCCTCCCTGCATCCCTTTAAGTATTTCATTCAATTGAATGATTCTTGTGATAGACTATAAGATAAAAAAAAAGAAAAAAGGAAAAATAGACATAATCCGAAATAAAACTCAACGATAAGGATAAATATTTTTTTAGTTCCTTAAGAAACTTTTTCTATGTCTTTAAGATATTGTACATCTTTTTACGTTATAAATAATGTAAGATTCTATATTTGCGTTTATTATTAACTGCAAATAATTAGTGGAAATTTTCCCAATGTTTGGTATTTTTCTAAAATAAATACAAAAAAAAATTGAAAGAAAAAAAATTGTCTATGTTTATTTAGTGAATAATTATAATTAAACTTGACATATTTTTGTGACTATTTTTAAAGAAATGTGACTATTTTATTAATTATTTTTAATATGATTTAATATTTTAAAAATTGTTTAATATAATTTTTCATATAAAACTAATTAATTTTTTTTTATTATTTTCAAAAACTTTAATAAAATTCTTGAGTATAGAAGTCAATTACTTTTGAAAAATTTTAATAAAATTCAATTACATTGAACATAATTTTAATCAAATTCTTCACGAGAATTGAATTATTTTCAAAACCTAAAATTTTAATAAAATTCAATTATTTTCATATAAATAATAAAAAATTCTTCGTAGGAAATCAATTATTTTCAATATAATTTTAATAAAATTCAATTATTTTGAATGTAATTTTAATAAAATTCTTCGCAGGAATTTTTCAATTATTTTCAAAAATACCTAAAATTTTAATAAAATTCAACGACTTTTAAAAATTTTATTTAAATTCTTGAAAGAAATTCAATTTTTTTTCATAAATAATAAAATTCTTTGTAGAAAATCAATTACTTTTAATACAATTTTAATAAAATTCAATTAAGAATTCAATTATTATTCAATTATTAAGATAAAATAAAGTTCTTTACAGAAATTAAATTGTTTTTAGAAATTTTGATAAATTTAAAAAAAATAATTAATTAATTATTTTTGTATATTATTTTCAAAAGCTTTAATAAAATTCTTCAATATAGAAGTAAATTATTTTTAAAAATTTCAATAAAATTCAATTATATTGAACATAATTTTAATCAAATTCTTCGCAAGAATTGAATTATTTTCAAAACTTAAAATTTTAATGAAATTCAATTATTTTAAAAAAATTTAATTAAATTCTTGACAGAAATTCACTTATTTTTAATACAATTCTAATAAAATTCAATTGATTTTAAAAATTTTATTCATATTCTTCACAGAAAGACAATTATGTTCAAAAAATTTTTTAAATTCTCGTGTCAAAAATTAAATTTTCTTGATAAATAATAAAATTCTTCTTCGAAATACAATTATTTTCAAAAATTTTAATAAATTTCTTGTCAAAATTTCAATTATTTTCAAAAATTTTCCTCAGTCAATGATTTTCAATATCTACTATAGTTTAATAAAATTTTCCAAAAAATGTAATTATTTAAAAAATTTGGTTTTAAATATTTTTCAGAATTTATTTATCAGTTTGTCTCTGTTTTTATTATTTACCTATTAAAAAATTTTTTATTTTATTTGTCTGCATTATTTAAATTTAAAATTTCGCGGCTGGAAAAAATGAAAAACGCATTTTTTTGGTTAAAAAATTGCTCGTTTGGCGTTCTGTAATCTGTACTTTACCACTTTTTTTCGTCATTTGTTATTCTTCCGTTACTTTTTATCAGTTTTATTAAAAACTTCTCCGAATTAATATAATTATTTTGTATACTATTTATTAATTTGATTTAAGTGAATCAAAGTGAATAAATTTCTCTTCAAATTATTCTTGTTGTTTAAAAGCTTTAAAATGAACAATCAAAAACATGTAAGTAAAAAAAAGTGAGCTTTTAAAGCGACGCCAAAAACAGAAAACCGCGTTAATTTACACGGAAATTAATTAAGTTTTTCAACTTCTGATTTTTTTTTTTCGTGAAAAAGAGCAAAAATGAAAATCTATCGAATTAGAAACATAAACTAAAAATAGTATTTTTTTAACGATAGGTATTTTTTCTCTCCTGTCGCGTCACATAGGATAAAATTTGGTCTCTCAGGGTTATTGCCACAAAAATTTAATTTAAATTTTTCCCTAATTTGCAGACAAAATTTTTACTTTTTCTCTGACCCGAAAGAATATTCTGATTCACTCAAAATTATTAGATACTCAAAAAAATCTTCTATTATTATTTATGAATTTTTTTAATTGTAAAAAATTATTCGAAAACATTTCATCGTCAATTTATTATTTAATTACAACAAAATTTTCGTTTATTATATTCTAGATGGAAAATATAACGAAGGAGTTGGAGAAATTGAATTTCTCAAAAGATTCAAAGGTCAATGTGCATGAAGAAAATAATACCAAAGATTTGAAGAAAGAAGACAATCATGATGATAAAAAAAATGTTTCTAATGATAAAATTAAGAAGGATGAATTTAAGGATTCTCATGAAGATATAATTAATCTTCTTACTGGTGATACTGACAATGATTTTGATGACAATGATTTGGATAATCTTTGTGTTGGTCTTGATGATGAATTTGACGAACTAGATAATTTTTGTGTTGATCTTGAAGATTATGATGAACTAGATAATCTTTATGTTGATCTTAATGTTTGTGAAGAACTAGATTATCTTAATTTTGGTTTTGATAATGAATTTGATGATGCAGATGAGCCATTCTATGATTTTTTCTAAAAATATCAGCGTCCGAAACATCTTTCAATCACTGTTAGATTTTATATTTGCATTTATTATTAATTTCAAATAATTATGTAAATTTTCCTAATGTTTCGTATTTTTCTATAAAGGAAATTAAAAAAATTTACCAAAAAAACAATTGTGACTTTTGAATCAAAAAATCTAAAAAATAATTTATTTATTTATAAAAATAATTTATAAAATACATTTATAAAAATAATTGAATTCTTGCAACGAATTTTATTTACCTATTTATTTTTTTTAAATAATTGAATTCTTGCAAAGGATTTTATTAAAATTAAAAATTTTTAAATATGTATTCAATTTTGGAGTTTAAAATTTTCCGACCGGAAATAATGATAACGAAAAGTGACATCTTTGGTTAAAATTTGTCTTCACTTTTTTCCGTTAATTTCGTTTCTATTCCTTTATATTTTCTTATTATATAAAAAAAACTGCTTCAATACCTAACAAACGCCAATTTTGTTTTGTATATTTATCAACTTTTGATTTTTAAGTGAATAATTTTCTCTTTAAATCATTATTCAAAATGTCAGATGAAGAAGATGTGAATGATGTGAGTAAAAAAACGTGAATTATATTTTTCTTTTATTCAATTAAGAAAATTTTTACAAAACATAACCTCAAAAATAATTGCACGTTTTTAATTTTAGAATTTTTCTTTCTAATTAAATGTGTATTAAGTACTTTCTTTATGAATATGCCTTGAAATTTTTAAAACAAATACAAAAAATTCTAAATTTTTGAAGCACTTGCTTTGATTCTTTTCGATTTTGTAAAAAAAAATGGTTTTCGATGACGCCCAACGTTGACGAAAAGGCCTTTTTTCTAATTATTTTTCAAAAAAAAATATAATTTAAGGTTAACAAATATTAATAAATTAATTTAATAATAATATAACAAAAAATATATTTTTGTTTACAAATATTAATAAATTAATTTAATCGACAAAATTTCCGTTTATTATATTGCAGATCGATTACGTAACGGAGGATTTCGAAAATTTGAATGTCTCAAATTATGGAGATGAGGATGATAATTACGACAGGAACTATGAAGATAATGATTCCAATGATTATGAAAAAGAAGACAATCATCAAGAAACTGAGGAGTCTCATGAAGAAGACAATCATGCTGAAGTAGAAAATGATGATAATCATCATGATGAAGATGGTGCAGCTAGTGGTAGCAAATTCGATTTTTTCGATTACGTTCATGATGACGATGATCCTTTTAATGTCATGAAATGTTGCGATCCAGAATTTTATAGTTATGATGACTATTTAAATGATTTTTACGAACGATTCGCTGACGGTCAAAATGATGACGATGATTAAGATAATTTTCTTTTTTAATATCATCAATCTGGAGCAGTTTTTAATCATCGAACCAATTCACAAGTCTCTGAGTAGGGAAACAATTTTCAAAATTTGTCTATACTGCAAAAAATCTACAACCGGATTTGAATCGAAGAACTTTCATCGAATAATATTCAAAATCATGGATTTTTAATTCAAACAAAGAAAAAAAAGACTGAAATTTAATTTCACTCCGAATATTTTTCACCAAATACTTTTTTTCTCAAAGAAACCTTATTCTAACGAAATGTTACTTATTTCAAAGAATTTCTTTTTTGCTTTTGATTACAAAGGTTATTTTCTGTTCGTTTATTTCAGAATTTCTTATAAAAACGAGTTATTTAAATATAGTAAACAGTTTACAATGTAAGAAATTAAAAATAAGTTGAACTGAGAACTTAAAGCAAGGTAGAAATTAAAAAAAAAATTTTTTTTTCTTTTTTCATTTACGTTATTTTTTGCTTATTTGTTTATTTTTCCCTTACATTAATTTCATTTTATTTAAATCTTCCACGCTCGCAGTTAACTATTTCATTTAATTAAATGATTTTTGTGATAAAACTACAAGATAAAAGAAATACAATAAATCTTAGAGTTAAAGATAATAAATTCTTTTAGTTTCTTAAGAAACTTTTGCTATAACTTTAAGAAATATTTTTTTACGTTATTACAAATATTGTTAGATTCTTTATTTGCATTTATTATTCACTGCAAATAATTATAATGTCGAAATTTATCCACAATTTGATATTTTTCTAAAATAAATTAAAAAGTTGAAAAAAAATTGTTTACACTTATTTATTAACATTTCAATTTATGTCATTTAATTAGTTAATTGTAATGGTTAATAATAATTAATATTATGAAGTAAATAATACAATTAATATTAATATTTACTTATTATTGCTTTTTATTAGTAAATATTAATTAAATACTTTTAAAAAAGTATTAATTAAATATTATTAATCATATAATAATAATAATAATAATAATAATAATAATAATAATAATAATAATAATAATAATAATAATAATAATAATAATAATAATAATAATAATAATAATAATAATAATAATAATAATAATAATAATAATAATAATAATAATAATAATAACAATTAATTATATTATTTTATTAATTACGAATTAGGAATAATTACATAATTATAATAAAATATTAATCTATGATGAAAAATAGTTAATTTATTCAATATTGAATAATATTCAATTTTTGACTTCAAAAATTCGCGACCGGAAGTAATATCACCAAAAGAGACATCTGGTAGTTAAAATCATATTTTGTTTCCGTATTAATTTTTTTCGTTATTTCCACATTTCTTTGTTACGTTTAAGAACTTTTGTTTGTTGTTTGTTTTGTATTATTTATTATTTTGTTTGTATAAACAAATTTTATCTTGAATTTTTTTATTTTTTTTCATGGATAATCAAGATGTGAGTAAAAGAAAAACGTGAATTATTATTTTTTTTTGAACGAAAAATTTGGGAAATATTTGTTTTATACACATAACCACAAAGACAATAAATGCTTCAAAACCTTAAAAATGTTCATTTTTATTATATAACAGAAAATATTTGCAAATTTTTCATACGATTTTTAACCGATAAAATTTTTAATTAATATTGACAAATTTTTTTTTATTATGATTTATTGTTCCCTTTACTTTATTATTTTATTTTCTTGTTTTTATTTTTTATATAGTAAATTTTATATTATTTCTATATTTTAATTTTTTATATTATTTATGTTTTTTAATTTTTTATATTTATTTTATTACTATTATTATTATTTATTAATTTATTTAATTATTATTTTTATATTTTAAATATTTTTAATTACTCTATTTTATTCTTCTTTAATTTTTTTTTGTTTTTAAAAAATGTGCACAAAAAAAACTTAAAATTTTATTACAATAATAAATAGCAACTTTTTGTAAAGTAAAAAACCATATTTATGAATTTCAAAATGTCGGATACAATATGGCGACCAAAATATATTTTCTAATTTATAAGATACGATTAAAATTTAGTAAATATTTTCGTTCCGCCATATTAGAACCACCATTTGAAAATTTAAAAATTTAAACACAATATCGAATTTGCGAATTAAGAAAAATCTATAAAACTTTTATTTTATTTATATATTTATTTTTATTTATAATAATAAAAAAATATTCTAATTCGATCAATTATTGAAAATTATTTTTATAGCTCTCATAGTTTATTAAAAAGAAATTTTTAAAATAAAAAACCGACAAATAATTTGAAGAGTAGGGATTTTAATTTTTAAATTATTTTAATAAACAAATAAAATTGCATTTGAATAAAAATTATAATGTTGTCAAGAAAAAACGCTCGAATAATATCCTTAAATTCACCGCAATGTTTCTTAAAGATTAAATTATAATTTTTATTTAAATGTAAAGTGTAATTGCTTAAAAGGTTGAAAAATTAGATTCTTTACCCTCCAACGAGACGAATTTAAAATTTACTTATTTTATTGTAATATTTATTTTTTCAAAGATTCTTGAAAATTGCAATTTAAAAATTGTGCAACTTAGTTTTCGTATTAATTTTCTTTTCGAAATAATGATTACAAACGGAAATTATAAAAGCTATCTTTAACGAAAATAAAAATTTAATTTAATAGTATCTAAGTATGTTTATTGAAATATTCCCCTATTCTTCTCCTTTTCAGATAATGAACAACGAGGACAAAAAATTCTCCTACGAGAAGGAGGACATTTTATCTGCCGTTCGAGAAAATAATTACGAAAATTTAAAGGAAATATTTTCTTATTTCAAAAATGAACAGAATCTCGCTGCGGTTATAAATTGCCATCATGAACATGAAGATTGTATTCTTCTTCTGGCACTGAGAACAAGAGACGTGAAAATTCTCGATTTATTTCTAAACAAAGGACTCTGCGATGTAAATGAAAAAATTCAGGACCTTCTCCTACACGAAGCGATTAAAATAAATGAAATTGGAATTTTAAACAAACTTATCGAGAATGGTTGCGTTAATAATCAATCAATTTGCGAACATAAACTACCACCACTCTTTGAATTAATCGAACAAGGACGATTAGAGTGGATACGAAGATTCTACGAGGTCGGAGTTTCGTTTCAACAAAGAACAAAAAACCATCTGCCATTGTTGCACTTCGCTTTCAAAATTCAAGGAACAACTAAAGAATTATTAAAGCTTCTAATAGCGTACGGCGCCGAATTATCCATAAAAGACCCAATTACCGATCTTACCCCATTACATTACCTGATAAGTGAAAAAGTACTAAAGTCAAACCGACAGAAAGTGAAATTTATCAAAATTCTCCTAAAATTTGGTGCCGATCCGAATTGTTATACGAAAATAAAGGACGAATACGTTTTGTACACTGCACTTCGAATGGAAAATCATTTCGCCGTTCGGCTTTTATTAATACACGGTGCAAACATCAACAGTTTTGGAATTATAAGCGAAGAGGTTGTCAACTATTCCCAAAGACCTAATTTAACAAAAACGACAAATTTAATTCGTAATTTATTCTACCTTCACAGGGAATTATTCACTAGTCTCTATATCGAGCAGAAAAAAATTGATCAACGTCTTTTAAAATTACGAAATATTCTCAATGTCGATGTAATGTTGGATCAATTGGCCCATTGTGGAACAATTTATGGCATTAATCCACAAGCAATTGTCACGGCAAATGAAAATAAATTAACCGCAATGATGAGGAATGAAGAAATGTGGACAATTTTGGTACTGCACATGTATCGCTATCCAACGTGGTATTGGATATTGAAGTTTTTAGTGAAAAAAGGCAAGGAGAGACAAATTTTGTTGGACAAATGCGGTGAGCCATTCACGCGTGCTATGAAGGGACGATTAAATTATTATGTTGTCACGGAAATATTGAATTACTTGGGTAGAACTGATTTACGTTCATTGTTGGCCGCATGTTGTCCGGAAAGTTGTATGGAGAGATTGGTACCGAAATTGTACAGATTAGCGTATAGCGATAGCGAAATTTTTAAAGCTGTTCAATCAATGGGTATACCGAACATTAGGGGCATACTTTGTTAGTTTATGTAATTTTTTTTGTGTTATTTAAAAGAAAAATGAATATTCCACGTACGATAATTTTAATGAATTTACAATATAGGAAATTGTACCAGAGAATTATAATATTAGAAAAATATTCAATGCAACTTGTAAATAATTTTATGGTTAAAAATTAAATTAAAGATAAACGGAAAAATTGATACACGAAGAAAGCGTTATTTTTTTTTATTCAATTACATACCTCGCAATAGTGATGCAATATTCTAAAATTATCGAAAAAAGTAAAACAAAATGAAATGAATAATATTTAAACAACAAATTGTAATAACAAATAATAATTAAAAATTTCAAGAAATTGTAATAACAAATAATAATTAAAAACTTCAAGAAATTGTAATAAAAAATAATATTTAACAACAAACAGACTTCGTACTCGATAATTAATTTTAAAAAAGTATCTTTCAAACTAAAAAAAAGTAGTAAAAAAGTAGTTATCGAAAAATTAAACTTAAGGACGAAAAAAAATTGTTTTAGACAATTCACAAAAATGACAATAATTCCATTCCATATTTTTTATTTTCCTGACTTTTTCCTATCACTTTCATCAAAAATATTTACTTCTTTCTTAATAACCTGCTAATAAATTGAATTCCTGCAACGAATTTTATTATTCATGAAAGAATTTAAATATTTATAAAAATAATTTAATTCTTGCGAAGAATTTTATAAAAATTTTAAATAATTAATTTCTTTCGACTAATTTTATGCAAATTCTAATTTAAATAATTGAATTCCTGAGAAATTTTTATTATTCATGAAAAGAATTGAATTCTTACGAAGATTTTTACAAAATTTGTTTTAAATAAATTGAATTCTGTTTGAAAAATTTTATGAAAACAGTAGATAATTGAAAATCATTAAATTGCGAAAAGTTTTTAAAAATAATTAAATTTTACAAAGAATTCCAAAAAGAGATTTATTATACTTTTAAAAATAATTGAATTCTTGTGATGAATATTGTTATTAATGAAAATAATTGAATTTTGCAAAGAATTTTATTAAAATGCCTCCAAACAATTGAATTTTCAGAAATAATTTTGTTATTTATCTTTAATAATTGAATTCTTTCGAAGAAGTATTTATGTAAATAATTGAATTCTTGGAAAGAATTTTATTAAAATCTAAAAAAATGATTGAATTTTTTAAAAAAAATTTTATTAAAATTGTATTTAAAATAATTCACTTCTTTCAAACGATTTTATTAAAATTTTTGAAACTAATTGAATTCTTGTGAAAAATTCTAATATTTTTGTAAATAATTAAATTCTTCCAAAAAATTTTAAAGAAACAATTTTTTAAATATTGATTTTTTCGAGGAATGAAATTAAAATTTTTAAAAATAATTGCCTTTTTTGAACAATCACTGTAAATTTGTATTAAAAACAATTGAAATCCTACGGTGAATTTTATTATTTATGAAGATAATTAAACAGTTTCAAAGAATTTTATTAAAATTTTCAAAAATAATTGAATTCCTGAGAAGAATTTTATTATTTAAGAAAATAATTGAATTATCGCGAAAAATATTACTGAAGTGTTTAAAAATAATAATTGAATTTCCGTAAAAAATTTTGTTCTTTTTGAAAATAATTGAATTCGTTATAAGAATTTTATAAACATTGTTATGTCATTGTTTTAAATAATTAATTTTTTCGAAATATAATAAATATTACGAAAATTTTATTTTAAATAATTGAATTCTTGTGGAAACTTTTATTTGTGAAAATAATTGAATTTTTCAATTAATTGAATAATAAAAATAATTGAATAGTTGCTAAGAATTTAATTATTTATGTAAATAATTGATATATTGCGAAAAATATTATTAAAGTGTTTAAAAATAATTGAATTTCTTTGAAAAATTTTGTTATTTTTGAAAATAATTGAATTCTTCAGAAGAATTTTATAAACATTGTTTTAAATAATTAATTTTTTCGAAATATAATAAATATTATGAAAATTTTCTTTTAAATAATTGAATTCTTGTGGAAACTTTTATTTGTGAAAATAATTGAATTTTTCAATTAATTGAATAGTTGCTAGAATTTAATTATTTATCTAAATAATTGATATATTGCGAAAAATATTATTAAAGTGTTTAAAAATAATTGAATTTCTGTAAAAAATTTTGTTATTTTTGAAAATAATTGAATTCTTCAGAAGAATTTTATAAACATTGTTTTAAATAATTAATTTTTTCGAAATATAATAAATATTATGAAAATTTTATTTAAAATATTTTAATTCTTGTGGAAACCTTTATTTGTGAAAATAATTGAATTTTTCAATTAATTATTAAAAGTGGTATAAAAAATAATTTAAATTTTAAATTCTTTAATGAGTTTTATTATTTATGAAAATAATTGAATTTTGTATGAATTTTATCAATTTTTTTTTTAAATAATTGAATTCCATTGCGAAATTTTATGAAAATACTAGATATTGAAAATAATTGAATTTGTAATATTTTTTGAAAATATGGTATTGCTGTAACAGTATAAATCTATAGACATTGATTTTTATAAATAAATTAATAACATACATTTAATTTTTTAAATTTAAGTAATTATCCACCGCCAATATTTCTCTGGCAACACTTGGAGGGAACTATTGATCCATTTTCTGGACATTCACCTGGTCTCTTTCCTACTTGACCATAATGGCAAATTTTAGCACAATATCCTTTGTTGTCATTGCAATATTCTACTGGGATAGGTTTCGGTTTGTCTCGTCTACTAGCAAACAGCCCATCTTTAAAATATACAATAATTTTTTTTAAATTAATCTGCATATTTTTTGATATTATAAAATTGTTTTTTTTTTAATTTTTCCTAAACAGTAAATTTCAATTTATTAAAAACAAAGTTTTTGTTATAGGCGTGCATGTATATAAATAAAAACAAAAAAACATTAACAAAAATATTTAATATCAAGAAATTGGATTTTAAGAAAATTTTGATTGAAATCCCATTTATAACATCATTCCGATGGAAATTGATTCCAAGTTTTAATATATAGGAATTCGATTGGATTTTAAGAATATTTTAATTGCGAAATAGCATTTAATATCAATTTCCGATGGGATATTGATATTTTTATTTACATTTATATTTTGGACTTCCAAATGGATTTTGTTAAGATAATGAATAAATTCCAATTAACATCCAAATTTTAATAGGAAAAAAATTTTTATTAAGAAAAAATTTCTATCAGAACCGAATTTAAAACCAATTTCGATGGGATATGAGATTTTTTTATAATTTACATTTAATTTGGATTTCCAAATGGATTTTAATAAGATTACGAATAAATTCAGATTAACAATATAAAATTCAATATTAAAAAATAATTATTAAATATAATTGACTAATACTTTATAAACAGATTTACTTACATACGGAGGTGAAACAATTGATAAAGCATAATATCAGGAAAAAGTATATGAATTTCGTCGAACTTCTCATGGCTATTGTTGTACTTTTAAACGCAGTGGTATTACTTTTTTCTTTTCAATTAAAAACCTTTAGTTAACTAATTTTTGAAATGCAAAGTCACCAGTATTTTTATGTATTCAGACTATCAAAAAACAAGTTATTTATTTTATTTATCAAAAAATTTGTTTTGAATTTTATAATTTGTTTATTTTTTTTAAGTTATCTAATTGTTTCAGACTCGTTATTCTAGTTTTGAAACAAGTTTTTAATATTTTTCATAATAGATATTTTTCTTAAATATTAAAAATTATGCAATAATTATTGCTTTGTTAGCCTATATTTTTTCTTATTCAACAAATTAATTGATATAAATTGGAATAATTTGCTGCATTTCCTGTAGTTTCAAAAAATTATCTGCACAAACTTTCAATTATTTTTTTATATTATTAATTATTATTATTATTATTATTATTATTGTTATTATTATTATTATTATTATAACTATAATAATCTTCTTAATCTTTCTTTTTTTATTATATCATTAATTTAATAATATTGATTAATTTATTTTTCAAAAAGTTCAAAAAAATCTTTATTAAGTTAAAAAATTATTAATATATTGTATAATATAATTATAATTATATAATATGTGTATATTCATTATTTTATTTTATTTTTCATTTAAGTTACAAATTATAATCACTCATAAAAAGCAAAATCGAAATTCAGAAAATTAATGAAAACTTGGAATATTAAGTGAAGTAGTAATATTTAATACTTGGAGTATTAAGTGAATTAGTTGAAGTTAAGTTCAATTAAAGACGAATTAAAAAATAAACACTTCAAATAATTTCAGAAACAAATTCAATTAAACTTTTTTAAAACAATAAATAATTAATTCCACAGAATTGTTTAGTTATAAGTATGAAAAATACAAATTTTCAAAGAATTTGATTTGAAACAATTTAAAAATTTAATTATTTCTTAAAATTCATTGAATAATTAAAATTTCTTAAAATTGAATTCTCATAAAGAATTTTATCAAAACATTTTTAAATAATTGATTTCTTTTCACGATTTTTCATAAAAATTTTAAGAACAATTACATTTTTCGATGAATTCGATTAAAATTGTATTAAAAATAATTAAAACTCTGCGATGAGTTTTATTTATCAAAATAATTAAATTATTGCGAAGAAATTTATAAAAATTTTGTAAATAATATGAAATATTATATTATAATATCATTTTTCATATGACTTCATATGAAATTAAGGAAAATTTTTGAAAATAATTGACATCCCTGAGAAGAATTTAATTATTTAAAAAAATAATTGAATTATTACGAAAAATATTATTAAAGTTTTAAAAAAGAATTAAATTTCTGTGAAAAATTTTGTTATTTTTGAAAATATGTAAATTCTTCATAAGAATTTTATAAACATTGTTTTAAATAATTAATTTTTTCGAAATATAATAAATATTATGAAAATTTTGATTTTAAATAATTGAATTCTTGTGGAAAACTTTATTTGTGAAAATAATTGAATTTTTCAATTAATTAATTTAAAGTGGTATAAAAAATAATTTAAATTCTTCGATGAGTTTTATTATTTATGAAAATAATTAAATTCTTGCTTAGAATTTTATATCAAATTTTTTTTTTTTAAATTGAATTTCCATGAAAAATGTCATTATTAGTGAAAGTATTTATGAAATTATTGTGAAGAATTGTATTAAAATTTAAATTCAATTTAAATAATTGAATTCTATTGCGAAATTTAATGAAAATATTAGATATTGAAAATAATTGAGTTTCGAATATTTTTTGAAAATAATTGACATCTTGACGAGAATATTAAAAAATTCTTGAACATAATTGAATTTCTGCAAAAAATTTTATTACTTTATAGTTTTTATAGTTTTTCCAAAATTCAATTTACTGTTGGGAGGCTTAAAAATGAAATTTTGTGCAAAGTTAGCAAATCAGTCAAAATTTTTGGTCACAATTTTTTTTTTTTTATTTGTAACAGGAATTTGTCGTAATAACAAAGTAATTGAATCATTCATAAAGTAAAACTGAAGTAGCATTTCAAAAAACTTGAATTAATTCATTTTTTGAAGGCACAAGTACTTATAAAATGTAATGCAAAGTTAGCAAAGCAGTGATAAATTTTGTAAATTTCAATTTTTAACGAAATTCATTTTTCTTACTGAACGAAAAAATAGGTATAATTTTTATTTTATAAGTCATAATTTTTGCAGAAAATTTTGTTCTTTTTTAAATATTTGAATTATTTTTGGTGATTACAAATGTGTAGGTATACCCGTTTTTATTGTTAATAGGCATTATTATGAATTTTTTTTGTGAACGTGGTCAGTGAGCAGTGAGCAGCCCAGGCTGAAAATATTTGATTTACAATTTACAATTTACCATTTATTTCAAAACATTATTTATTCTTCTATAGTAAATTCAACAGCAATAAAAATCATTTTAAAAAAGACAAAAAGTATTTTACAATTTTTACAACTTACTGTGCTCTCAATTGTTATTAAATGTAAGATACATTTATTTGGGTATAAAACATATTTTTTATATCTAAAAGATATTCGTCCTACATTGCAATAAAACGTAGTAGTATATATATATAATATATATATATATATATATATATATAATATATACAAAAATTATTTTAAAGAATTCCAAGATTGCTTTAGTCCTTCGCTCTCCCAATGTTGACCCATCATTTTCGACAGATATCTGTAATCATTATTTTCAATGTTTTTATATCGTTTTCTCCTGTATACTATCGCACTTTAAAAATTATATATATAAAATTTTCTGCCTAGAAATAAAAAGTGAATTCAAAGTGAATTTTCTTTCTCAGTTTTTAATATAAACTCACCATTTATCACCATTTTAGCTTGAAGCATCATTTTTAGTTTTCTAATCACGCAGAGAAAATTTGTCGCGTAAGTCACAGTCAAACGAGGCATTTTAAGAGTCTCTGATAACGGGAACTATCGAGAAATACACAAGATAAATGTTCGTTTTAAAAATAACTTTTTTTTTCAGATAAAACTGCTTTTTTAAAACCATGAAAGAAATGAAATTTGTCGCCTTTGTGAATGACAAAATAAATAAACTGTTATTTCGCTATACGATAATTTTTTTGAAATATTCTAATGTACCTACGACCTATGATGTAAATTATGGAACAACTTTCGTTAAAACATGATTTTTTTTTAGAGAAAAATGATTTTCAACGTTAATTGGTGGCAGCGGTGGGATTTTTGTCCTTGTCCGTTAGATAACTTGCGAAGAATGAAAGCTTTCCAAGCAAATATTGCAAAAAAGCAAACTAAAAATTGAATTAAAGAAAGCATAAAGAAAAGTGTAAGTGTGATCAGAAGCATTTTGAAAATGCTAATTTAAAATTATGCGTTTCGCAAAGTGGATATTTTTGGATCTGTCCCCTTTCGTTTGCGATATAAAACGAAATTTTTAAATTTCTATTTGCTGTGTACAACTTGTACTACAATTTAAACTATACGGAACAAAGTATTTAATATAATTGGTGTTATTGAGTGATTAGTGATATTTCATGATTTAGTGATTAGTTACTACTAGTAGAAAAATTAATACTAGTATTAGTAACAGTGCAAACTGATTCAAAGCTTCTTTAGTGAAAACATTAATTACCAGTTCCTAACAGTGAATGTTAGTGATTAATGAATGTTTAACTAAAATTTTCAATTAAATTAAATGTGTTAAATTCTCCATAAACTCACTTTTCTCTTATCTCTTTCAGAACAAGCTTTTCCTCCTCCGAAATCCCATTTCGTACAACGTCCAAATTAGCCTTTAGTTCGTCTAAAGTCATCATTCCCACCAAATTACTGCTAACATCCTCACATTCCATTGAACCCCAGACTGACAATTTACCTAACTCCATATCATGATCCTAAAATTTCGATAATTTCTGTCTTAAGCAAAGTTTTTAAACTCACTGAAAGTGCATTTAAAATTGAGGGTATTGTGGATTTTAAAAAGTGTACAATTAAACCTTGCAACAGCCAGCTGCTTCTTTACATTGTTGTTTGGTATCATCTGATGCTGGATGCCATTCTGGTGGTCCTCTATTAGTCAAAAGTCTCATGCAAGTTAGAGCCGCGTTAATGATTCCAATATTATGCTCCTAGTTAAATTTTGAAAAATTCCTTTTTAGTTTAATATTTTTCTTGTGGAGGATAAAATGTTTAGTTTTTGATGCTTCGTTATTGGTATTTAAAAGTACTGCATAAAGCAAAACTCTACCATCTGCATCTCTAAAAATTTACCTTAAAGAATGGAATGTACTGCATCAAAGTATCATCAATGAGTGTAAATCTTGCATAACTCAACACCACAGATATATCAATGTTACTTCGTTCGATACACTCTTTGAGGACCGATACAGGATAACCAGTAACGCCGATAAATTTCGCCTTTCCTTTAGTGACTTGTCTCGATAATTCCGGCAGTGTTTGACTAACAATTATGTCCAATGATGGTGCAAACTCTATATCGTGCACCTATTCAACATTATTTTTCATTTTAAATACTCTGCAACTATTTTTAAGTCTTCAAAATTGTGTACATTTACAGATCAATTTGCTAAGACGCCCACCTGAATTATATCAACGTAATCGAGACCCAACAAATCCAAACTCTTTTGAAAACTCTGCCTTGTTTTTTCCGTCGTGAAGTCAAACATACGCTCATAATCTAATTCGTATCTTCCTACTTTTGTTGCGATATAGTAAGCTTGTCGTGGTATTCCTTTCAGGGCCTTTTTTAGATAGAAAAGAAAAACATGAAGAAAAAGAATAACAAAAAGAAGAGAAGATAAATATACTTTTGAAAAAATTTTTGAAAACTAGAAATTATGGATTGTGGATAATTATACCTTGCCTAATAAGGTTTCTGAACGTCCTTGTCCATACCATGGAGCAGTGTCTAAGTAATTAATTCCTTGTTTTATAGCGTGCCTTACAAGTTCAATAACTTCTTCTTCATTACACGTACTAAAAATATTGTTTACTGATTTTGAGTCTGATTTTTAATTTAAGGTGAGATTTTAAAAATTTAAAATGGGGGACACATTTTTTTTAAAAATCAGTCGAATGTGCTTGAAATTTGATACTCGGGGGTTTTTTAAGTCGCTGATTACGAATTGAAAAATTCAAAATGGCGGATCCAATAAGATGGCATAACTTTAAAAAAATTATTGGATTCTTATGAAATTTGATACCTTCCCTGACTTTTCCATGATCTTTCCCTGACTTTTTACTAATTTTATTTCTGCTTTCTTAGGACTAAAATATGGTAACTGACATATTCTCTTACATTCCCTGACTTCCCTGACCGTTAGATATCCTGTTAATAGTCTCCACCCTTTGGTAAAAAATCTAAAATAATCAAAAATTCAAAAAACCGAATTTCTTAAAATACAACATTTTTCCTTCTTTTTTATGGCATTTAGCTTCATTATTTTTGTGCTTTTGGAAAATACTTTACTTATTTAATAGTCTCGACTCTTTGGTAAAAAATCTAAAATTATCGAAAATTATCAAAAATTCAAAAATCCGAATTTCTTAAAATTCAACATTTTTTCCTCTCTCTTATGGGATTTAGCTTCATTATTTTTGTGCTCTTGGAAAATAGTTTACTTATTTAATAGTCTCGACTCTTTGGTAAAAAATCTAAAATTATCTAAAATTATCAAAAATTCAAAAATCCGAATTTCTTAAAATTCAACATTTTTTCCTCTCTCTTATGGGATTTAGCTTCATAATTTTTGTGCTCTTGGAAAATAGTTTACTTATTTAATAGTCTCGACTCTTTGGTAAAAAATCTAAAATTATCTAAAATTATCAAAAATTCAAAAATCCGAATTTCTTAAAATTCAACATTTTTCTTTTTCTTTTATGGGATTTAGCTTCATTATTTTTGTGCTTTTGGAAAATACTTTACTTATTTAGTAGTCTCGACTCTTTGTTAAAGAATCTAAAATTATCGAAAATTATCAAAAATTCAAAAATCCGAATTTCTTAAAATTCAACATTTTTTCCTCTTTTTTATGGGATTTAGCTTCATTATTTTTGTGCTCTTGGAAAATAGTTTACTTATTTAATAGTCTCGACTCTTTGGTAAAAAATCTAAAATTATCTAAAATTATCAAAAATTCAAAAATCCGAATTTCTTAAAATTCAACATTTTTCTTTTTCTTTTATGGGATTTAGCTTCATTATTTTTGTGCTTTTGGAAAATACTTTACTTATTTAGTAGTCTCGACTCTTTGTTAAAGAATCTAAAATTATCGAAAATTATCAAAAATTCAAAAATCCGAATTTCTTAAAATTCAACATTTTTTCCTCTTTTTTATGGGATTTAGCTTCATTATTTTTGTGCTCTTGGAAAATAGTTTACTTATTTAATAGTCTCGACTCTTTGGTAAAAAATCTAAAATTATCGAAAATTATCAAAAATTAAAAAATCCGAATTTCTTAAAATTCAACATTTTTTCCTCTCTCTTATGGGATTTAGTTTCATTATTTTTGGGCTCTTGAAAAATACTCTACTTATTTAATAATGTCGACTCTTTGTTAAAAAATCTAAAATTATCGAAAATTATCAAAAATTCAAAAATCCGAATTTCTTAATATTCAACATTTTTTCCTCTCTATTATGGCATTTAGCTTCATTATTTTTGTGCTCTTGGAAAATAGTTTACTTATTTAATAGTCTCGACTCTTTGGTAAAAAATCTAAAATTATCTAAAATTATCAAAAATTCAAAAATCCGAATTTCTTAAAATTCAACATTTTTCTTTTTCTTTTATGGGATTTAGCTTCATTATTTTTGTGCTTTTGGAAAATACTTTACTTATTTAGTAGTCTCGACTCTTTGTTAAAGAATCTAAAATTATCGAAAATTATCAAAAATTCAAAAATCAGAATTTCTTAAAATTCAACATTTTTTCCTCTTTTTTATGGGATTTAGCTTCATTATTTTTGTGCTCTTGGAAAATAGTTTACTTATTTAATAGTCTCGACTCTTTGGTAAAAAATCTAAAATTATCGAAAATTATCAAAAATTAAAAAATCCGAATTTCTTAAAATTCAACATTTTTTCCTCTCTCTTATGGGATTTAGTTTCATTATTTTTGGGCTCTTGAAAAATACTCTACTTATTTAATAATGTCGACTCTTTGTTAAAAAATCTAAAATTATCGAAAATTATCAAAAATTCAAAAATCCGAATTTCTTAATATTCAACATTTTTTCCTCTCTATTATGGCATTTAGCTTTATTATTTTTGGGCTCTTGAAAAATACTTTACTTATTTAATAGTCTCGACTTTTTTATTCACAAAAATTTTAATTTTTGTATAAGTTTTTAGAAATTTTCCTTACTTTCAATTAAATTCTCTGACATTTCCTGACTTTTCTCTGACCAAAAAAATTTCCTTACTTCCCTAACTTCCCGGACTGTTAGACACCCTGTTTAAAAATTCAATATGGCGGATCCAATAAGACGACTTAACTTAAAACAAATTATTAGATTCTTATGAAATTTGATAACTAAGAGTAAGTGGAGTTGCTTATTATGAATCTGAAGATAGTATTTTAAAATTCAAAATGGCGGGTCCAACATGGCGGACACATTTTTAAAAATCAGTCAAATAGGCTTGAAATTTGTTACTCGTGGGCTTTTTGAGCCGCTGATTTCCAATTTAAAGACAGATCATAAATTTAATTTATTCTAACATTTTACTGCATATTTGCAATTTATCCAAATTATTAAAAATTATTAAACATTGCATTCGAAATTTGAAAATTAATTTCAAGTATTAAAAAAAATATGATAATTAAAATCTAAAATTCCAAAAATCGGAAATATAATTTTGGTATTTGAAAATACCCATAAAGATTGCCGAAGGGTCCACCTCCAAGAGAAAGTTTACTTATTCTAAGACCAGTTTTCCCAAGTGTTCTATATTCCATAGCCTCAACAGCCTCGCGATCATGGAATCCCTCAACATACGTTGACGGTAGAGTTTTCCTATACAAATAAATATTATTTTTTTTTCGAACGAAAAATTCAATAATAAATTTAGACCAAAAGTGGTCAATATTTTTTTCCAACTTTCATAATTATATAAAAATAATAAAAAATATTTATTTTTTAATCTAAAATTCTTTAATTTGTTTAAATTAATTTTAAAATTAATTTCATTAAAATCTTTTAATTATATATTGATAATGAAAATGATATACTTGATGATAAATTACAAAAGAAAGATAAGACTTTGTTATAAACTTGTGAACAAGTACTACTTATTTTTTCATTTTTAAAAATTGTTTTTATCTTTCAAAGTGTGATATTTATCATATACATTTCTTTTTCTTATGATATTAATTAAAAGACAATAATAATTAATGAAGATAATAAATAAATTATAGATACATAATTAAATTCATAATAGAATAAATAATATTATATAAATAATGCAATATAAATAATTAAATAATTTTAATAATAAGTTATATTAATTAAAAATATAAATAATATATTATACTATGAATATTAATTAAGTAAATTAATTTAAAATAAATAGTTATTTAATAAATTAATTAATTTAATAATATATATACTAATTTAATAGTATATAATATAAATAATAAATAACTGAGATAAACAATTATACATTTTTATGTTAAATTATATATTTCATGCCACACGAAAAATAAAAATATTTCAAATTTTACTGAATTATTATTTCCTATAAGAACAATAATCTATACATTTTACATTCAGTTAATTAATACCAACAATACAATTAGAAATAATTAAAAAAAAACATTCTAAAACATGAATTATTTTTTAGAATATAATTTTTTATAGAAAATACAATACTAAAAAATTTAGATTTGTAAAATAAGGAAAATAATTTTTTTCAAATTTAGAATATTTTTCCTCTTGTTGCGATAAGTTTGAAACTACAATAATTAAAAAATGTATTTTTTGGTTACCTTATTTCATTTTAATTAAAAAAAATAGTTTAACTCTTACATTTTTTCCGCCACTGAATTAATTACAGAATCAGAACGATATTATTGTCCAACTGTTACAATTTAAAAGACTTTGTTTAATTTAGAGTTGATAATTGCGTCTTAGTAGCTATAAAAGCCTCTTTTGTGTATTGTCGAAGGAAGAGTTTCGGTGAAACTGATTCCACAACAACAATGAAAAAAAATGTCAAAAAAGAAAATTGCCATCTGATGCACTTTATCTACTTTTAAAGAGCCACTACGAGAAAATTGTTCATGATAACGAACCGTTAGCTGATAAGGTAGTAATTGAGCAGAAAAGAACGGCTCCTGTCGGTAAATAATATTCAAAAATACCAAATTTGAAATGAAATAATTTCCGGAAGAATAAACGAATTTTTCTTGTTAGAGAAAAGTGCAGTATTTCCGATTTTGTTAATTTTTATTAGTTCGTACTTCGTACCAAAAATTAATATCTTTTTAGAAAATAATCAACTTTCTAAGAAAGAAAAAAAGTAGGGAAAAATAGATTTTTGTCGAATTTTTCAATTGCCATCAATTGACGCGAACAGCACACAATGACAAAAAAATTAGGTTATGTCCGAAACGAGTTTATAATCTCGTAAATAAAATACAGGGGGAAATAAAATTATTTTGTAAAAAATTGTTCAAGTTGGTAAATAAATGAAGAAAATATATTTGATTATTTATTTTTACTCACCGGTATCCGGAAGTTGACTGATTACGTCCTCCTTGTCAAGAAAGAATTATAGCGCATCCATCAGAATCCTTGTCAATCCACAATCACATCTATACACAAACACATTGCACTTCATTAAATTTTTAATACTCCGGGTGAAATTAAAGAAAAAACACTAAAAACTTATTTCTTGTACATACGGCAAAAACAAAAAGAAAATAGCGGGAGAACAACAATCACTTTCAACTGTGCGCAAAGAACTGACGCGTCTGCGCCCTCTGCTCGTCTCGTTCCGACAAAGCACTGTTGCCAACTCTCGAAAACTAAATATGGCGCCAATTTTCAAATTATATTTTAATGCGGTTTTCAAAAATATAATAAAAAAATGGTAAAAACTAATGAATATTTAAATAAATATGTAAATTTTATCATTTGTATTATTTTTAGAGTAATAATTTATAATTATAATTCATAATAAAAAAAAACAGTTCATAATTGTTAATTAATAAATTATTAATGGATTATTAAACCAACCCCCTATTAATCCTTTTATCTTAAATTATATAACATAAATATTACATAGATATTAAATCAAAAATAAAATTAAATAAAAATAAATAAAAGTAAAATAAAAATTACATAAAATAAAATATTACATAACTAAATATTAACTTATTATCAATTAATAAACTATTACCTAATTATTGTTATAATAAATTAATAATAATTAGTCTATTAATTATTATTAGCGAATTCTTAATTAATTATTATTAATAATTGAGTTGAAAACCTTATGGCGAATTTCCAATGGAACCTTAAGGCTTAAGGCATTATTTCTTATGTTGGTTGCATTGATCGCGTCTCTGAAATCAAGTTCACTCTTGTGATTCCTACTTCACGTTATTTTGCTTTATTTATTATTTTCCAACTGTTTTTCTCGTTTTTCTTTAAAGTTCTTGAAAAATGAATAATCAAAAATCTCCCGTGAGTATAATATATATTTTTTAAGAAAGTACATAAATACGATTATATTTATAGAAATTATATTATTAATATGATATAAATTCCGTTCATTAATTTTGGAAAATTTCTGTCAAGCTAACATAACCTATAAAATATAACTGTCATACAATATACACAATGATTTTTTTAATTAATATATAATATAATAATAATATAATAATAAAAAATATAACTAAATAAATTATAGATGTTTTAATTACTTTTGTAAATATTTATAAAAAGTGTTAGTATTTATCGAATTTATTAACAAATTTTTATATTTATTTGCAACTGTATTATTCGAGAAATTTTGCATTATTTATTAGAAATTGTGAATATTTATTCAAAATCACTCATATTTATTCAAAATTGTTAATATTTATTCAACATTTTTAATATTTTTTCGAAAATGTTAATTATTATTCAAAATATTTGATATTTATTACAAATTTTTAATATTTATTCAAAATTATTTTGCTTTTTCTAAAATGTTAATTATTATTCAATATATATTTGATATTTATTAGAAATTTTTAATATTTATTCAAAAATATTAATACTTTTCCGAAAATATTAATAATTACTTCAAATATTAGATATTTCCAGAAAAAGATTTTCAATATTTATTCAAAATTATTAATATTTTTCTAAAAAAGTTAATAATTATTTAAAATATTCGATATTTAGAAATTTTTCATTAATTATTCAAAATTATTAATACTTATCTGAAATTGTTAATTATTATTCAAAATATTTAATATTTATTCGTAATTTTTAATATTTATTCAAAATTACTAATAATACAAAATTGTTAACATTTATTCAAAATTGAGAATATTTATTCAAAATTGAGAATATTTATTAAAAATTGTTAATAATTATTCAAAAATATTTAATATTTACTCAAAATTATTAATATTTTTTCGAAAATTTTAATAATTACTCAAAATATTTAATATTTATTAGAAATAGAAATTTTCCATATTTATTCAAAATTATTATTACTTTTCCGAAATTGTTAATAATTATTTAAAATATTTTATATTTTTAATTTTTCCAAATTTTCAACATTTATCCAAAAATTGTTAACATTTATTACAAATTTTTGATATTTATTACAAATATTCGTTTAAATTGTTTATTAACAGAAAAAATACTCTGCAATTTAATTATTTTGTAAAGAAAGTAATTTAGAAGTTTTTCTGAATAAATTTTTTTTTTTAAATTTAAGTTTAAGTTGAAATTTATAAGAAATTAATTTTGATAAAAAATAATAATAATCGTAATTACTATAATAATTCTTGTTCAAACTAATAAAATTCTTCGCAGAAATTCAATTATTTCTAAAAATTTTGGTAAATTTCTTTATAAGGAATTTACTTATTTTTAATAGAATTTTAATAAAATTCTTACCAAGATTTTAATTATTTTCATAATTTTATAATATTTCTCAAAAGAATTCAAATTATTTTAAAAAATGTTAATTACAACATTCTTCGCAGAAATTAAATTATTTCCAAAAATTTAGATAAAACTCTTTATAAAAATTTTAAATAGTTTTAATATTATTTTAATAAAATTTCTTCAAAGAATTAACTTTTTTTTAAAGATTTTAATTAAATATTTCGCAAAAAATTAAAATTGTTTTGGAAAATTTGGATCTATAGATTTCTTTATAATAATTCAATTTTACAATTCAGATTCTAAATTACGAAAGAAATATTTTTAATTGAAAAGAATTTTGATTTGATTTTAATTAATTTTTGTTATTTTTTAATCTTCAAAGTATTAAATTAAAAATATCAATTTTAAAATTCAAAATATTAAAAAGAAAAATTATCCAAAAGAAGCAGACGAAAGCAAATAATTTTTTACTGCGAACAAATTACCGGAATGCAACGATTATAATAATTGTAATAAATGTTGGTAATAATTTATTAATTCCAAAAAATATTATAATTTTAATAAATTATCATTGAATAGTTATTTATTTCACCAAAAGTAATAATTATTAATTCAGTTTAATTCTACGTCGTAGGTGAGGAGATACTCGCTGAGAAAACGATTAAAAACCGAAGGAGTTCAAAAAAATGATCCAGTGTCCTGCAAAGAGAAAAATTTACGAAAATTGAAAGCAATGTTGAAATTTTTCACCGACAAAAAACAGGATCTCATCGCTGAATTAAAATTAAACGATTGCATTCGTCTCATGATGTTGGAAACTCAAATAACCGAAATACTCGATTTTTCCCAATTTCAAGGAGCAGGGGATAAAAATGGAACGATTGGAGACAAATTATTACACGAGGCGATCGAAAAAAAAAATCTCTCGCTTCTCAAGAAGTTAATAAAAAATCAAGTTCTCCAAAAATCCATTTGTCATCACGAATTAACGCCACTGATGGAATTAATCGCCAAAGGACGTTCAGAATGGATTGACTTATTCTACAAAGCCGGCTATTCTTTTAAGGGAGAGAAAACAAAGAGTGGATTGCCAATTTTACATTTTGCTCTTCAACAAGAATTCATTTCCAAAGAGTTGATAAAAAAATTACTATCCTACGGAGTTGAATTATCATCAACCGATAGTAATGATCTCACGCCTCTGCATTTTTTGCTGTCAAATCAAGTGAATTTGCCGAATTACGGAAAAATGGAATTTGTCAAATTATTCCTGAAATTCGGCGCTAATCCAAATTCAAGTTCAAAATTAACTGGCGAGACACCACTTCACACGGCCGTTCGCAATAGAAATTGCTACGCAGTTATACATTTATTACTCTACAATGCGAATGTAAATGTAAAAAATGTCAACAATGATACGGCATTTCATTTAATTGCCGATCGACTCGAGAGAAAATTTTCAAAGCTAACCGTTCAGGAGGATAAAATTTCACTCGCATTCGTCAAGCATATTTATTGGATGAAATTAAATTCCAAAGAAATTGATAAACAAATCACGAGTCATCGTAATGGGAAAATTTTCAAACACAATAAACACACAAAAATTACTTCGAAAAATAATGATGAACAACATTTAAATGTTATTTCAATTTTAACAAAATCTGAAAATCAATTAATGAGGATATTCAATCAAAATTCTCTCAATATTTCCAGTGTGATTGAAAGAAGTCCCTATTGCTATTGGAAGCGTCATTTCAAATTTCGCATTAAAACGGCAAAATTGCGATTTATTCTCATGAATAAATGTGAAATGGAATTTATGAAATTTACCCATTTGCCATCGATTTTTGTTCAAATGGTGTTGAAAAAATTGTCGACCGTTGAATTAAGGAGTTTATTCGCTGCACTTTGTCCAAAAAGTTTTATGGAGAAAATCAAAATTGAATCGATTAAATTAACGGAGGATGAAGATGATTATGAAATGTCATCGACTGCTAATTATTCGACTGATGAAAATGATAATGGTCATGATAATGATGACGATGATGGCGAGGACGACGATGATGATGATGACGAGGATATGGATGATGACGACGATGACGAGGATGATGACGACGACGATAATGAAAACTACTTCGATGTTGATGACGATGATGACGAAGTTGATTATCGTATCAGAATGCTGATGATACTTTGACTTCTTTTTTGATTTCAATTTGTCAGGGAAACAAAATTCATCGCCAGAAAAGAAAAGAAAAAAATTCATCGTCGTAAGAAAAGAGCAAAGAAAATAATGAAAAATCGGGAAAAAGTGACGATAAAAATTCACATTCGATTCGATTTCGAATTTATTAACAATTTTTCATATAAAAAAATTGTGCGGAGAAAAAGAAATAATTCAAAACATTAATTAATTTAGTATTTAAATTCAAATTTAATTAGATAATTATTTAATTAATAATTAGAATCAAAAAATTAATTATTTAAACTAATTTAATTTAATTAATAACTATTAATAATAATTAATAACTGATTTATAATTATTTTCCTTATTATTTATTATTATTAATAAAAGTTAATTATTTTAATTAATTATATTGCAATAATTAAAATTTTCGAATTTAATTACTAGAATTAAAAAATAATCAAAATTAATAGATTAATTCAATTAATGAAGAGTTTGGTCATTTGTGACGAAGTTAATTAAAGTTATTCAATTAATTTCATCAAACATTAGTTAATTAAATTAATTAAAATTATTCAATTATAAGTTAATTTCAAGATTTTGTCATTTATTTTTTTTCACTTTACTAATGTTTAATTTTGTTGTTTTTTTCCTCTTCGTTAAAAAAAATTCCCTCTTAATTTTGATTAGAAAAAAAATATTTGTTTCTTTTTTTCTCTGGCAAACAAAATTCTCTCTTAATTTCGATTATAAAAATAATAATATAACGAAAAAAATGTAAATAAAAATCGAAAATATGTAATAAAGTTAAAAAAAAGTCGTCACCGAAAAATCGTCGATTATAATGAAAAGTGAAACTTGTGATTGTAAATCAACAAATTAAAATTACGATCTGGATCGTAAGAGAAATAGAAATTTAAATTTGACAATTTAAAATTTTTGATATTTTGAAAAATATTTTTTTTTAAGTTTAATATCACAAAGATTGTCTTAAATTTATAAAAATGTAAATCTGTACTGAATTTAAAAAAAAAATGTGGCCGATAAAAAATTTTTCGTCGCATAAATTTCTGTTTTTTTTTATTATTATTTTTTCTTTAGTTTTTAATTTTTTATTAAATTATTTACTTCATTTCTTTCTCTTGTATTTTTGTAAGTATAATTTTAAATAAATAAATACATTTATTTAAAAACTAGTAGAAGAGTGAAGGAAAAAAATTCTTTGAATTTCAAAAATTATTATTTTAAATAAACTAATTTCAAAAATTATTATTCAAAAATCAAAATTTCAGAAATTATTATTAATTATTTGAAAATTAAATTTCAAAAATTATTACTCAAAAAAACTTATTTAAAAAATTATTGTTTGATAATAATTTTTATGATTTGAAAATTGAATATCAAAAATTTGACTTTATTTCAAAAACTTCCATAAATTATTATTACAAAAAACTAAATTTTTAAAAAATTGTTAATTTAAAAATTAAAGTTAAAAAATTATTATTTATATGGTAATTATTATTTAAAAATTAAATTTCGCGGGCGGAAGTTGAGTGGCGGAATTAAAAAATAACAAGAGTTTCTCGTCTCTAATTTGAACTCAGTTGTGTTCAAGTTTTGTTTACATTCATAAATTCTGACATGTGCGATTGAAATACAAATTTTCTTCTCTCTTTTTTTGGATTTTAAAACCAAATAATCAACAATTTGGCAATTATATTTTCAAAAATTGAAAAACCAAAAATTTTTCCAAATATTAAAATATTTGTTTCTATTCAATTGGAGTAAGTAATTTTTAATATTTTTCCGAATAGAAATTGTGACATAACCTTAAAGAGAAAATTAACGTTATTTTCGCGCATATAAATTACAAATTATTGTATATTATATATAAAATTAATTTAATTAAGTTTCAGATTCGGAAAAAAATGTTATTTTAAACACAAAAATTTATTACTTTTATATTTTTTAATTATGAAAATAATTTATATTCTTCTACATTGCAGAAATCGTAGTTGGATCTCGATGTTTAAAATGTTTGAAACGAAACAAATATTATATTGTAATTTTCAATTGATGGAACAAATTTAATCAGCCAGAGTTTTTTTTGATTAATTAACAGGTTTTTATTAATTGAACAAGTAAACAATGATTAGGGATGAAAAGAATTTTTGCTACTCTACAGAACCAACATAAGTCGTCGATTTAAAAAGTCATTTGTAAGTTACATTTCAAATTTTATTTTCTCTATTTATTTACTTTCCCTCTTTATTTATTTTATCGATTTTATCTAACAATTTATATTTCAAACTTTTAATACTTTATTTATTAAAATTATTCGATAAAATTTGCCACGACAAAATAATAAATAATAATAATAATTTTAATTAAGAAAATTGTTAAAATAAATTCAAAATTATGTTTCAGTAAAAATTGATTTATTTTGTTAATAAACAATAATCTAATGAATTAAATAAACTAAATTTTTTGAAAAAAGTAAAATTTTCGAATACAATCTAATTTTATTTACTTTATCACTCTTTTGTTAATTAAATTAATTTCAACCAACGGAATTAAATTTATTCTAAATTGAACCAATTTAAATGAATTTTAAACTAAACGAATTAAACTTAATAATTTTATGAATAAATTAATAAATCGAACACCAATTTAAATTAATTTCAAACTAATGGAATTAAAACCACTTTAAATTAAAACAATTTAAATTAATTTCAAATTTAAATTTAGTAAATGAAATTTAAGCTAAATGAATTAAATTTAATAATTTTATAAATAAATTTAATAAATCGTAATAATTTTTAATTAATTTCAAGCTATAAACGAATTAAATTTACTTTAATTCGAACCAATTGAAATGCAGTAAAATAATTTAATAATTTTACAAATAAATTTATTAAATCGAACTAATTTTAATTAATTTCAAGCTATAATAGACAGAAAATTATTTTATTTTCCATCAAAATTAAATTTGCTTCAAAATTGTTTTCCATCAAAATTTAATTTTCATCAGAATTATTTTTTGAAAAATTTAATTTTCTTTAAAAATTTTACGCTCAAACAAAATTAAATTTTTACAGAAACTTATGTTCTAAACAATATAATTTGCTTCATAAATTTATTTCCATCAAAATTTAATTTGATTAAAGATTATTTTCTCTCATAATTTTAATTTGTTTAAAAATTATTTTCTAAACAATATATTTTTAAAAATTTAATTTGCTTCAAATTTATTTTCTAAACATTATAATTTCAAGAATTTAAATTGCTATAAAATTATTATCTAAACAATATAATTTTAAAAATTTAATTTGCTTCAAAATTATTATCTATCAAAATTTTAATTTGATTCAAAATTATTTTCCATCAAAATTTAGTTTGCTTCAAAATTATTTTCTAGGAAATTTAGTTTTTAAAATTGAATTTCCTTCAAAATTTGCTGTATCGAAATTTAATTTACTTCAAAAATTGTAATTTCCTTTAAAATTAATTTAGGTATAAAATTTTTAAAAATTAAAAAAAAATTTATTTTTGCTTTAAAAATTTACTTTTAAAAAAATATTAAATTTTTATAGAAAATTATTTTTTTAAAGATTTAATTTGCTTTATAAGTTTATTTTCTATCAAAATTTAATTTGTTTAAAAATTATTTTCCATCGAAAATTTTAATTTGCTTCTTAATTATTTTCCATCAAAATTCCATTTTGCTTCAAAATTATTTTCTAAAAAGTTTAATTTCAAAAATTTAATTTGTTTCAAAATTATTCTCTATCGGAACTTAATTTACTTCAAAAATGTAATTTCCTTATTTTCTGTAATCAAAATTTGATTTCAAAAATTTAATATGTTTCAAATTTATTCTCTATCGAACTTTAATTTACTTCAAAAATTTAATTTCCTTTGAAATTATTTTCTAATAATTTAATATGTTTTAAAATTATTCTCTATCAAAATTTAATTTGCAACAAAATTATTTTTAAAACAATTTAATTTTCTTTCTTCTTTACTTTCAAATAAAATAAAATTTTTATAGAAAATTATTTTCTATCAAAATTTAAATTCGAAATTATTTACTGTTTAATTGAATATATGTATTTAAATAAATTAAATTAAATTTATTATCTAATTTAGTTGAATTTATAGCTTCAAAAATTTACTTTCAATGAGAATTTTTTTTATAGTTTGCTTCAAAAATTAATTTTCTTTCAAAATTTATTTTGTTCAAATTTTTCCCTTTTGTGAAAAAAATAAAAAATACATTTAAATTTAAATTAAAGAATAATTTTCGTCTAATTTTTGATTTTTTCCCTTCTTATAAAAAGGAAGTAAAATTTTCTCCAAGAAGAAAATAGCGAACAAAATAGAAAATTTAATTTTTCGAGTATTATTTTATTATCAAAAAGGGGAGCAAAAAAAAAAATGAAAGAAAAGAAAAGAAAAATTAATTCCATGATAATTTGACTTCTCATTTGACTTTTCAGGTGACAGTGAACTCTTCGAGATGTATTTCTTTTGATACACAAATTTTTTATTTGCGTCAGTTTATTTCGCGTTTCCATTTCCAGCTATCGATCTGGAAAGTTTCCGCTTCGAAACCAATGGAACGCTTGCGCATCAGGTTCAACAGCGTTTATATTTACCCGATTATCATCAGAAGGAAAAAATTCTAACAACCCCGAGGAACACTCGCCGCAAGTGTACTTTCTATCACTCTCTTTCTCTCTCTTTCTCTCACCCTCAAAAAATAAAATATACATTTATAGAAAATTAAAGAAATTCCCATTTATAATTCACAATAAGAAGAAGAAGAAGAAAAGGGAAAAAAAGGAAAAGTGAAAATAGAAGACGAACAAAAAAAAAACAAGAAATTCTTCCGCAACGAGTTAAATACTTGTTTGTGTGTGTGAGAGTGAGAGTGTATTTTCTCTGTTATAATTTTCACTTCAAATAAAGAAAGGAGAAAGGAAAAAGAAGAAGAAAGAAAAAATATTCCTGTGGCTTATTTGCCTATAGGAAATAGTTAATTATATATATATATATATAGAGGAGAAATAAATTTTACTGTCGAAGGCCATTGCGAGCTAGAGCCAATAAAACGACGAAAGAGGGTTGACAATCATCTGGGAAGGGGCGAAGGACATCGAGGAAACAGAGAGGTGACGATATTTTTTTGTCAAATTTTCAAATTCTTTTTCCCTCTTTTCAATTCCATTATTTAATCTTCCTGTGATTTGATCGCAATTATCTTATTCTTCTTCTCACACACAATTTATTGTCGTCTCCATTTATCCAGAAGAAAATGGATCATTCCTTTGTTTGTATTCTGTCAAATATTATTTTTCCTCTTCCCTCTTTCGATTGTGAATTTATGCAAAAGATAATTTAATTTTAAAAAATCATTCGAAAACGTAAAAATTGATTTTTTCGCCTTTTGAAAGAATAGAGAGAAATTTTCTTCTCCAACAAATTTTTAAGAAATTAATTGTAAATTTCATAACAAATTGAAATTAATTTTAAATTTCCCAACAATTTGAAATCAAATACTATAAATTTCATAACTATTAAATTAATTTTAAAAAGAATAGAATGAATTTTTTTTCTTCAAAAAATTTTTCAGAAATTAATTATAAATTTCATAACAAATTGAAATTAATTCCTAAAAATGAATTTATGTGAAAGAAAATAAAGTAGAAATTTCTTTTAGCAGAATTTTTATTGTTTAAAAGAGTTTCACTTTAATTTAGGTATACAAATTGTTTAAAATGAATTTATATTCATTTAGAATTAAAATTATTTCAATTATTTTATCAAAATATTGAATTATTTGAATAAAATTTTCAATTACTTTTTAAAAAAATATTTAATTTTGAAGAGAATTTTTCATTCAGTAGAATTTTCAATTATATTACCAAAGAATTGGAATTTATCAAATTATTCGAATAAAATTGTTATTTTACTAAATTATTGAATTATTTTGCGAAAAATTTTCCAATTATTTTACCAAAATATTCAATAAATTTACGAAAAAGTTCAATTATTTAAAAAAAATTGACACATTGAAAAGAATCTTTCTTTAATATAATTTTCATTAAACCAAATTTTCAATTACAATTACGAAAAATTTCCAAATATTTTACCAAAATATCCAATTATTTAAAAATAAATTTTTACTTTTTTCGAAAAATTCCCACATTGAAGGGAATTTTTCATTCAATAGAATTTTTAATTCTTTTACTAAATTATTCAATTACAAGCACAAATTTTAATTTAATTTGAAATTGCGAAAAAAAATTAAAATGGAATTTCTATTTAGCAGAATTTTTGTATATTTTTAATAAATAAATTTCAATTTAATTATAATTTTCAAAAATAATTAAAACTTAATTTCCGTTTACAACCATTTTCCTCCTTTTTTCTTACTCAAAACTTTCAATTCAATTTTGAATTGAAAAAGAAAATTTTGTAGAATGTTTTTTCTTTTCTTTAAGCAAAAAAATTTCAATTTAATTTAAGTCGGAGAAAAAATTAAAATTGAATTCCCATTCAGTATAATTTTTTAACTGTGTTTTTAATTAATTTAATTAGGAATTAATTTTGAATTTAATTTAAATTTGAGAATTTTTATACTTTTTTTTCTCAAAACTTTTAAATTGGATTGCCAATAAGCAGAATTTTTAAACATTGTTTTAAAACAAAAATTACAAGTTAATTTGAATTGGAGAAAAAAGAATTGAAAGTAAATTTTATTTGAAAGGTTTATTTCTTTATTTCAATTTAAACGGGAGGGAAACAAAGAATGTTCAGTTGTACGAAGTACTGATTAAGTACTGATTATTATTTTCAAAAATTTTAATAAAATTCTTTGCAAAATTTAAATTATTCTCAAAAATTTTCAATATCTACTATTTTAATAAAATTTTCCAAAAGAATTCAATTATTTATAAAAATTTTTGATAAAATTCTACCCAAACATTTAATTATTTTCACAAATAATAAAAAATTTCACAGGAATTCAATTATTTCCAAATTTTTTTATAAATTTCTTCGCAATTCTTTAAACTTATTAGAATAATTAATTATTCTTAAAAATTGTATTAAAATTTGTCGAAAGAATTCAATTATTTAAAAATTTATTAACAAAATTCTTTATGAGAATTGAATTTTATGAAATATTCAATTATTCAATAAATTATTTATTTCTGTATTTAAATAATTGAATTTTTGAAGCATTTTCTAATAAAAATTGATTTAAAAAGGAATTTCTATTTAAAATTTTAGATAATAATTGAATATCAAAAGCATTATAACGTTAATTTTTAGAAATAATTGAATTTTGAAATTAAAATCTTTGAAAATCTAAATTTTTCATACTTTTAACTAACAATTCTGTATAATCAAATTTTTGGAAAAGTTTAATTCAGTTTTTTTTTAAATTATTTGAAGCTTTTATTTTCTAATATATATATTTAATTGAAGAATTTCCGAATAATCGAAATCTCGTAAAATTGAATTGTAAACAAATGGATTTGAAATAATTTTCAAAGAACTTTTTGAAATATTATTAAAAATAATTGATTTAAAGAAATATTTTAGTTAAAAATTCTAGAAAACAATAATTGAATTGAAAATATGAAAATAATGTTGAAGAAGTTATTTCAAAAAGGTTTGAATTTATTCTGAGCGTGAGAAGGAATTGAAATTGAATTTCCTTATATTAGTATTTTTATACTTTATTCTAACTCAAAAGTTTCAATATAATTTTGAGTTTTAGAAGAAAAGTTGAATTTGATTTCCAGTTTTAAACTTCTTTTTTATCAAAAATTTCAATTTAATTTGAGTTTAAGAAAAAAGAATTGAAAATTAATTTCTATTTAGGTAATAGAATCTTTTTTTCTTTTTTAATGCAAAAAATTGTTGAAATAGAAAAAAAATTTAAAGTTTTGAGTAAAAAAAATAAGTTTTAGAAAAAGAATTGAAATTTAGTTGTTGAATTTCTATTTTCTATTAAAAGAATTTTTCTCGAAAAAAAATCAATTGTAAAGTTAATTTATATTAATTTTAAATATTTAATTTATACGCGACTGTAAAATTTTTACAGTTACAATTTTTAGATTGTAAATTCCTAATACTAAATAAAAATTCTATCTAATTTATTTTTCAAAGAGAAATTCGCCGAAGAAAATAATCAAAATATCTATGAAAAAATAATGAAACTGTTTTTTTAAAAAAAAAAGACGACAAAATTGTCAGTGAAAAGAAAAAATCATTTTTTTTAGGGAAGAAAAATATCAACTACCCAAATAATCGTAATTTTTGTTGTCTCCTTTTTTACAGGGCAGTTCTAAAGTGAAAAAAGCCAAAGTACCAAAGAAAGAATCTCCAATGTATCCCGGTTCTTGTGCCGGAATTCGATCAACAGTGATATGTCGTTGCCTCGTGAATGGAGTTTTCAAAACTCGTGTCGATCGGTTAATGATAATCGAGGACCGGCCGCGACCGCGTCTCAGGAGATTGTCGGTCCGACCGCCATGGACGAGAATATGAACCAACATAATCAACTCGGCTCATTATTCTCAATTCATTCGGCACCAGTTTATGAATTAAATTCATCGGCGGGCATTGGCGGTACATCATCATTATTATTATCACCGACAACAACAAAAAGGCCGGCATCATTAGTTGTTCAAGTGCAGGCAAATTCAACGTCAATTGTACCGCCACCGACGCGCTTAAGTCCACCGGAAACAATCGACGATGATGACAATGACAATCTTTTAACAATATCAAGTCTCACTGCACGTCCATTAATTGCCAAATCGCGTGAATTGCGCTCAACAAAACAATGTTCCATTAATCAGAAGAAATGGCGAAAGATGAAGAAGAAGAAGAAAAAGAAGAAAGACGACGAATGTTCGGTGGGGAAAATTAAAAATCCTAATTTTGTACCATTGGACGGTGGTTATGGATGGGTGGTGGTTTTTGGAGCATTTTTCGTTCAATTTTGGGTCGCTGGATTGGTCAAGTCCTATGGTGTTCTCTATCTCGAGGTGATGGAAACATTTAAGGATTCATCGGCGACCTACGCCTCATGGATACCGGCAATTTTGTCCTGTCTTTGTCTCGCATTAGGTAATTTGCATTTTTTTCTCCACTATTTTTTCTCTTTCTCTCGTGATATTCAATTTATTATTTTTATGGAAATTACAAAATTTTTTATTTTCAAAAATAAATTTTTGAATAATTTCATAATCAGAATTTAAAAAATTCATTTATTAAGTAGGTACATAATTAATTATTAATGTTTATATCTTAAAAAAATTTTATTTCTTCACAAGAATTCAATTATTTTTATAAATAGTAAAATTCATCGCAAGAATTCAATTATTTTCAATACAATTTTAATAAAATTTCATATAAAAGAATTCCATTATTTTTTTAAATAGTTAACTCTTTGTAAACATTCAATTATTTTCAATTATTTTAATTTTTCCTTTTGGTTATTTAAAATCTTTTTTTCTGCAAAATTCCTTAACTTTCAAAACGTTTAATAAATTTCTCGAAAAATATTCAAATATCTTCTTTAAAACTTTAGAAATTTTAATTATAATTCCAAAATTCAATTAGGTATTTGAAAAATAATTAAAGTATTATTCTAAAATTGAGATAATCTCAAAAATTCAATTATTTCTAAAAATGTAAAATTTATTTTAGAAATAAAAAGTTATTTTCAAAATTTTTAAGAAATTTCTTGTAAAATATTAAATTATATTCTAGAAAAATTAGAAAATGACTCAATTTGTTTATGAAAATTTAATTATGTCAATTTAAAAATTAAGTTACTTTTTATAGAATTCAAAAACTAAATTTTCAGAATTTTGAAAAAGTTTTGATTAATTATTTCTTCGCAAGATTTCAATTATTTTCATAAATAATAAATAATAATAATTCAATTATTTTTATAAATAGTAAAATTTATCGCAGGAATTGAATTATTTTCAATACAAATTTAATAAAATTTCATGAAAGAATTCAATTATTTTCTAAAAGTTGTATAAATCCATTGAAACAATTTAATTTTTTTTTCAATAGTAAAGACTTTGTAAAAATTTAATTATTTTTAATTATTTAAATTTTTTCCTTCTGGTTATTTAAAATCTTTTTTTTCGGTAAAATTTCTTAATTTTCAAAACGTTTAATAAATTTCTCAAAAAATATTAAAATACCTTCTTTAAAATTTTCGAAATTTCAATTATAATTCAAAAATTCAATTATTTAAAAAATAATTAAAGTATAATTATAAAATTGAGTCAATTTCAAAAATTCAATTATTTATAAAATTGTAAAATTTATTTTAGAAAATTAAAAAATTATTTTCAAATTTTTGAAGAAATTTCATGTAAAATATTAAATTATATTCTATAAAAATTATAAAATGATACAATTTGTTTATAAAAATTAAATTATTAAGATGTCAATTTTTTAATAAAATTCTTGAAAAATTTAATTACTTTTTATAGAATTAAAAAACTAATTTTTCATAATTTTCATAATTTTTCATAATCCATCTTAGGTAGAAATTTCGTTGGATTTATCTTTTGATAGTATCAAAAGATTAATCGAATGAAATTTCAATTTATTATCTAATGTTCCTATATCGAATTTTCGAATTTGATTTAAATTTCAATCAAAATTAAATCTGTTATCTAAATTTCCACCTACTTCCAATTTGTATTTAACAAATTATAATTTAAAAACTATATTATAAGTCTTATAAATCTTGATTGTGAAAAATAATTTTTTGTTCTCGATTTATAAAAAAATAAAAATTATCTAAAAAGTCGATAAATATTATGTATTACCAAAAATTAATTTAGAAACAAATTTGTTATTTATTTGGAAAATCAAATGAATTTAATAATACCTACTCTCATAAGAAATAAAATAAATGAATTATCATTATCATCGTGCAATGATATATTTATTTCATTTATTTCATCATCTAGAATTTAATTGCATCGATTTTATGATTGCATGTTTAAGTTCCAACATACTATGTTACAATTTTTTGAAGAGACTATTAATTAGTGTTTAAAAAGATTATCAAGGTTTCAAAGAAAAAAAAAGAAGAAAAACCCTTTTTTTCTACTCGACCTTGAATTGAAATTGAATATTTTCCAAAGACTTTTCAAAGAATCATTAAAAAATATATCCATCGTTTAAATTGCAATGATTTTTTTTTCTCAAACAAAATGACAACTTTTTTTCCTCTTTAAACTATCGAGAAAAATAATCAGACTTGTTGTCCTTAATATTTCTTTCGCTATTGTTTTCTTTTATAAGAAAAAGATTTTTCTTTTATAATAAAAAAAATTCTTTTATTAAAAAAATTACTTTTTTCATTATTTCTAGAAATTATTTTTACTTTTTCAATTTTTTCTAGAAATAAAAATCGAAACCGAAAAATGAAAATCAAACCATTTATTACTCACTTTTTTCTCGGTAGATGATTATTGTCTTTCTTTAATTAGGAATCTGAAAAAAAAGAAAATTTCTTTTTTATAAATTTATTCTAAATAAAATAAAAAATATTTAAAAAATAAAATAAATTTTTTACTTTCAATAGAAAAGAAAAATTATTTTTCTATTTAAGAATTAATAATTCTTCTTCTTTAAAATTGAAGGAAAAAATAATTTTTTTAAAGGTAGAATTTCGCCCATATAATTAATTAATTAAATTGAATTTAATTAAATTAACTAAAATTAAATTAATTAAATCTAAATTAATTATTTTCGTTAATTATTTTCTAGCACCAGTGACAAGCATGTTGTGCCAAAAATACAGTTGCCGTGCTGTGGTTTTTGTCGGTGGGCTTTTCTGCGCTCTTGGACTCACCATCAGCTACTTTGCCACTCGATTAATTCATCTATTTTTCACATTTGGTGTTCTTACAGGTAAGAAAAGCAGAAGAAAGAGAAAAAATTCTTTAAAAAAAATTTCTATTATTTTTATGAGAATAATAGAATATTCCTGTAATGAATTTTATCAAAATTTCTGAAAATATTCAAAATCTTATTTCAAGTAATTATATTGAAATTGAATTAAATGAAAATTCAATTACTTTTAGAAATTTCATTAAATTATTAATTTAAAATAATTAAATTTCTACGAAGAATTTTATAATCTACAAAAATAATTGAACTCTTGTAAAGAATTTTGTCAAAATTTTTTAAAATAGTTGAACTTCTGCGAAGAATTTTATTATAATTTTCAAGAATAATTTCATTCTTTTGAGAAATAGAATTAAAAATATACAGCAAAATATTTTAAATTTTATAAAGAATTTTATTCAAAGTATTGATTATAATTGAATTCAATTGTACTCTCTCAAAATATTTGAATTCTTATAAAGAATTTTATAAAAATTTGTGTAGAAAATAATTGAAATATTATAGTAAAATTTATGAAAATTAAAAACAATTAAATTTCTATGAATAGGAAAAATGTATTAAAATATTTAAAAGAATTAAGATTTTCGTCGACTCTAATTAAAATTGTATTATTAATATTAATTAAATTCATTAGAGAAATTTGATTAAAATCTTTGAAAATAATTTAATTCTTTCAAGGAATTTTATTTAAAATTTTTTAAATAATTCAATTATGTCAAAAAAAAAAAATTCTTTTTATATTGAATTGAAAATAATTCAATTCTTGTCAAAAATTTTATTCATATTTTTGAAAATAGTTAATTAAATTCTATCGAGATTTTCTTTTAAATTCGAATCAAAAATAGTTGAATTTTTAATGAAATTCTACAAAAGAATTTAATTATTTTCAAAAATTTTAATTTTAATTTCTAATACAATATTAACAAAAAAATCACGAAAGAATTCAATAATTTTCAAAAATTTGAATGAATTTCTTTAAAAGAAAATTTGAATAAACTTCATCACTTTAAAGAGTTCAATTATTTTTTTTCAAATATTGACAAAAATCTTTAAAAGAATTTAATTTGCAATTTTAAGAAATTAATTATTTTCAAAAATTATAAATTGTTAAAATTTAAATTTTTTAAATTTTAAATTCTTATAAAAATTCTTTGTAAGAATTTTATTAAAATTTTAAAAAATGCTTGTGTTTAATCGAGAAATTTTGTCAAAATTGTATAAGAAATAATTGAATTCCTACAATGAAGTTCATAGAAATTGAAAATAATTGAATTACTGAGAAGAATTGTATTATTTATAAAAATAATTGAATTTTTTTGAAAAATTTTATTAATATTTTCTAAAATAATTGAATTCTTTAGATAAATTTTGATAAAATTTTATTAAAAATAATTAAATTTTAGTGAAGAATTTTGTTATTATTTCATGACAATAATTGAATTTTTTCCTAGGTTTTTATTAAAATTTCTAAAAATAATTGAATTCTTTAATTACAAAATTTATAAAAATTTATATTTGAAGTTTAAAAATAATTTTTTAAACCAAAAATTTAAATTTTAAGTTTTTGGTGTTTAATATCATTAAATTTTTTTAGAGAATTAGAAAAAAAATTTTTTGATAATAATTTGATTTGAAGAATTATTTTGCTACTTTTCTAATGTACGTATTAACTTTTTTCTGCAAATGAAAGAATTGAAAAAAAATTTGCTATTTAAAAGTTTAAATTCAAAAATTCAATTTTTTGAAATAAAAATAATTTTTCACGAACCAATTTCTTTTTTTTCTTTTTTTACCAGGAATTGGCGGTGGTTTATCAACAACTCCAGGAATTATTTTAGTATCGCAATATTTCGACAAGCATCGCGCCCTTGCCAATGGAATTTGTGTCTCAGGCACTGCAGCCGGTAGTTTTGTTCTCCCACTTATGATTAAAACATTAATAACAAATTTTGGCTTTCATGGGACAATATTATTACTAGGCGGTTGTATGCTACACGTTTGCGTTAGTGCAACTTTATATCGGCCATTGGAAAATAATTACGTTGAACAACCGTCAATTGTTATTGTTAATAATAATGAAGAAGAACAACAACAACAGCAGCAGCAACAGCATCAGCAACACGAAGAAATAAATGAAAATAAAATTGACGATATTATTGATATTCTACCAAGAACAAAGCAGCAACAAAAATTTGATCTTTTATTTGCAAAAAATGATACGACGACAAAAAATAATCTTTTAAATGAACTTTTCCATCATAATAATACTGTCACATTGGATTTAACTGACAGTGAAGAGGAGAAGGATATAATGGGCGAGGGATTACGTTTAAAGCCATTGCCAAAAATTCGTAGTTCAAGTATTTTACATAGCGTTGAGGATCTTTCGACTGATTCGACTTGTGTTTATAAGGCGAGATCTTCTCTAAGGTAATTTTCTTTTTCAATTAATTCAATTTCTAATTTTTTTAATTCATTGAATAATAATCTTTTTTTTTTGTTTATTTTTAAATTTTACCCCATTCTCCTTCATTTATTGATCAAATACTAAATTTAGTTTATTCAGAGTTGCCACAAAAATTTAATTTTGTTTTTCTCTCATTTCCAAAGAAAATTTCGCCTATTTCCCTGACTCTAAAGAATATTCTGATTCACTATGAAAATTATTAGATACTCAAAAAAAAAAATGTTCTATTACATTTATTTACGAATTTCCTTAATTGTAAAATTATTCAAAAACACTAATAACTTCATTTTCAAATAAATAGTTAAACAAAAATTCTTCTTTAAATCAATTATTTTTAATAATTATTAAAAAAGTTCTTCTTTGAGAATTTTTAAATGCATTTGTTTACAATTTAATTTTACGTGAAATTTAAATTAATAAAAAATTCTTCAATTCAATATACAATAGAAAATAAAAACTTGAAATAATTACAAAAATTTCGATTAAGCTTATTAAAAAAAAATTAGTTCCATAAAATTTTTAATTAAAAGTATGAAAAATTCAAATTTTCCAAAGATTTTAATTTGAAACCTTTACAAAATTCAATTATTTCTAAAAGTTGGAATTATTAGTTACTACTCCAAAATTCAATTATTATATATAACAATAACTGAAATTCACTTTTAAATCAATTTTTATTAGAAAATTCTACGAGAATTTATTTATTTAATTACAAAAATAGATAATTTATTGAATAATTAAATGTTTCTTTAAATTGAATTCTTTTACATAATTTTATCAACAAATTTTTAAATAATTGAATTCGTTTGACGAATTCTAACAAAATTCTTTAAGAATAATTACACTTTTAGAGGAATTTGATTAAAATTATTGTATTAAAAATAATTGAAATTCTGCAATGAGTTTTATTATTTATGAAAATAATTGAATTACTGCGAAGAAATGTATAAAAAATTTGTAAATAATTTGTAAAATTTGTAAAATAATTTAATTTTTGTAAAATTTTTATTATTTATCAAAATAATTAAATGTTTTCGTAGAATTTTATTAAAATTTTCTTTAAATAATTGAATTCTTTTGTAAAATTTTATTAAAATAGTAGATAATTGAAAATCATTGAATTAAGGGAAATTTTTCAAAATAATTGAAATTTTGCTAAGAATTTTATTCAAATTTTTCACCAAAAAAATTAAATTTCTTCAAGGAATTAAATTAAAGTTGTACTAATCAAATTTTTTCCAGTATTAAAATTTTTTAAAATAATTGAATTCAGTCAAAAGAATTTTTTTTTAAATTCAATTGAAAATAATTGAATTTTGCAGAAAATTTTGTATTTTTTGCAAATAATTCAATTGTAGAGATAAATTTTATTCAAATTGAAAACAATTAAATTCATCCGGAGAATTTTATTAATTATGAAAATAATTGGATTCTTGCGATGAATTTTATTCAGATTTTTGAAAAATATTCAAATAAATATCTGTGATTTTTTGTTAATATTGTATTAAAAGTAATTAAATTTCTTTCGAGCTGTTTTATTTTAAATTTTTTTTGAAAATAATTGAATTTCGGAGAAGATTTTTATTACTTTTGAAAAAAACTTCTTTTACGAGAATTCAATTATTTAAATACAAAAATAAATAATTTACTGAATAATTGAAAGTTTCTTATTTCAAATTCCCATAAACAATTTTATCAACAAATTTTTAAATAATTGAATTCTTTCAAAGAATTACAATAAAATTTTTAACGATAATTGCAATTTTTTTTTGAAATTCGATTTTAATTGTATTAAAAATAATTGAAATTCTGCAAAGAATTTTATTGATTTTGAAAATAATTGAATTCTTGAAATGAATAATATTATTTATGAGAATAATTGAATTTTTCAATGAATTTTATTAAAATTCCTGAAAGTAATTAAATTTTGTCGAAGAATTTTGCTGTTCATTTATAAAGATAATTGAAATGTTGACGACAATTTTTTTTTAGATTTTTTCAAAATAATTGAATTTCTGTGAAGAATTTTATTGATTTTATACTTGAAATGTTGACGACAATTTTTTTTTAGATTTTTTCAAAATAATTGAATTTCTGCGAAGAATTTTATTAATTATTAAAATAATTGAATTCTTGAGGAATATTGTTATATTTATGAAAATAATTGAATTTTACAATGAATTTTATTAAAATTTCTAAATATAATTGAATTTCGGCATCAATAAATGAGTTTAAACACAATTTTTTGTTTGTAGATCATTGAGATCGTCAGTGACTGCTGTTTGTCCGCAAGCGGTGCAAATTGAAAATTTAATGGAAGAAAAAGAAGTGAAAAAATCATTGGCACAAAGAATAGCGCAATATCTTGATTTGAGTTTCTTAAAGAATTTTGAATTTATAATGATGTGTCTGTCGGTAATGTTAATGTCGACCGGAAGTCCTTATATGCTCTACTATCTTCCGGCGTATGTTCACGCGAAAGGTTACACGAAATCGGAAGCTGGTTATCTCGTTGCAATTTCCGCTACACTCGATCTTTGCGGAAGACTGGGACTTGGATGGCTCTCGGATTTGCAACTCTTTGATAGACGAAAGGGTTACATTGGAAGGTAGTAAATATTATTTTATTTGAAAATTATTTAATTCTTCTCAAGAATATATTAAAAATTAATTAATATTAAATTAATTTAAAAATATTTAAAAATTAATTAATTGAATTAATATTTCAAAATATTTCAAAATAATTGAATTTTTCAGATAAATTTTATTTAAAATTGTACGACGAAAAATAATTAAATTCTTGTGAAGAATTTTATTATTTATTATTATACAATAATAATTTAATTTTTACCAAGATTTTTATTAAAATTTTCGAAAATATTGAAAATCTTTTGTAGATTTTTATTAAAAGTTTTGAAAATAATTGAATTATTTCGAAGAATTGTAAATTTTTGCAAAAATAATAAATAAATAAATTATTGATTGAGAAAAAAAATTAAATTTTCAACTAGGAATTAAAAATAATTTATCTTTAAATAAAATTCTATAAATAATGTGAAAATTGAATGAATTTCTAATTAATCTGTTTTTCTTTTTCCACAGTATTGTAGGCGCTGGAGTGGCAGTTTTAGCGATTCCAATGGCCCATTCGTTTTACGTTTTAGCGTGTTCCGTTGGGATGTATGGACTTTGTTTGGGTTGTTGGTTTCTATTGGTTCCGGTTCTTCTCGCTGATCAATATGGCACTGATAAAATATCATCCACCTATGGACTCGTTAGAATGTTTCAGAGTGTCGCTGCAATTTCCATGCCACCACTCGCAGGTATTTTTAAATTTAATTTTAAAAAAATTCTCGTCAAAATTTCAATTATTTTTATACATAATAAAATTCTCCGAAATTCAATTATTTTCAAAAATTCTAATAAAATTCTCGACAAAATTTCAATTATTTTCAAAAAATTTACACAATTCAATTATTTTCAATGCAATTTCAATAAAACTTCTCGAAAGAATTCAATTATTTTCAAAAATTTTAATTAAATTTCTGAAAGGAATTTAATTACTTTTAATACAATATTAACAAAAAATCACAAAAGAATTGAATAATTTTCCAAAATTTAAATAATAATCATTGAAAAGAATTCAATTATTTTCATAATTAATAAAATTTTCCAAAGGAATTCAATTATTTTCAATGCAATTTTAATAAAATTTCTCGAAAGAATTCAATTATTTTCAAAGGCCACAAAAATTCCTCTGCAGAATTGAATTATTTTCAAGTAAATTTTTAAAAAATTTCTATTGACATAATTAAATTATTTTTTAAAAATTTACAAATTTTTTTTTATTAATTTCTTCGCAATATTTCCATTATTTTCATTAATAATAAAACGCTCATTGCAGAATTATTTTCAATTATTTCAATCAATTTTAATCAAATTTCTCGAAAAATGTAATTATTCTTAAAAATTCTATTATAATTCGTCGAAAGAATTCAATTATTTAAAAATTTGTTGATAAAATTCAATTTTGAGAAACATTCAATTATCCAATCAATTATTTATTTTTGTATTTAAATAATTGAATTCTCGTAGAACTTTTTAATAAGATAGATAGATAGATATTTATTTCCTTAATGCTACATGTTTACATGTTTTACATCCAAAAGAAAAAGCCACATAGTACATTTTCACACAATAAATTTGTTATACACTTTTAACACTTTTAATATAATAGTCTTTTAAAATCTTCTCCACTTCGTAGAATCTTTTAAATACAGTTCTGTTCTGTGATAGTCGAAATTCTTGTAAAATTCTATTTCTCCATTCGTTCTCGTTGCTCTCTGTCCTCCAAACTTGCCACCATTCTTTTGCCTCCGAACTAAGTTTTATGTCAACTTTACAACAATTGATGACAGAACTTTTTAATAAAAAATAATTTAAAAATGAATTTTAGTTAAAAACACTAAAAAAAATTGAATTTTCGAAAAGTTTCATATGATTGCAGAATTGCAGAAATTTAAATTATTTTCAAAGATAACAAAATTCTTCGCAGAAATTCAATTATGTTCAAAATAATAAAATTTTTCTTCAAGATTCAGTTATTTTCAATAATATTAATAAAATTCTTCGCAAAATTTCAATTATTTTCAAAAAATTTCCTCAATTCATTGATTTTCAATATCTACTATTTTAATAAAATTTTCCAAAAGAATTCAATTATTTAAAAAGTTTTAATAAAAATTCTACGCAAACATTTAATTATTTTCATAAAAAATAAAATTCTTTATAGGAATTCAATTATTTTCATAATTATAATAAAACTCGTCATAGAATTTCAATTATTTTTAATAAAATTAAAATCGAATTCCACGAAAAATGTAATTATTCTTAAAAATTTTATTAAATTTCTTCAAAAGAATTTAATTATTAAAAAATTTGTTGATAAAATTCTTTATGAGAATTCAATTTTAAGAAATACTAAATTATTCAATAAATTATTTTATTTTTGCATTTAAATAAATCAATTCTCGTAGAATTTTCTAATAAAAATTGATTTAAAAATGAATTTCAATTAAAATTTTAGATAATAATTGAATATTAAATAAATTCATTTTTAAAATTATTTTTTATTAAAAATTCTTCATCAATTTTTTTAAACTTGACATAAAACTTAGTTCGAACAAAAGAATTTTGGAAAGTTTGAGAAGGATTAAACTTGAAAAATTGAAAATAGACATTTTACACAATTTCGACTATTGAACGAACTGTTTTAAAAGATTCTACTAAAAGGAGAAGATTTTAAAAAATATTTAATTTTTATTGTTAAAATTGTATAAAAAATTTATTGTGTTAAAATGTATTATGTGGTTTTTCTTTGGATGTAAAAATTAAACATGTAGAATTATGAAATAAATTTCTAACTATTATCTATTAAAAAGTGTTATCGAAGAATTGAAATTATTTAAATAAAAAAATAAATAATTGATTGAATAAGAATGTTTCCTAAAATTGAATTTTATCAAAATTTTAAATAATTAATTAATTCGAAATTATATAAATTGTTAAAAAGAATTACATTTTTTTCGAAAAATTTGATTAAAATTGATTGAATAATTAAAATAATGTCTGGAAAAAAAGTTTTTATTATAATAAAAATTGAAATATTGCAAGAAATTAATAACAAAAATTCGTAAATTTTTAAAAATAATTTAATTATGTCCAACAGAAATTTTTTAAAATTCCTTTTAATAATTCAATTGAACATAGGACTTTTGGTACCCATTGAAAATAATGATTCTTTCGATAAAATTTATTAAATGCATTGAATAAAAGAATTCCTTTGGAAAATTTTATTTTATGAAATAATTGAATTCTTTTTCAATGTTATTATGTAAATTTTGGAAAATATTCACTTTTTTTGTGATTTTTTTCAAAATATTTGAAAAAAGTAATTAAATTCCTTTTCAGAAATTTAATTAAAATTTTGAATAATTGAATTTTCGAGTAATTTTGTTATTGAATGCATGAACATAATTGAATTTGTGTAATTTTTGATAAAAAATTGAATTTTGTCGAGAAATTTATAGAATTTTTGAAAATAATTGAATTTCGGAAATTTTTTATATGTACTAATAATTGACATTGTTTTACTAGAATTTTTTAAAATTAAATTTAAAAATATTCGATTTTTATTGAATTGCATAGACACTCTGGAAAACAATTAATTTTCATATGGATGATATTTTATCAGGCAATATTGATCAGCGAATAATTGGTTCCAATATAAACCAAAATTCAAATAAATCCATACATCCCAATGGAAACGCTAAAAAGTAAACAATTTAAAAATTGGAATTACTAAACTGCTATTTATTTTTCAATACTGTGGAAAACGAAAAATTTGATTAATTAGAAATTCCTTTCAGTTTCACATTATTTAAGAATTTATTTAAAGATTAATTATTTTTATTCCAGAAAAAATTTAATTTTTTTTTTCATAATAATTTTTTATTTATTATTTTTGCCAAATTAATAATTCTTGAAATAATTCAATTATTTTCAACAACTTTTAATAAATTTCAAAATATTTTCAATATTTTCGAAATTTAATAAAAATCTTCTTAAAATTAAATTATTAGTTAAATAATAATAAATAATAAAATCCTGACAAAAATTTAATTATTTTTGTCTAAATTTTTATAATAAAAATAAATTAAAAATTCAATTATTTTCAAATATTTTGGACATATTCAATTTCAATTTAATTAATTTTTAAAAATTTTTAAATTAATTAAAATTAATTAATTTTTTAATATATTTTTGAGAAAAATAATAATTTTCAAATAAAATACTATTTAATAATTTCCAATTTAACCCTTTTCGTCTATACAAAAGTTGCAAATCCGAGAACCATCCAATTTTCACTCCCTTCCGAAAAGGATCATATGAAGCGCAAATTACAAGAATAACCGCTTCCGATTTCGTATACCTTTCGCGTGAACAAAAAACAGAAGATGTAGAGCATATAAGATTCCGGTCGATATTAAAATTCCGCACGAAATCAATTATTTTCAAAATTCTTTTAAGAACCTCAAATCTAGATAGTGCAATATTTTCAAAAAATTTTTAAATTGCTTTTCTTCCATTAAATTTTTCAATTTACCACCGCTTTCCGAACAACAGAAGTCACGACGATTTCAAAAATTTGAAAAATTTACAAAAATTGTGTTTAAAGAATTTAATTGATTTCCAAATTAATTAAAATTAGAAAATTTTAATTCAAATTCATTTTAAACTTCGAAAAATTTCATAACCTATTTCAAAAATTCGAAAAATTTAATTATTTTAATAATTATAAAATTCTCGGTGCAGAAATTCAATTTATTTCTAAAAATCTAAAAAAAAATTTTTTCGTCAATATTATTAAGTTATAAATTCAATAAAATTTTTCAAAGAAATTCAATTATTTTGAAAAATCTAAAAAAATTTTGTCGTACAAAATTTCAATTATCTTTATAAATGAAACATCAAAATTCTTCGAAAATTTAATAATTTCAGGAAATTTAATAAATTCCATTAAAAATTCATTATTCTCATACAAATAATAT